GACTATCCTTTGATGACTATATGATCTGCCCTTTCTGTGCTATCCTCATGGAGGGTAAAGTGATATTCTAACACTCCTGCATACCAAGTGTAGACCTTGGGGTAAGAAGAGGCCGTTCACAATGACACATATTCAACATAAAAATATATATAACCATATGTAAATTTATTTCAAAATTAACAACCATTTAAGCATTACTTAATCATTATTGTATGATAATATTCTCTGAATGAGAGTACCAAACTTTTTGCTCACATTTAGAACAATTTGGAGAACAAAAAAAAAATAAGTATCCTTTATAAACAGTTAAAAGTAATACAATAAGGAGGTGTACTTTCAACTTATACCGTGCATTTAGTACTTAATAATACAATTATATATAGGATAGACTTTGAAAGGAAGTTTACAGTTTAACAAAACTTTCAGAACATTATAGGATACTCGAAAATATATAGCTTTTTTATTTTATTTATCGGATCACTGGCAATTATCCAAATGTATATTGAAATCCAAATAATTATTCTACATCTCGCTCTCTCTAAACTTTGATCAAATTGAGTTACCAACCACTTTCTGGACCTTTTCCTTTACATAAATCATTCCTCCTCGCTGTCTCACATAAGCATCATCCGCATGCTTCGTCTTTTGTTGGTCGACGCCATATTTTTCATTTCTTTCCTCCACCTCCACTCTCGGCTATTGACTCTTGCCCTGGTGATCTAGTACCAGCAAAAATCCCCAGATCAGGCCTAGCTTACCTTGTTTAAGTGTCCAATCTGGAGTCCCCCTGACCTTCCTCAGATGATCTGATGAGTCTCTCAAGACAAGGTGAAACGAATGTTACCCTCAACTTGTATGGCAGGTCTTTTTTCCATTTTCCAGCCAGGGATCATTAACTACTTTCTCTGTTCTTCCCAAAGGGGGAAAATTAGAAGTAAATTTAATTTTTTTATCCTTGTTTATTATTACAAGAAAATCAAGAGACGAAGGATAAAAAAATGCTTATATAATGACAAATGACTTGTTAAAAGCGATCACTTACAATAAAAAAATTTGTAATTTTTTTTGAATCTGTTCATCAAGGCACATTTTATAAACCTTTTATATCTTCTATCAGAATAATCTAGATTGTTATTAAAATAATTTTGATGCTCAATTGAAATTTCATTATCATTTAACTTTCCGATTATTAAACATATAGTTTATCAAACCTATCTGTTAAGTAATTAAACTTTCATTCGGTTCAAAAAGTTAATTTAGTTTGTTGATAATAACACTATTTCATATTTCGTATGCTTTGGAGCCTTTGCTGATGGAAAATAACAAGCCATATTAATTCCTCCGCTTTAAACTATAGAAATAATTATTTGGGTCTTCCCCAATATCGCATTTGCTTACAAATTTGTATAAAATTTCATGAACTGATTTCGAACTCTTTGTATAGGTGGAAACTGAAATGCCTATAAGATCACTACTCTTTAAGTAATTTTGCTTATTCCTTGAAAAAGAGGACTGGTTTTCCATTTTATTGCTCTAAGGGTTTACAAGTTTTGCTTGGCCTTAGTGAAAGATATGGTCAGGTCAATATTATAACTTTTTTTAGTTGTTAATATTTGGCTTGGAAGGCACATCTGTTGTAAGGTAACGTAGGTGTTCTAAAGTGAAGTCAACGAGAACAGATTTCAGTTATGAATACAAAAAATGTAAGTGTATCGATATTTTAACTTTACATGTTTTAAGCTAAAAGTATCGGAAAAGTTGCCATAGGGAGAATTAGTTTGTGGCACCCTAGTGTCAAATTGACGTTGCTTTTTGATCCTTCAATTTGAGCAGCACAAATTTACCTCTAAACAAAAAAAGGCTTTTGGGAACTGTAGGGACTGAGATTTACAAAATATCTCAAAGAATTTTTCTAAAAAAAGTTATATACCAAACTTATAAATGAAATTCATTTTTAAATTTCGTCAATTAATTCCTTAATGCAATATATGAGAGTGATTATTTATATGAATTATAAAAAACATAAATATGTCATTAATTTATATGCAACTAATTTACATTTTATCCTTCCTTTCATTTTTAGCAACAATATACTCTTAATCTCTCTAATCAGTAGATTCTTTCATTTAAACAAAGGAAAGAATCTTAGCACTAAACGAAGAAAGTACAAATAATTTTGGGATTGTTTTTGGAATTTGGTCTAAGTATAATCCCTTAAATAAAATACCTTAAGGAGAGATTATTGAATTGATGGATAGTAATTGTTTTCATTACATGAATTTTATGAGGGAATCTTCTAAAGAATTAGAAATATTATATTATGATTGCCTTTACCCTGAAACCTAAATAATTCAGAAGGTTCTAGCTTACAATACTGCTGATGGATTCTAACATGTTCATAAAGTGGAGATTGACCCATTGGAGTATGAGAATGTTTGGTATTTATTTGAATTACTTTATTCACCATCCACTAGTAAGCTTGAAATAATAATGGTTAAAGGAGATCAATTTGTATTGCATAAGTTGTTAGATGTAAATATAATCAAAACAGAAAACCTAATTTTAACAGTTGGAAGCGGTCTTATTGTACAAAATTCTAATATACAATCTATCCATGTTGGATCAAAATTTTCATATTTCCCAGGATAAATGAAATTACTCAGAGTTAATCAGAGTGTAGTGGTAATGTTAGATTCTTAAATATTGGGAAAGGCAGTATATGTATTATTTTTTGATACAATATCTGTATAATAGTGCCAAGAAAATAATTAATATTTATTATAAGATCAAGACTTGACTTGGTTGGATGCATAAACTTTCCTCTCCCAAAACATAAACACAAATTCATTTACATTGTTTGGATGGTACTAAATCAAAGAAATTCAGAAAATCGATGATAAGTTCACTTATTAATTTTTGAAGATATCACCAAATTTTGAAAATGAGCAAATCTCTAATCCTTATTTATCACCCTTTTAGTTGTTCTATCAAATATCTTCTAATAATGATAATAAAATTTTAATTACAACTTATAGTTATTAATTTCCCTCTATTACTTCAGATTTATCCAATAATCTGATTTCAAAAGAGTTTGATATATTACATAAGCTTACTTTTTGGCATAATTTGCTCATTACATTAGTAGATGATTAGATCTTTATTTCTATTAAATTTTATGACTCTTATGATATTTAAGAATACTCTGTTTCATATAAAGTAAAATAATTCCATAACGTATAATTTTAATTGAAATATGGAAATTTAGAAGAGTCATCATTAAATTACCTTCATATTTAAACTAATAATTAATAATTTTATAATTGTTAAATTGAAATAGAGCAATAACATTGCCATTATACTTGCAAGTATTGTGATGGTCCAACAAAAACAGATTGTCTTATGTGCTCTGAGGAATCATCAAGAATATATCTATCAGAATATAAATCATGTATATGCCCCCATAATTACTATGATGATAAAGAGAAATAGAATTGTAAATCATATGCTGATTTAGAACTAAAAATAAATCAAATACAAATAGAAAATGGTTGTAAATTTGGGTATTTTGAGTACGATGATTAATGTTAGGCGTGGTAAATATTTAATAATATGAAGTCCTTCTATAATTTCTAATTAATTAACTACATGCATAGAATGTATAAAAAATGTCAAGGGATGGATGTAAAATGCATATTGCTAAACCACTCTTTACAAAGATACAAATGGAAATACAGTAAAAACAATATCTGAAGAGGAATACCAATACTATATTTTTGATGGTTTTGAATGTTAAATTTGTAGATTTTGCGATTAATAATCCTTGTCAAATATTAATAATATTTACAAAGATTTCAATTTTATTGTTTCAAAATTTAACTCATTTTGCTAAACAAGCAAAACCTTATTTGATACAACAGTTGACATATATACTTGCTATGCTTGTAATTTACCAAATTGTAATGTTTGTTCCATAGAAATTACTGGAATTAAATGCATTTTATGCGAAATCTCTTTTACCTTAATAAATGGAATCTGTACAAATGAATTTGAATTTCAAAAACATAATTATAGCTGTGCTTCCCCTTAATACATAAATTCACTTGGAGAGTGTAAAAAATGTCATCTGACAAATTGCAAATATTGTTTTGAATTTAACAAAAACGATTTATCAAAATGCACTCTATATGCTAATTTTGATAAATTTGAATTAGATGAAAACTTATCTGTTGGATGTGCATTTTGTGAAGAAAATTTTATTTTTGACTTTACTATTGGCTCATGTATTTATAAATTATAAACTTTGCCTAATTGCTTAAGATCTTATATTAACTTTTAGAAGTAAGAGATATGCACTTTATCATCTACTGATTTTTCTTTTGCACCAGAAATAATAAATTGTGAAAAGCTTATATAAAATTGTTTATAATGTCTTTTGACCCCTTAATCTGTAGTAAAATGTATCATTTGTGAAAGTGGATTTACCACTTCTATAAATCAAGGAGACTGTTACTCAAATTCATTTGATGATGCAAAGGTAGTTATTGAAGGCTAGATATAAATTTACGATGCTTGGGTTTAGAGAGTATAAAGTTTTATGATGAGATTTCTACCAGACTCATATTTTTACTTTAGACCTTACGACGAATAAGCTGTAATCTAATATTAGATTGAATGTAAAGAAGGGTACAAATTAAATGATTATTCTGAATGCAAACAGTATTGCTCTTCTGATTGTTTGAAATGCTAACTATCAATTAATTCTGAATTTTTTTCCTGTGTAAAATGTCCATTGAATAAATACTATTAACCTATGTTAAAGGAAGAAAATGGATAATGTATAGAATGTCCTGAATTATGTGAAGTGTGCGAAGAAAGATCGGAAGCAGAAATTTATGTAAGCAAATTAATTAATTTTAGAATCTAAATCCAAACTTTAAGATAAGCGAATTAAACGCAAAATATATAACCAAATGTATCAGAAAAATTTCAAATCCAAATGTACATATTGATCCGTACTTTTTGATTGCTAAATATTGTTTTGCGGCAAATTGCAATTAAGAAATTACTATTGAGTTAGTTAATAATTTTGATATCGATTCTTAGGTTAATGTCTAATATTTTAACTAAATAGGAATCACTAATTTATCTATTTTAATTAATAAGAAAAACGATATTACCTCTGATAACAATGTTATGCAAAGGACAGAATTGAAATCAGATATTTTTAGTCTAAGATTTATCAGGCTTGTATTAAATTTTTACGAAAATAAAGTTAATTCTGTTATGTTAAATGGCTTTGACTTTATAGAAATAAATGATGCCCATTTCTAATTGAAAAGTTCTGATCATATTTAATTTGAAAATGAAAACTAACAAGTGTCTCTATAATTAACAAATATTGCAATCTAATAAAGCTCAATTTCTAATGTTTATTCAATTTTCCATTCAGATTTACTTGGAGATATTACATTGAAGAATATTTAAATAATGGATTCAAATTTTTCGAACACTTCACTTTTCAATTTTAATTAGAGTTAGTTTAGAGGAATAATAAAAATTGAGAACATTAGTTTCTAATAATGCAACTTTACAAATTCGTAATTATTTGTATTTTTTAACAATCAAATCAAAATACATATTGAAAAATTAGTGATTGACTCATGCTAATTTGTAAATTCTTCATTTATCACTCTCTTGACAGAATGTAAGTTTGATTGTTAATTTAAAATTGATTAGATAACATTGACATCTAACTAGCTTTTGTAATCGTATTTTTTAAATAGCACTAGCCATTATCAACAACTTTAGATAATTAATTTTATTTTTGAACAAAATTTGATAGAAATGTCGACTATAATAGGAATTAGCTCCAATATAACTTTGCTTAAGGCATAACTAAATAAAAATAACTTTATTGATTCTTATTTTTTGACTGGTTCGTAGGATGATAATAAGAGAAATATTAATTTTAACATAAAAAATTTATTAATTCATCAAAATGATTTTAAAAACTCTATTTTATTTTACGTTGAATAAACTATCAATAATCAAAATTTATATGTATAATTAAAATCCTTTATAATTTCAGAAAATTTAGGATTAAGTAATTAATAATCATAAATCATTTTATTTTATATTCAATGTTACCAATTAGACATTGAGAATATTTAGATTATTAATTCAAATAATTTCCTTATATTCTATCTTTTAGAAATTAATAAATTGTTTGCTTCAAATATTGTGTATGAAACTCTTGAAATCAATTATAAAATCAGCCCTAATTTAAATTGTGTGCAATAGAATTATTATGTACAAAATTCACTCCTTTTTATTCATGGATTCAATAATATTATCATAAACAACATTAAAATTTATTAATAATTAAGTTTTGACTAATCATTGTTGCAGATATAATCAAGCAGAAAAAATTTATCAGTTTAGAACAATATTTTTCAGTTGACAAATTTATAGTTTATAGGAAACTTGTTAATCAAATAGTCATTAACCAGTATTTCCTCTCTAATTACAATAGAATCAGAATATATATCTCACATAAAATTGGAAAATTCAGTTTTTGTAAGAAATTTCTTACATTCTTATTCCATCTCTTCTTTAGAATGGTCAATAAAGTTAATTTCAATAATTTCATAGGCAGGACTCATTGAGATTACAAATTTTTCTTGTTAGGAGAACGCGCTAACTAATTCATCAAATTCATTTCTATCATTTCAATCAAAAATAATCCGATTAACAAATTATAGCATCACAAACCTTAATGTATTACCCTAAGAAACATGGAAATTATATTATGATATTTAGATAGATATGGCTTAATATGATTAGGAAGAAACCAATCTAATCATTTAATAAATTCTCACAATAAAATGCAAAAGTGGAGCAGGGCTAATTACATCATCAACCTTTTTCTGCTTTAATTGTTTATTTGAGAATATAATAGGATAAAAGAGTTAGATATTTGAAATAAGGATTTAAGAAGAAGGAGATATCTAATTTATAAATCTAACAATAAGTTCATTAGAATATGATTTATCTTAAATAATAGATAGTTCAGGTTGCATTACTATTGATTCTTCTAACAGTTTACTTAATTTAAAAATCTTTAATGCAATATTTTAAAATGTATTCAATCGAATGGCTGCGTCAATTTTTACAATATTTCCTTCAGTATTTAAGAATGAAATAAATATTTAAGATGTTTTAATCATGAATTCAATTTCATTATAGAATACAATAATCAATTTGTAATTTTCATCGTAAAATTTAAACTAAAATAGAGTAATTATTAGAAATATGACAATATAATAAGATCAAGATATTTGGATTAAGTATTTGAAAAAGCTTGAAATGATTACCTAATCTGAAATAGAAGATATATCTAGCACTTCTATTGCCTTGATTCAATTAAAAAATTGTTAAGTTGTTATGCAAAATATTCTCATTTAAGGAATTTTTAGCTTTACTTTAATCAAATTGATTAATATTTCAAAATTGTTTATTTATTAATTTTAGATGAATGATGTTACAACATTTTCCTAATTCAGTTTATTTGAATTAAAATAGGATTTATCAATAAAGTAAACCATAGAAATTAAATTCTTCTCAATATAATAATTTAAAATTTATGAATACTCAGATAATCCAATCATCTTCAATCCTAAAATTAAGTACATGAACTTAGATTGCAATTAAGTTGAAAATACCTTAAATAACCCCATAATTTACAATTTTTAAGATTTCTTTGGCCTCGCATATCAAAATTGGAGACCAAGGTCGATTATTGACATTTAAACTATTTCAAATGAGACTATCTTATTACTGGATAATATTCTTTTTTCCAATATTCATTGTGCCATATGCACAAATGGAATATTTTACTTAAATATGGAAAATTATAGTTCCATAATAATAAGAGATTTAATGTGTAAATCAAATATTATTTAAAGTTATGGATGCCTAAATATTGTATCACAAATTGGATAAAATTAAAAATTAAAGATTTTGAATTCTAACTTTATTTCTAATTTTGGTGGTACTGATGGTGCAGCTCTACATTTAACTAACATTTCCATAAGTATTATATAGTGTAAAATCCTAAAAAATAGTAATGTAGCCCAAGGTGCCTTAGATCTAGAAATAAATCAATAGGCTTTGGTGATATAAGACACTATAATTTTAGATAATGAGGCAAGCAATGGGCCTGGAATTTGTCTCCATGGTGAATTTAACATCTAATAGGAGAATTTGATTAGAACCTACTTGTATTTCAACAGGGATGGTTACAATTAGAACAATATATTTGAATTTCCAACCCATTTAAGCTTATTTATCAATTCTTAAGAAATGTAATCAGAGGAACTTATAATTAACAATATAACAGTTAGAACTCTTCTTTTAAAACCTTATAAAATAATAGAGCAAGGAGTTTTTAAAATAAGTTCAAATCTGATGATCCCTAGTGATTAAACAATCAACTAGTATAAAGTTTATATTCCTGCATTACAAATAAGTATGAAAAATTTTGATGACTTTTCAATAAAATTAAAAAATAGCAGAAATGAATTGGTGGTAAATTAATAGCTTTTCAAATGCCAAATCTCATAAACAACTTTAGAATTAAATTAAGACTTTTATCTAAACGAATCTCAAGTGATTTCCATTCTTGAAACAGATGAATTTGGATATTCTTTTGATTTAGGATCTGTTTCATTTCATTTAAATCCATTTCAAGCCGAAACTCAAAGTTTGCAGATCTTAATTAATTGTTCAATAGAGTTTTCAAATAAAAATTTATACTATTTAATTAAAGCCAGTACATATAAATGTTAATTGGGAGAATTCTATATTGACGAAGGATGTTAAATTTGTGAATCAATTTTTGGATTTTATTCAGTAACATATAATGTTACTAAATGTTCAATATTCGATAAAATGAAATTCGCAAATATCACATCAAATTCAATATAATTATTAGAAGGTTATTGGAGACCAAATAAGTACTCTGATTATACAGAAATTTGTTTAAAGAATTTTAAATTCTGTAAGGGGGGTTGGACAGTTGGTAATGAGCTTTGCAGTCTAGGACATATTGGAGGTTTGTGTGAAGAATGTGATTCGCATAATATAAGAGGAGATGGATAATTTTTTAAGAATTACTAAAATGCTGAATGTTTTAGTTGTTCAACTAATACATTTATATCCTTTACTTTTACTTCCCTTTGGTATAAATATATTAAATTATTAAAGGGCTATCATTATGATAGTGGTAACGTTAAGAAGTATTGAAAAATCTAATCAATTATTCTTTTATTGTAAGCTAACCTTTAAACCATCAATTAGCAAAATCATTTTTAAATTGGGTTAAGGTATATTATAATTGTAAAATTTAGATATGGAAAGTATTTTTATTAAAATGGTTCTCAATTATTTATGGATATATTCTGTCATTTTTACCTTTAATATTAATTTCTCAATTTCCCTTTCTCTAATTGAATCCACTAGTAATGCTTCATAGTTCATGGCATTTAGTCTCGATTGTTTTTTATCAACTATTTTTAATCAAGAACTCATTTATGTTAGGATCATTACTACTTTTTTATTAATTCTATGCTAGTTTATAATTATTTAGTTTGGATATCACCTTTTTACACTGGTCTCAAAGGGAAAATTCAAAACCAGCTTTATTTCAAATACAGTATTATACCTTTATGTGTCAAATTACTCCAGCCTCATAAAATAGTATTAAAAAGTTATAATTAGATTTTGTTCTATTGTGTCAGCAAGATTAATATCAAACGTTTAATATCTTTAAGGAGATCTTTCATTGATATATGGTTCCTAAAATCATTATTAATGGATGTATTTATTTGCTATTCCTGGATTGGCGATATTTGGATTGATAATTCCATTGTTTTTTTTCTTTCTTCTATTCATGAATAAGGGTTAACTTGTAAATATCAAATTTAGAAGACATACATGTTATTTATTCAATGAATATAATTAAGAGAGTTTCTTTTGGGAATAAATTAAGTTTTTCAAAAAGACTAGCATAATCCTTGTTATGACATATTTTGAATCCACTATATTATTTAAAGCTTCTTTATTGGGGTTATGCTTACTAGTCTATTAATTAATGGCGGCAAAGCAATAACCATACATTCTATCAAGTTTAAATAACCTCGATCTTTAGACAGGTTAAATTTGTTCAATTGTTATTTTCATTGCAACTGCTAAGTATGTGAGCGAACAGTAAACAGACAATATTACCTCCCAAATTTTGCAAGTTATGCTAATACTTCTATTTATTAAACTATGCTCCTTATTTATTTTTGATATTTTTAGAGGCTATGCTAAAAAATATAAAATCTCAATTCTTACCTTAATGCATCAATTTTTGCAAGTCATAGCACCAAATTCAGGGAAAACAAAATCACTAAGCATTGTACTTACTTAATTCAAACAAAAATAAGTTAGGCTAAAATTTAATTATTAAATTTTAAGAAAAGCCTCATAAGAGTGTATTAAAAATTAAAAGTAGTTTAATATTCTATAACTTAGATGTAATTGTTAAGGAACTAGAAATTAAAGCTTACCATTGAGATATTAATAATATGAAACATCTCCAACGAAATACCTTTTAACAATTGAACAATGACCAAATTTACCATTTAGAATATTAATTATTTATCTAATCAATCATTTACTTTACAGAGTTCACATTAAATTGTTGTAAATCCTAAACAAGTATGGTACCAGATAACACCATATTTAATATTTGCCATATTTTAATTCGCTTAACACATTCCGACCTCTAAATAGCTGATATCTTTCTTCAAAGAATCCCGCATATTTAGTACACTGTATTCTAAATATATTCAAATTAGCAAATTTCATCTTCAAAACTTAGTCCATTCTACATTTCTTATTGAAAGCACTTGATTATTTGTTTATTAATCTGCCTTTCTAATTTCCACTCAATTAGAAAGGCTTTGTTGAATGATATTTTATGACGAATAGAAAGTAAGAGAAATAAGGAGAGAAGAAAATTAAAAGGTAAAAACGTTAAAACCATCCATTTTATAATTATTATAAAGCTATGGTATGGATACAAGTATTGCAACATAAAAATTAAATAGCGCATTAGTTGGAGGCGATATGTGAGTTAGGAGAAATCCTGAGATAATTTGCATTAGTCATCTTCATACATTTGATTGTATTTTTGATTCAATATGATTGACAAGTTTTAGGGAAACATCCATTTTAAGTGGCAATTCAATATGCCTTGACTAAGTTGGTTCTATAAACCATTACTGCAAGGAAAGAATTTCAAGGCAAGATTTAGAGAACAATCCTAGGACAATTTTTGTAGTATAATCCCAAAAACCCAACATGAAGGCCTGAAAATCTTGTTAGCTTAATTATATGACTAAAAAGAATATTTGAAATACTGTATATCTTATAGAGACACAAATATTAATCTCACTAAAGGAAAATTAATAAATGAATTTCGGAAAATTCTTACATTTCTAATGAAATCAATAGTGAGCAATACCAACCTAGTATTCCAAATGCTATGAAATTCATAGTATGAATAATTGGGGTATTTTGCAGGATACATTCCACAACACTTTTATTAACTAAGCAAAAGTTTGAAAGACTGTTAGGAAGGGAATTTAAAGCGATTTTGGTGTATTTAATCAAAGTAGATGGGAGAAGGAACACTAATTGTATCAAAGAATTCTTGAACTTAAGGAGATCATAAATCAGTTATTTCTGTGTGTATATTACACACACTATGGCAAAGAAGGATTGTTAGTATTTTAGAAGCGATAAGATGTTGAAATTTAAGAATGATCAATGTTTTTGAATATCAAGAATTTATAATTGATATAAAAGATTTAACTTTGGAATTTGGTTATAAATTTTTCTATTCAGAGTTTCTGAATCGCTTCATTAAGGCTTAGCGTAGCTTTGTAAATTAAATACTTTGATATCAATATGTACATCAAATTTGTATTGATGCTAAGCATAGGCAATTTGATTTTGTAGCTGAAAATATTTTATACTTTGGTTAATTTTGTTAATTTAATTGCTAATCTGGTTAAAAATATTTCTTTGTTGTTGTTGATTGATTAAATTAAGTTGAGCAAAAATCTGAGATAAAGTTTTCCTAGATTGAAGACTGTGAACTATAGCCTTGGCGTTACTAGCGGTAGGTCATTTTTACCAACTTATTTGCTAATTGTGGTAAGTACCTATCCATTTTTTTTTATGAATTTTCATTGTATCATTGTAACTATTTTTGTAATAATCTCATAGAAAAGAGGATTAATAAAATCAAAATAAAATGAATTTTCCTCTGCTGGGCATTTTTCAAAGTAAGTATTAAAAAAATTTCTATCCACAAGTTTTCATCAAAACAACTTATGTGAAATTTAAATGAATTTCAACCATCAAAATGGCAATTTTCTTTTTAGAAAAGATACTCATTTATCAACTCTTAAGACTTCCAAATTATTATACAATAATTAATAAAGACCAAACTACTTTTTTAATATAAACCTAAATCTGCAGCATGAAATAAAAGAATAATTAATGTTTTGGTTGATTAGCTTGCTTTTCATTTCATAAATAATAGGATAACTTGATTATTTCTATTATCCATAGATTTTTGGACTAGGTGGTATTTAATGCCCTGATTTACACATATTCAGGCCTGATATGCACCCTCATTAATGCGTCTGTAAGTATTTCTGCTATTCATAGCTTATGCTTTCATTTGCAAAGGTGTTACTGAGATTAAAATTATAACTGTAGCAAATTCAACTTAATATGTATGCCATCTAAGATTTTAACCATTTGGAGCAGGAACTCCAACCACAAACTTAATTTCCTTTCATTGTGGTTAGGCGTATGGAGTCTCATTAGTAATGGAGAAGCAAATAGATGGACACTATCGGAATTATTGTAAAGGTAAAAATTTAAGTTATATTTATAGACCTATCCAGAGATCTACAAAAGATGTTTGATATTTGCATATTACCTCAAATTAGTTTTTTTAGATGCCAAATTTGTAAACGGCCTTTTTTCGGATATTTATGTAGTGAGGTTGAGAATTTTTACGATTAACATTCAACAGATCCCATGATAAGTAATATAAATCCTAAAATTTAAGTGTGTCCTGACAACTGTCTTGAATGTTCAGTTACTGAAAATACTCTAAAGTGCAAATTATGTAGACATGGTTATTCAAGTATACATTCAGGTGATGGTGGATGCCTCCTGGGTAATTAATGATATTATTTTGAAGATTGTAAAGGACACATTAGTTGCAAACTCAACGATACTATGGATACTGTTTATAGTCCAGAATGCAAAGTTGGATATAGATCGGAATAATCATAGTGTTTTGGTAATAGATGAAGAAAAGTATTTTATAGGTCCAAGTTTACCTTGTGAAGTACCTATAAAAAATGAACCTTATTGTTAGAAATGTGTTGAAGGATTTTATTTGATATAGGACTTTTTAGATAATCCCAACTTTGTTCGGTGAATCTCTATAATTGTAAACAAATCCGTTAAGATTTAGTTCAGATTTAGAAGAACTACTTAAAATATAAGATAATGATTCAGACATACAAATATATTCTTAGAATTACTACCTGACATTACCATAATAGATTTACTCCATATGAAAATTTTTCTTCTATTTATGGCACCAAATTTTTAGGTAGTGTGAAGAAAATAGAACTCAACCCTATGTTTCATTTAATGCACTTTTTTGTAATGCATAGCAGTTTGGAATAAATATTCGAAGATTTTACAAGGATTTGATGCACAATTAAAAATACAAGTATTTAAGTTATTAATTATCTAATTAAAACATATTCACATTTCCGTCTTTTAATTTTTTTGCATAACTAGAGTTTCATTTGCTTTCACGTATATAATTTCAACTTTTTAAAATAAAATTGAAAGTTAAAATTTCTTTTCAACTGAAATTTTTGCAAATATGAATTTCATAAATGTTAAAGCATTTTTTATTTTATGTTATTTTCTACTTTAACTACACTTTTAACTGAGATTTTGAAAAATAATATTTTATTATTTTTAAGGCGTGGTTAAATTATTTTTTGATATTTGAAAATTAAGCAAATAAATTAACCATTCTTCTTTACTTAAATGCTAGGTTAAAAAAAATAATATATCGATCTTTAAGTTGATTTTGTTCTCCAAAAATCAAGATTTGTATTAATTAAATTAGAATTATGAATAAAGAATAAGAGATTTTTAGTAGTTCAATAGCAATTAAAAGTAAGATATTTTCCAATCAATAGAAGGGACATAAGAGCATTATGGGTCTCTTTGGCATTTCAATTCTAACAAATTATTTAAGTTGAAATTCTAGACTACTTAAGAAAATGGGGAGATAATATATAAAACAGATGATGGATAAATATTAAGAGTGTAAATTTATTGCTTCTAGCATAGTGATTTAGTCGAGGAGGAATAAAATTATGTAATTTTAGAGAATTTAGACTACATTAAACATCTTTAATGGATAGGAGCAGATAGATAGAAAATAAAAGTTGGAAAGTGGATAGCCACATGGAAGGGAGAAGTATTAAAAGATGTTGGAGGATGGTATTTTGATGGGAAGAAATAAGGGATTTGGAAAGAGCCGATTAGTAATTACAGAATGTAAATAATATTCATTAATACTAACAGAAGGGCTTAAGTATTTTAAAGTGGTGAATACTTGAATAATTAGCGTAAGGGATATTGGAAATTTACATTTGAAAATGATGAAATGTAATATATATTTATTATGATATTGTTACTTAGTGGAGGTGGGTATTACAATGAATAAGGTTTGAAATCTGGTAAGTGGATAGAAATATCTGAAAGTTTTTATCAGTAATAAAAATAAATAAAATTAATTTAAGCTAAAGCTAAATCACTTATGAAGGTGAATACTAAAACGGTGTAAAAAATGGCGTTTGGAGAATCAATTATCATTAAATAGATGCTAAACCAAAAGTACAAATGTATAAAATTATATCATTAATATAAAGAGGTGGAGGTATGTACGACAAGAAAGGCTTAAAGTAAGGAAATTGGGTTGAGGTGAATGATCATTTCAGGAGGTATGAATATATTGGTAATTTAATTTTAGGGGAAGTTAAATTAAATTTAGTGGGTCTTATCTGAATGGGCAAAAAATAGGTCAATGGGATATATATTATAGATGTGATCACAATAGACCTTTTGAATTGATGTAAAAAGTTTCAAGATATATTAATCCTAGAGGTGGAGGATTTTTTACCTAATAAAATGAGAAAAATGATTATTGGATTGAAGTTGCGGACAACTATTATTAGTAAATATTAATTTGAACATTTATTGAATAGGGATGGATAATTTATTTATTAAGGAAATTACAAGGAGGGAAAGAAAGTTGATAAATGGGAAATCGGATATAGAAAACATAATTAAAATAAATTTTTGGCAATGTAAATTTAATAATTAAATATCTAAGATGGGGAGGATAATACGATAACGAAGGGGAAAAAACTGATGAATGGGAAGAACCAACCGAAAATTGTTATTTGTATTAATTTATACATTCACTGTGATTTATAGTTAAGGGTTCGCCTTTTATAAAGGAAAATATAATTAAGGGAGGAAAATAGGTACATGGAAAATTGAAACGACATAAGATTTAGTTAAGTAAATGAAAATTTTATTAAATTTAGTTCTGGTTGTGGATTTTATGACTAGCAAGGTTTGAAGAACGGACCTTGGATAGAGATACCTGAAAACTATTCAAAGTAATGATATTTTGATAAGTAGATATAATTAGGTTGAATTTTCAGGAGAATATGAATAAGGAAGAAAAATTGGAATTTGGAATATAAAATAAAATGATATCACGTTAGTTCAATAATTAAATTTTAGAATATCTTTCAATATTGGAGACTGCTATGATGAATAAAATTTGAAGAATGGATTTTGGATAGAATTGGATGACGAGTTTTCAAAGTAATTTAATAAAATAGAAATAATAGTAGAGACCGCTAGGTTATTCATAGAGGTGAATACAAAAATGGAATGAAAATAGGTTAATGGGATATTTGTAGGATTGAAGGATAAGATAATTATCCAATTATGTAAAATTGATTTAATTTTAATAAAATCAAAAGTGGGGGAGGATAATACGATGAACGAAGCTTAAAAAATGGAAGATGGGTTGAGCTGGACAATAATTATAATTGGTACATTTTAGAATTGATTTGAATTTTAGCCATAATTAGCTCAAATATGAATGTGAATATAAAGGTGGGATAAAAGTAGGTAGATGCGATATTTCATATAGAAGTTCTAATGACGAAACATTCGAGTTGATGTAAATAGTTTGATATTAATAACATTTAGTGGTGGTGGAGAATATGACAACCAAGGGATAAAGTAGGGTAAATGGACTTCTTTAGCTTTAACCTTCTCAGAGTAAATTATTATCATTTATTCTTTAATTAGTGTTTTCTAAGTGATTGAGTAGGGCTAAATAAAAGATGGCTAAAAAGTTGGTAGATGGACAAATCATTTTAGAACTGGTTGCAATTAAAAATTTGAAGAATTGTATATAAAATAAGCTAAAGATATTTTTAGAGGAGGAGGGGATTACAATGAGCAGGGAAAAAAGAATGGAAGTTGGATGGATATATGCGAATCTCTTCCGACAAATCACACATAAACCGTATTTTGTGGAGAATACAAAAGGGGGAAAAAAATAGGTCTTTGGAATTAAATGGAATTATAAAAAGTTGGAAATTAAGTAATAATGAAGTATGGTCTTGAACAAAAGTATGATAACTGATTGAGATTAAAATTACATAATTTCAAAATAATTACAAAACTCAAAAATTATTATTCAGGAATTCAAAAAATTTCCTCTAAATTTACAATATTTATACAAACAAAATATTGAAAATAATTGGGCTTATTTAAAAGTTTTGAAATACATGGTTAATTTTAAACTGAAAAAATGTCAATTGCTGTGCAACTTCTATTATAAAATTCTCCAATATAAGATCAAAAGAAGATAAATAATAATATATATCAAATATAACTTTCTAAAATTTCTTTTAGGCTTTCTTTATTAATTGGTTTTTCTAAATAATTTTACATTCCAGCATTTTAAGCATCATATATTGTCTACATATCACTGAATGCTGAACATGCTACAATTACAATGTCGGGATTGTAAATTTTAATTCTTCTTGAAGTTTCTAATCCTCCCATCTATGGCATATTGATATCCATTAAAATTAATCGATATTAACAATGCTAATTATTTCTCATTTAAACTAGATTGATTGCTTAGATTCCGCTATTAGCTAAATCAGTTTCATATCCTAGCATCTTAATCATCACTTTTAATGGAAACAAGTTTGCTGGTTCATCATCCACAAGTAGTAATTTACAACATTAGCATTCAGGTTAGTTTTGAGATGGATTTTTTGCAATATTATCTGGTAGATGATTGGGTTTTGGGTCATCCTCAATTGTATGGCTCTCTTCCTCTATTACAATTGCATTATCGTCTTAAACATCAGCAGGAAAGAACGCTTGATTTGAGGTTCTAGTATACGAACGTTTTTTGGGACTCATCCTTTTGAATTAAGATGGGCAGCTTTTTGAGTTTGATAAACTTGGCGGAGGTGGTATATTATTGGTTTTTTAATGAAGAAACACTTTTTTTTCTAAGATTTGTATTGACTTATTTTCGAATTAGCTAGATGGAGACTCTAACAAATTGTATTTCCATACATAAAACCAAAAATTACTACCTTCTCCCTACTTTGAGCTAAATTATAAGTATTCCTTATTGGCCTATTTGAAGGATGACAATTCTTTAGTTAGGTAATTTGAATTTAATAATCCTAAGCCCAAACCTGCAGTTCCTTCTGAAATCTTGGAAGTTAAAATCAAATCATTACTGAGCATTTGTTTTATATTCTGGGATACACTCTCACTGATCCCTATACCTGAATCGAGAACTGAAAATTTAATTCTTCTGTCATCGTATTTTTCAGCAGTCACATATACTGCGCCATCTTAATTAGTATATTTGATAGCATTTTATATCAAGTTCTGCAATATCTACTTAATCCTCTGTTCATCTTATTTAAACCCTATTTTCACTTTATTAATCATGAACATAGATATTTGCTTTGCAACTGTTTACTATTTAAATAAGTGATGCAATTCATTAAATAATCCATCAATGTTGACATCTACAATTTCTAATTGTAAGGTTTTACTCCTCATTTAATGAAAGTCTTTTAAGTCTTTAACCATATTATTCATAATAACACAACAATTGTAAATTAAATCAAATTGGTCTTTCATGTTTGGATTTTAGATTTAACCATTTTGAGAAATTAGAGCAATTTAATTTAGCAAAGTCCCAAATTCGTGACTAAAAGATTAAAATAGTTTATTCATTAATGCGAAACATGAATTTTTTTTGACATATTTAGCGAATTCTTTTATATCTTCTAATTGCAGTGTAATGCCTTCTTTTGAAAAATGCACCTTAATTTAATAATACTCTAATTTAAGAACATTTGTTTTTATAATTAAAATGTCATCAGTTTTTTAAAGAATTAAACATTTGTCAATCAATTAACGAAATGTTATTCCTTTGATCTTCTAGTTTAGATTACGCTAGGTTTATTTATCTACTTTCAAAATATTAATTGAGTCCAATAAATTGAATTCTGAAATTTAGTCAGAAAATAATAAGTCCTTTAGAGAATTTGAAATCTATTTTATGTCTAAGGTTTAATTTTCGAGTAGAATTGTATTTTAGGGATGTTAAGGCAATTCATCTACTGATAACATAGATTTAGCTGAATTTTATTGGTTCAAAGGTAAAAACTCTATTCCACTGGATTGTTTTTTCAAAGCGGGTAATTTGATAGCCCAATAAAAGTATGTTACAAATATAACAGTGAAAATACTCATGAAGTATGATTGGACTTCATTTTTTTATGAATAAAAACATATTATGGCGACTTGGACTAAGATAATTTCCTAATACTACTTAAGCAAGTGAGGATATTTACAACCCATCTCTTTTGTTCGTTTTATAAAAATAGTGCAAATCCCACAAAGGTTTGGAGCAACAAAAATTAATCACTTTATTTCGCAACTACACTAATTACGTTGATTGCTAATTGTGCATAGATATTTAAGTTTCTCTTTCTTGCCAATAGCATAATTTAAAATAAACTAATGCATATACATACGATTAGCAATATCAAACTAGACATTGAAGCTCTTGTACATTCTATGATCGCGTAAACAACCTAAAGAATATACAATCCTTATGTTGCTGAGGTTTTATGATTAATCATAATTAAATATAATCACATTATTATCAAAATTTTTTTGCTCCCCGTTGGGAATGGATATTTATACTTTCTGCATAATGTGATTATTAAAGAATAATTCAATGACACAAATTAATTAAAAACCTAACATTCATTCCACAAATTTAGACAATCACAAGTGAAATCTGAAGAAAATATTTTAATTATCAGAATTTGACTTTAATCTAAATTAAATGATGTCTAATTAATGTTGCAAAATTTTTTATATAAGAATAATGAGTTAAGAGTGTCATTGTTAAAATTAAATAAGTATTTTTTATAATTCTATTACATTCACTGGTTTATTCAAGAAGTAGCTCATCCCTATATCGTAACATTGTTATTTGGTATCACTGTCTGTATATGCAGTGCAGGCAATAATTTTAAATTGATTTCCATAAAGAGATATTAAATTTCTACTTGTTTCATATCCGTTCATCAAAGGCATATTGATGTCCATAAATATCCCAGAATAAGCATATCTATTTTCTTGCACTTTTCTCAAACATTCAATTCCATTGAAGACATAGTCAGTCTCAATATTCATTCTCTTTAATATGAGTGATAAACCTATGATGTTGATCATTTCATCATCTACAATTAGAAATTTCATAGTTTGCTTAATGTTTCTATTTAAAGTTGTAGTCCTAGTCTTCCTTTCAATTGAATTGACTTCCTCGTTTATAAGACTTTCGGTGTTTTCCTTAATTTGATCAATCAAACCCCTATATGATAACACTTTTGGCATTGAATTCTAGGACACTCTACTTCCCATTCTACTAAGTCTTCTTCCAACATTTTTCTCAATTTATGTTTACTTCAGATCAATATATGAATATTTATTCACTTTTTAGATACCCAAGCCATTTAAACTGGATGTTGGCAATATATTATTAGATACCATAAACCAAAATGTTGTTCCTACATCATTGATTTTGAACTGTAAACCATTTTGTTAGTTAGACAAATGCAAACACAATTTATTAGCTAAATAGCATCCTAATCCAAATCCAGCTGTATTAGCAGTGATGTGGTGTTCACTCTTAAAATCCTACTTTAACATTTCTCTTAAATTCTTTTCATCTTCCTTACTCATTCCAATTCCAGTATCCTTGACAGAGAACTCTACATTTTCATCATTTAATTAATTAGCAGATATTATTATGGAACCATTTATTGTAAACTTTTAAGCATTAGAAATTAAATGAATTAAGATTTACTTGATTCTCCGTTAATCTGATATTATTTACTAACCTTCTGGTATGTAGTTTAAATATTCTAACTGTAATTACTTTTGTTTGCACTATTCTTGAAACAAGGTTGTCACAGTTTCAAGGATATTAGAAATATCTAATTGTTCCAATTATAATTTGAATTATCTACCAAGAATATCATTGTAATCTACCATATCCAAAATAAAGTTATGCATAATTTCGCAAGTATTTTTTATTGAATAATAGTATTATTGAGAGGGATATTTGTCTATGGCTACTTGTGCAATAGCCAAAATGAAATTTAAGAGTGTTCCAAATTCATGAGATATAGTTGTGAATAATTATTTCATTATTTAATATAAATATTGCCTTTTTAGATAATCGTCTCGCTCTTTGCTATCTTAAAAAGTGATATTGATCAATTCGCTATTCTCCTCTTAACTAATCGAAATGATATGATCTGGAAGTAAATCGCTATCTAATATCTACATTGAACCCATTTTTTTTTACTTAAATTGACTTAATAATTCAATTAATTCGATATTTTTAAATTTGAGGTCCAACTATTGTTTGCTTGAGAAGTCAACTTTTTTAACTTTTAAAGATTTGTTATTTAATTTTTGCTTTATATATTGATTCATAAAGATGCAATTCAAATTTTTTTTATCGAACATCATAATACCTTAACTTTCTAATTATCTAGGACTTTAAGATTTGGTTGTATTAGAAAAACAATGATTAAAATTTTTTTTTTTGTTTTTTAATTATTTATGTACAAGTATTAATAAGATTCCTAAAGCAAAAATTGCATTGCGAAAATAGTCAACCAAAGTGCTTGATACATTCACTACGACTAATATGCTAATTCCTTTGTTACAGTAAACTCTTTACCTAAAAGCGACAAATTTCTAAAGACTTTTTAATTGACTCTCTTACTGTCATTCATCAGTAATAAATAAACAATATTGTAAGGTATCAATTATTTATTATAGAATGCCATCAGACTAATTTAAACAGATAAAATCGTGGTTTCATACATTTGAAAAAATTGATTAGTCTCAAATTTTATACTACCAAATTAGGTGCAAATTAGTCCTATGTTTAAGCATATTGATGTAAGATTTGAGGCATCAAAACAACTTATAATATTTAGTAATAACATGGTGATCTTAATATATAACATATTATAATTAATAACAAAATTTTCACTTTTTTTTGTTTATTATTCGACTTTTTATTCTAAAGTTCAAAAAATACATTGCATCAACAATCCTGAATTTCCATTGTTATAAAGTCCTGCTTTATAATTTTAATATATGATCCCTATATTATGTCAACCTAATGAAAATCTGAAAGGAAATAAACTTAATTTTATTAAACCATTTGATAAACAGAAACTATATCTAGTATTCTGATATTTTTAGTAGTTTAAGTTTTAAGAAGTTTTGCTTTTAAGTTCTTAAAAACTAATTTAATTTATCGGTTTATAATATTTAATGGAAGATTTAAATAATCCCTTTGAATTATAATAAAAAAGTAAAGAGAATGTTTTAAAGTTACAGCAAAAGAAAACATTACTTGGATTCTTTTAAGTTATAATTCGATCATTTATGTAAAATTATGACTTAGATCGATCGTTATTAGTCGAAGATTATACCAAATTTTTATTATTCCTGTGGCATGATAGAAATAATAAAATTACTAAAGTTCTTTTAGATTTTTTCCAAATAAATATAATTATTATTATCTAAAATTGTTTAGGTTTAATTTTTCAGATTTGATTACGAAACTCAACAGTGGTTAGAAGAACACTTTGTTAATTTTTAGGTAGTATTTGATAGCAATATGTATTTATTATAAATTTTACATTTTGCTATTTAAATATTTTCCTTCAAATGATTATGAAACAGATTAACTTGTTTAGAATTGAGTTTTTGTTTTTAAGAATATGATGCACACTTGCTTAAGCTATGAATAAAATACTCGTTGCAGGATTTTAATATAATGAATTTATAAATTATATAACTTATCATTTAATGGCTGATGAAGATGGCTTTTTGAGTGATGATGTATTAAGTGATGCTAATTAAGGGTTCTTTTACGGATAGGAAAAAATAGAATAAAGTTGTCCTAAATCAAATGGTTGAATTATGGAAGGACAATGAAGATTTTAACAGATCTGAGTATGTGACGAATGGAGTTTAACAATTAGCGAACGATTTCATGGAGGAATTAGACGAAGAATATGAATAGGAATATAAGGCAGCAAACGTACCAGAGTAGATTTGTATTGATTTGATCCATATGAATTCTTTACAGAAGGCTTATTAATATAGAGATAAGTATATAGTCAGCTATTAAAGTAGCTAAGATATCCGATGTTGCGCGTTAGAAAATAAATACTAATTTTGGTCAAAACAATTTCATATACTGCTTTAAAGATTTCAAAACACTAATTATTTGAGGCCTTGACTCTGGTGGTAATCATAATAAATTCCATTTTACTTTCAATATAGTATGATGATCAAGAGGCTATTGAATTAACATTTTTAATATTGTATTACATAGAAGCGTTGATAAAAATAATTGGGAAAGGACTAATTTTTAATTCAGGTGCATATTTGAGAGATATTTGGAATGTAATTGATGCCTTGGTTATAGTGGCTGGTTCTTTGTAGTATTTCATGAGTACATCAGTTTAATTGAGTGCTTTGAGGTCACTTAGAGTCCTAAGACCTATAAAGGCAATTTCATCAATAAAATCGTTGAAGTAAATTATGACAACCTTCTTTTTATCTTTCAATGAATTGGCAAATGCCTTGTTAGTGCTGGGATTCACCCAAGTGATATTTGCAATAATTGGATTATAACTATTCTAGGGCTACACTAAGTATAGATGTTTTGATGAGATTGGAATCCAATCGATGAAAATTGATTAGCAATATTGTCATAATTGTCTTGATGGTTATATATGCGGCAAAATGTTGGAGAACCAAAAAAAAGGATATTTGAGTTTCGATAATTTTGGTTTAGCACTATTGCAAGTGTTTATAATTAGTAATCTGGAGGGTTGGGTGGATATTATGGCAGCTATTATTTACACTTTTTCAGAAGTGGCAGTTCTTTACTTCATCACATTCATAATAATCAGTGCCTATTTTTTAATTCATCTGACCTTAGCAATTTTGAAGGTAAATTTTAAGAAATCCAATCATATTGAAGATAATTAGGTTGAAGAGGTGTCTTACAATTATAGATAGTTGAAGAGATTGAATATTTATAAGCCGATAAACGATAATAAACGAAAATAAAATTTCCATAGATAGCAAAGTATGAGAAGATCAAGAATTATCAGATCAATCCAACCTAAGCAACCTACTTTTATAGAGAATTCTGTTAATTAAGCTGCTCAAGTCAAATTGCCATTTAAACCATTACTCATAAACGAATATAGTAAGCCTAAGAAACTTAAACATCATAATACTATGATTACATTACATGGAATTTATGGGGTTAAGAATGATGAGTCGAAATAGAAAAACAATGATTCAAATAATCATTTGTACAGAAGAGCCACTTAAAGAAATATTCTTAAAAGAGGAACTAGTATTTTAGAGAGCAATCCCCTTCAAGAATTAGAATAAATGCTTCAAGGGGAAAAGGAAAGAATTCCTAGATAGACATTAGCCTAATAAAAGTTAATTAAAGATGTGAAGTTAATTGCATCTTCTTTTCAGAGAACTCCTGCTTTGATCACAACTGTAAAGTAAGCTCTTAGAAAAAGCCGAATTGAGCAAGAGATCAAATAACAAGACAATTCCTTGAGTGTTTCACTAACTGAAATCGAGTCAGTGGCAGATGAAAAGGTGAAGGAGCGATTTTAAGAGCTGGATATTCTCTATTAAGAAGACAAGGAAGAAAAAGTGGGGGGAGAACCCAAAAAGCAAATCTAGACTACTTCAAAAAAATAAAAGAAAGCGGAATAGTTTAAACCTTAACCCCTGGAGATTAGCAAAGAAGATGAGAAATTGAAGATTAGACTCTTCGAAACTAAATTATATCCAAGAGTTCTGTATAAAGAGCATATTTGTGAATCAATCAAAGATGTATTGCCATCCTTAGAGAGAGAAACTCAATTGCTAGAACTTAAAAAGAGAGAAGAAAAACGTAGGAATATGAAGGTTTCATTGCGATACCAACTATAAATTCAATTCATAGAGAAGAAATTTGAAAAGAAAGATAGAAAACTCACTTATGATTCATCAAAAGAATCTTCAAATAAAAATATTAAGATTTTTCCTGACTCTGTAAAGCAGTAGTCTAAATTTGCCAGATAGGCTGATTTTATTGCTAGATCACCTTCTTCATTTAATGGCAGCAATCGTTAAAAGATGATTGGGAAATCTTATTTTAAGCCTTACAATCAGAGTTAAAAATACTCGTATAAATAATACAAAGAGTTTTTTAATATTGATTTAACAGATCAATAGCTACGCAATAGAATAGAAGAAGTTGAAATAAAAGAACCTGATATAAGAATTCCGAAGGAAGAGTACTTCCATCATCATAAATTCTATTAACAATTCCATAATTAAAAAATATAGGATATAGAAAACTTGAATGGAGAATTGATAACTGAGGCTTCAATTTTAGAGGTAAAGGCAGTTGATTTTGATCCTTTTATGATGAATAAGTATGAAAAGATTATTTAAGCCTTAAATTATACTCAGGATAATTTTTACATTTACATGAAAGGGATTGTCGGGTTATACAAATTAGTTAGATTTAGGATGAATATTATTTTAGGCACAAATGCTTTTGAGTATATAATTAATCTTTTCGTCTTAGCCAACACAGTTGTATTGGGACTAGATGGTTTAGTTAGTAATAAAAGTGAACTAGAAAAATTGAATTTGTTTTTTACAATTTTGTTCACAATTGAATAGGTTTTAAAGATATTTACATATGGTGTTTCTAAATACAGCAAAGACATTATGAATATATTTGATTTGTGCATAGTTCTACTTAGTTTGATTGACTTGTTATTCTTATCATCTGGAAGTGGATCACACTTATAAGCATTTCGGTCGCTGAGACTTTTTAGGGCTTTCAGAATATTCCGAGTAACTAAATTAGTGAGGTATAAATATCAATAACTTTAATTAGGAGTTTGGCATACACAAACTTTTTGATCTAAATTTTGAGCAATGCTTTCTATTCGCTTATGTACATAACATTTCTATTATTTCTATTCATTTATATATTCACACTATTGGGCATGTCATTTTTTCAAGGAGCCTTAACAAATACTCAATACAGAACTAGTTTTGATACATTTTTGGATAGTTTGCTAGTAGTCTCTTAGATTTTGATTTTATAATGGATTGATGTTTTGTACGAATTGTTATTGTCAGATGTGAACAATTCATTAGTGATAAGTTATTTATTAATATGGATATTTATTGGAAATTATGTTCTGCTTAATTTATTGATGGCTAGTCTGTTGAATTATTTTGAAGACGAGTATCAATAAGAAAACATTCAATAATAAAGGCCTTCGATTACTGTGACTATGGTGGATAAAGTGATTGAAGACAGTCCAGAAAATCCTATTTTTCAGAAGGATAAAACTTAATTTAGTAATTCAAGTTCAAATGATATGAGAATGTCTACAATGAAGAATGCTTTTACTTATAACTTTGATTTTAGATAATGTAAGCTGTCCTTGATGTTGTTTGATGAACAAAACGCATTCAGAATAGTTTGTTAAAGAATTATTAATCACAAAGTGTTTAATTTGGTTATCTTCTTTGTAATATGTTTTAGTACAATAAAATTGATTTTGGATACATATTTTGATAACTTCCTTATTGAATTTGATATTTTTATTACCTGTGTTTTTTTGATAGAATTTCTGCTAAAAGTAATTGCATAAGGATTTATAACTGAACCTAACACTTACATGAGGAATACTTGGAACGTATTAGATTTTACAATTATCATAATTTCAATCATTGACATACCTTATACAGATTAGAATCTCAGTTATTTTAAGGTGCTCAGGTTGTTGAGAACTTTAAGGCCTTTGAGATTAGTCAAAGAAAATAAATAGTTGAAGTTATTAGTGACTACTCTATTGAATTCTCTTTCAGGGGTACTGAATGTGACCATTATTATCGTATTAGTGTTTATAATGTTTGGCATACTAGGTGTTAGTTTGCTACAGGATAAAATGCACTATTGTGATATAACCTCTTAAAATGAGTTTAATTATTATGATTAACAGGAATGCAAGGAACTGGGTGGAGAATGGAGTAATAGGAATATGAATTTTGATAATATCTTAAATTCAATTCTGACACTATTTATCCTGAGTAGAAGAGACGATTGGGACAAACAAATATATTGGTATATAGATGCAAGTGATGATGGTCCTGAAAAGAATGCTTAATTATGGATAATTATATATTTTCTCACATTCATATACACAGGATCAATATTGTTGATGGATTTGTTTACTGGAGTGATTTTTGTAAATTACAAGTTTGCTGATTTCTCAATGAAGGATAAGGTGATATCGGCTGATTAGGAGGATTGGATTAACATTTAAAAGATGATCGTTGCTTCCAGTCCAAATTTTGCATTGTATTATCCTCCTCTGAATTTCTATAGAGCACTTATCTTCAACCTGATATCAAACAGATATTTTGATGGAACAATAATATTTCTGATAATTTTCAATGTTGTTGTATTATCTCTGAATTATGACGGTAATTATCAAATTTAATTGTAGAATCCTCAAGCAATTACAATTCCATTTTAGAGAACTTGAATCTGTGTTTCAACTTCATCTTCATTGGGGAGTGTATTCTAAAGATAATTGCATATGGTCCAAGAGGATACTTCAGGAATAGTTGGAATTAGTTTGATTTCTTTGTGGTTTTGACATCAGCTTTGGATATCACTCTGAAGTTGAGTGGGGCGAGCAATTAGAATTCATTCTTGTCGTCTGGCCCATAATTATTTAGAGTGTTTAGGGTGTTGAGAGTAACCAAGTTATTTCGGTTGGTGAAACAATTGAAGGGTTTAAAAAAACTGATTGACACTGCAACATTTGCATTGCCTGAACTATTTGAATTGATCCTACTTATGTTGTTGATGTATTGTATCTTTGCAATCCTAGCAGCATTTCTATATTCTGATGTGACTGATGGGAGCATTATTGACGATACTTATAATTTTAAGAATTTTCATCATGCACTCTTGACTCTTTTTAGATGCACCACAGGTGAAGGTTAGTATTAGATTATTTATGATATTATGGAATCTCATGGAGCAGTCCATTGTTTATTCTTTGTTGTATTCTCAATTGCAATTTAAAGAATCATGTTAAATTTGTTTATCTTGATTGTCATACAATAATATGAACGATTTTATATCAATTCTGACAACCCACTTCAGAGATTCAAAGAATTCGAATAAGACTTCATAGATGGGTGGGCACCTCTATCTAAACAATATGGTGGCAGCTATATCAAGGTTAAATAGTTGATCAGTCTGGTATTAACAATCAAATCTCCTCTTGGCTATGATCTCAACGAGAAGATCTTGTTGGCTCTGGATGACTGGAAGAAGTTCAATTAGGAAGTTAAACAAACTCAATAGAACATTGATAGGATCATCAACATTGTAACAGCTGATTGCAAAAAGAAAGTGGCCACCACTATCATGACAATGGAAATGACAGCCACAGATGATGGATAATTGGAATATCATTATGTCTTCTTCACTATCATGAAAATGTTCCAACAATAATTTATGCAAAAAACCACCAAGGAGGCTAAAACCAAAATCAAACAGCATGAAGAACAAACCCTGCAAAGAATTAGAAAAAATAGAATTTACATCAATGGAGTGAATCCCTGTGTGTAATTACTATATGTGATGATGTGCTTTAAAGCATTCAAGAGATTCTCAGAGAAGGCTCAAGACAAAGCCCTACAAAAACCACAGGAATTCAGCGAACAAAGCTCAGATTCATATTATTGTTATTCAAGTTCCGAGATTGCACAACGTGAACCTCAAAGCATCATGTCGAATACATCTAGAGAATCCTAGAACCAATTTTGCACTCCACCTGATCTTACTGTCTATCAGAGTGACATCAACATCAACAGCAACAAGACTTCCTTGATCCAAATTTTTAATAGGCAACAGGTGTCCTTAAGTTAAACAAGTGAAATCAACAGTCCCTATATCGAATCAGCTAAATGATATTAAGATCTATATATAATATTTTAAATTATTATTATTATTATTAAATATTCTGAAATCATTATGAGTTTTGATTTTGAAGAGTTTGAAACGAGCTTTGAAACACAGAAGAAAATGTTAGACAATCGGATTTTGTAAATCCAGAAGTAGAATGAAACCCTCATGCAATATCAATCGATTAAGTAAAATACCATATGTAAGCTTGAAAAGATAGGATTAATTACGAGAAATCAAATAGGACATGAAATTAGAGTTGTAGGAAATTAAATAGATCATCGCCGCTCTTGAAGACAGTGCTAATAGGGATCAAAAATTCCAACTCAAACAATTAAAATAAAAAGTGATCAAAAATGAGGAACAACACAAAGCCATCGTCAAATAACTCATCAAACAATCGATTTCAGAACAGTTTGATAGGTTGTCGATGCAGGAATCACAATTCCTTTAGGATAATCAGATGGCTGAGTTACAAAAAAGCCAAACTAAACTCATGGTCTCTTCAAATTCAATCCCAAATAGTCTTCCCAAAGACAATGAAATATTAATTGTTCCATCTAAGAAATAAAGTGGATTGTCATTATCTTTAAAATAGCCACTTCTTGAATTAGAAAATGAATAACTCTAAGAGAAAAGGGACTCTAATGAAAAGGATACCAAGGAAATTGAAGAATAAGTTGTATAATAATTAAATTAAGAATATATAGAATATTAAAATATGATTGTTGAATAGGAGAATTTAGAAAAATATAATCAAGAAATTGATTAACTCGTCACATTTTAAAAAAGTGACAAGAAATGCTTCAAATATTCAATAATCAGTGCAATTGTATTAATCATCCTCGGTGTTCTAATATTTTTGATAATACATTATTTTTATATTAAATGATATTGGCTTTTTTATATAGTAGCATGTGGCTTTGTAACACAATCTATGAAATGGTGCTTGGGATTGAGTACAATATTAATATGATAGAGACAGCTATTTTACCATGGTATTGAGTTTGTAATCATACTTTGTTTTCTCTCAGTTCAATACTTACAAAAAACAAGAGAATAATTGTGTATTTTGATTCCAATATTCCTCTTAATGTTGAATGTTGTAAGTATGTATTTTTCATATCATAGTTATTGTATCTGCGGCGAATTAGGAAAGACTTTTTCTATTCATATTGCCGACTTAAATATATGATAGTTTAAATAGGAATGAAACTAAGAGGAATTATTTCATCATATGCAAAGTATTGCACTTTGTTTCTTTATGCGTTTGGAAAGTCATTCAAAATTTGAATAATGGTGAGCCAATTGTTATTATATTTATTCTAATCTTATTCTCTTTAGTTAGTCCAAGGGAGCAAGACAAATAATTAAAACGCAACGATACTGACTTCGAGGACACAATTCACATAAGAACAAACTCAGATTCTGATCGTGTATAGGAGATGCAAAATAATTTGGTAGGCATAATCAAATTGGATTGGACATATAACCTTATCATGTGCAATTCACGAGCTCAAAATTTGCTAAAAAACATAAAAATTTAAAATCTTTTAGACAGTCTTGTGATTTCAATCGACAAATAGACCAAATCATTGTTGCAAGATTAATTTAATTGCAAATTCCCGTCGATTCAAGATTTGAAGGAGCTTCAAAATGCTTATACTTTAAAAGAACTCATTGAATAAATCAAATAAAATCAAAAATACCCATATGAATTTGAAGTATTCTGCTTAAAAGGATATAATGACTTTTATTTGAAAATTTTTATATTTGATTCTAAATCATTAACAATAGTGATGTCAAACATGGAAGAGTACAAATTATAGATTAAAAAAGTATTTACTCAAACCACAATGCAACAGCTATTCAAAAGCTTTAGTCACGAGTACAACACCTCATTAAATTACATACTTGCCTTGGCTTAAGTGGCTGAATGTCATAATCAAGTACCAAAATATATTTAGGAACAATTTTTTAAACCAATCTTAGCAAATGGAAAAGTCATGCATAGTATGGTATTGGACATGATGGACTACAACAGCATTTTAGGGAAAACATTCAGTCTAGAAGTCTCACATTTCAATATCTAGGAACTCATTTTAGAAGTAATCTCACTTTTCAAGGATCAAATCAAGAAAAAGAATCTTGAAATTGAATTTGAAAACAATCTCCAAGTTGCTGATATTTTATCTGATCGGAATAGAATTAAATAAATTTTGATAAATCTTGTTTCTAACGCATAAAAATTTACACTTCATGGTAACATAAGATTGAGAGTAGAATATTAAATTTTAAATGCTAAGCACTAAGAAATAGTCTTCCATGTCTAAGACACAGGAATAGGAATGGCAAAAGAGGAATAAGAAAGGTTAGTCCTACTATTGCAATCAGGAGTACCATCTATTTCAAAAATCTCAAAAAATACTGCCGGTTTTGGATTGGGTCTATTTATTAGTAATAAAATTGCAGAAGCACTATCCTAATAAAGATATGAAAAGGGGGGAGGTTTGAGATTTGAGACTCAGACTGGTAAAGGTTTTCATTGTTGGTTTTCCGTTTACCATTAGATTGTGAGTCCTTCTATTAAACCAAATAATCCAAGAAGTCCTTTGGTGTTGTTGAATAAAAAGGTGGTGATTGACACCAGATAGAGCTAAGTCAATGCTGGAGTGGAACATCTGAGAATGACTTAAATGAGGTCGAAGTTCTCGCATCTGCTCAACAATAAGGTACCTTCAATTGAGTAGAACTTAATACGAGAAAGAAGGCCTCATAATAAGCTAAAGCTTGTTTAGACATTGATTGATGCTGTTTCATAGGATTCAGTCAATAAGGAATGTTCAATTGATGAGTTTTAGAATAGGATCAAGTACATGAAAGGATCTGGCCAATAAAAGCAGGAGTTATAGCAATAATAATGTTAAATAAGAATAAATTAATCCAATTAAGATTGCAGGTGTCCATAGATTTTGATTGTGGATGATGAGTAAATCAATATTATGGCATTGTCAATTTTGTTGGAGCAATTCAATCTTACTGCGGATCAGGTGTTTAATGGGTAGGAATGTGTGGATTTGATATTTTCAAACTAAAAGAAAAGTATATGATTTTATATAGTTAGCATATTGCAGCAAGTGCAGTGACAAGTAGTACCACCTTATTTTTATGGATATTAACATGCCTCTTTTAGATGGGTGGGAGGCATCGAGACAAATAAAAAAGAAATGTTCAATATCCATAATTGCTTGTACTGCGTTTACTGACAATGAAACAAAGGAGCAGTGTTATTAAAATGGAATCGATTATTACATCTCTAAACCAGTTAAGAAGGACTCTTTAGCGTAAGTGCTTCAATATTACGATATTCTTTGACTATTTATATAAAATTTTGGATTTAAAATATTATTAATTTGTCAAATTAAATGAAAGTTTGCCAAATTTGTTATACGAATGAATCATTTATAACTCCTTGCAATTGCTAAAATTGTGTTCCTTGTTTAATAAATTGGTTTGGAATTAAAAACAATGAAACTCAAATAATTAATTTCAATTGTCCCAACTAACATTGCTCTTACAACTACTCGAGATAAGAACTCTAAAATATTTGTAAATATCCCCTTTACGAATAATAACTCTCGGAAATTTTGCTAAAAGAGTATTTAAAAAACCAAGATATCAGACCATGTCCCAATGGTAAATGTAGGAATTTCGGATTCATTGATTTAAATTCCAGATGTGATCAATTATTGCAATGTACATCTTGTTAGACTAAGTGGTTGGATATATCAATATCATCTTAGGCAGTTCAGTTGGAATATGGGTTTTCAAATATGTATTTTAATATCAAGGATTTCATATATTGTTTTTTATTTACCAATGAATGTCCTCAATGTGGAGTTTAGATATAGAGAAACGGAGGCTGTCAACACATGACATGTAAAGCCTGTCAACATTAATTTTGTTGGTATTGTAAATTTAGGTGGAACGGTCATATGTTGAGACTTTGCAGCTTCTGCTATGCTACTAAGATGGGTATATTTGTTTACATCCTCATGTCGCTTTTGCAAACACTTGGACTCCTAAACACAGTCTTGTTTTTATTCTCGTTGCCATTTAAATGGTTTACTTTTGTGATATTGGCTAACTCAATTCCATTCGGATTTGTCGTAGGAGTAGTGTATTTCTGCTATGGATTTTCTCATTTGTATTGTTAATGGTACAAAAAAGGGACTCTGGAAGTTACCATTTCCACAGTTTCACTTATTATTTGGTATATGCTACATAGTTTAATTGCTGACATTTTTGACCTATCTATTTCGATATACATAAGTGCAGTGATGTGGGAAGGCATAATTGCCGTTGTTATTGTGTGCTATTTATTTAGATAACAACTGACTTGGATTGTATTCCCCATCTCTGCCATGTCTCTACTTTACTACTTTGGATTGAATGGATTATGTCTGTTATGTTGGGGATTGCCAATTATGAAGAAGTAGTTTGCAAATAACAAATACTTGTTTTAGTGTGCAGGATATTTGTTATTCATTATATTGAACATCTTTGATTTATAGGAATAAATTTAACAAAATAAAATTAGTTACATTTTTAGTTTGAATTTAGTCTATATTTTGTATGTGGAGAAATCAAGAATATTTGATTACATAAGATTTTGAATATGATATTGATATTTATAAATGATTATAATTTATTTATTATTTTTAATATATTATTAAAATATTAATTTATCATAGGTTATTTATATATTAATGACGTAAATTCATAATTCTTAATATTTTTGAACCTTTAATTATGTCATCGAATTAATAAATGAATAACGATATTAATTATATGTTAATTTAATAATGTTAAANTTCAATTGTCCCAACTAACATTGCTCTTACAACTACTCGAGATAAGAACTCTAAAATATTTGTAAATATCCCCTTTACGAATAATAACTCTCGGAAATTTTGCTAAAAGAGTATTTAAAAAACCAAGATATCAGACCATGTCCCAATGGTAAATGTAGGAATTTCGGATTCATTGATTTAAATTCCAGATGTGATCAATTATTGCAATGTACATCTTGTTAGACTAAGTGGTTGGATATATCAATATCATCTTAGGCAGTTCAGTTGGAATATGGGTTTTCAAATATGTATTTTAATATCAAGGATTTCATATATTGTTTTTTATTTACCAATGAATGTCCTCAATGTGGAGTTTAGATATAGAGAAACGGAGGCTGTCAACACATGACATGTAAAGCCTGTCAACATTAATTTTGTTGGTATTGTAAATTTAGGTGGAACGGTCATATGTTGAGACTTTGCAGCTTCTGCTATGCTACTAAGATGGGTATATTTGTTTACATCCTCATGTCGCTTTTGCAAACACTTGGACTCCTAAACACAGTCTTGTTTTTATTCTCGTTGCCATTTAAATGGTTTACTTTTGTGATATTGGCTAACTCAATTCCATTCGGATTTGTCGTAGGAGTAGTGTATTTCTGCTATGGATTTTCTCATTTGTATTGTTAATGGTACAAAAAAGGGACTCTGGAAGTTACCATTTCCACAGTTTCACTTATTATTTGGTATATGCTACATAGTTTAATTGCTGACATTTTTGACCTATCTATTTCGATATACATAAGTGCAGTGATGTGGGAAGGCATAATTGCCGTTGTTATTGTGTGCTATTTATTTAGATAACAACTGACTTGGATTGTATTCCCCATCTCTGCCATGTCTCTACTTTACTACTTTGGATTGAATGGATTATGTCTGTTATGTTGGGGATTGCCAATTATGAAGAAGTAGTTTGCAAATAACAAATACTTGTTTTAGTGTGCAGGATATTTGTTATTCATTATATTGAACATCTTTGATTTATAGGAATAAATTTAACAAAATAAAATTAGTTACATTTTTAGTTTGAATTTAGTCTATATTTTGTATGTGGAGAAATCAAGAATATTTGATTACATAAGATTTTGAATATGATATTGATATTTATAAATGATTATAATTTATTTATTATTTTTAATATATTATTAAAATATTAATTTATCATAGGTTATTTATATATTAATGACGTAAATTCATAATTCTTAATATTTTTGAACCTTTAATTATGTCATCGAATTAATAAATGAATAACGATATTAATTATATGTTAATTTAATAATGTTAAATAACATCTCTGACTTCTTAAGACGTATTGATCAATTCGGAGCAAGTTACAAACCAAGTTATACTTATGGATAAGTTTAATTTAAAACCAGTTTAGGAGGGTTGCTTTCTATAGTGCTTTATGGATTAAGTTTAGCTTACTTAATATACGAATTGATTCTTTGGAAATCTGGAAGAATTTTGCCAAAAGTAACAAGTTTATAAACAGAAATCGAAACCTATTCACTTTAATTTGACAAAGTAGCCTCTTTTTGTTTGAGAAAGCACACAAGCATTCATAATTAAATAGATCCATTCGACCCAAACAATGTCATTGTACTGCCTATGCTCTATGAAATATTAAATGACGAGTTCTAAGAACCTTAAACTCTACTATCAACAAAAAAGTCAGAAAAACATGGGACCTATTTAATAGAAGTCAAAAATATAGAACTATCCAATAATGAGCATGAATCTCTCGATCATCCAAACAAAGAGTTTTTGTTGGTGTTCCAGGAATGTGCTTAAAATCTATTGCCAGAAGGTTGGTATTGTGCTAAAGAGGACAGAATTAAAACATTTTTTAATTAAAAGCAAAATTAATTGCAAATACAAACATTTGTAAATTAATATAATACTTCTACTAAAAAAATTGATATTGTTGAACAAGATTATTATGCATCCTTCGACAATAAAACTACATATTTTAGCTAAATTGTTATTGGATCTACTAATATTTCAATAGATACTGGATTCTTGCTTGAAAGTTTAGAGATCATTGAATTTCCAAGTTCACTCTAATCTTACATCCAATAAATGGACTTAGATTACTTTGCTCATTCATTTTAAAGCAAGATATTCTTAGCCTTTGAATTTGAATTAGGCACCTTATAATAAACTGTTTATGTGGAATATCCCAAGGTATCAGAAGTCTTAGCCAATATTGGATCCATTGTCTCATTCTTTTTATTCTTTTCTCATATTGCCTACATGATAAATGAAAAGAATCTTGAACTCAAAGTCTTGAGAGCCTTAATTGAAATGTATTATCCACAGATGAAAGAGGTTACTTTTAAAAAAAATGTTTTTGGAAAAGTGGTTGAAATTTTGTATAAAAACTCAAGCGTGTCTATGTCTTTTCTAGAAACATATAATAAATTTTTAAAGATTTCTCAAGCCAAGTTATCTCTAACAAATTAACTATATGAGCTTTCGAGATTATAATTTATATTGAAATCCATTTGTGATAAATAGGTCTTTAGAGATTGCCATGATATCGGAATAAGACTAAAAGGTTTAGATTTCGAACATGATCCAGATAAACATAATAAACCCAATATTATTAAAGTGGAAAATATTATTCAACAAGAATTGAAATTAGAAAATGTTGAAAGTGAATCTGTCAAAGAATTGAACATCACAAAGATCGTAATATTATTATACCATATTTATAGAATCCTAAAGCCACGATTGACATGCAATCAAATTAAATTTAAGTAGAATAGTTGAACCAATCATAAAGTTTATTTTTAGGAAAGATAATTGAAAACCAAATAGTTGATGAAGAAGAATTGAAACTATCAGATGAAGATTTCTATGTCTTAATGTAACATTAATCTCGCATTAAGGAGTTGGAATATGAAACGGTAACCCCCAAAAATTAATAACAAATCTAATATGAAGTGTAAAATTGAATCTATGTGCATAATAATTATTAAATACCTGTATTAAGTTCTATATATTTTACTGATATAAACCAAAATAACACCCTCTTTAAAAGTTAAGAAACATTTAAATTTGGCTTCACTGTTTTGTACATGTTTAACTGTAAAAAACAAATTAATCTAGACACAAAAAAAGGTTGTTATTTGAAATGATATGATTAGTGTATCTAATTTTAAGTGATAATAGATACATTTTTTCAATCGCAAAAAATCAAGAAAGAAAAAATCTTATTCTTTGATATGTAACATTAAAACTAGAACACTGATTCGAGTTAAAAAACTTTATTATCTCCTCTATAAAATCATTCATTTTTACTATAATATAATAAGCTATGATTTTTATAATCTCAGTCGAATTGAAATTAATAACTGTCAAAAGTTTACTTACTGTCCTTTCTAAGCTTAAATTGACCAGTAATATTAATGAAATTATTTGAATTACAACATTGTTTCTGAGAACATTAGGGGCATATGAGATTCTTCAAGGAACAACAAACTCCTATTTAATGCATTTTGCAATCTAATTTTTAACGCTTATTATAATTAGAAAAATCTGTATAACACAGAGTACATTAACCAAAGGTCTAATAGTGTAACTCTTCTTCTTCAGTCATTTGTATTTCCATCTGTTGTTCTAAATTCTATTCTTTGGTTACATGTTCTAAGGGTTAAATGAGAATCTCTTCTTTTTATTCTTTTTACTTCTGTTCTTATTCTTAAAGTAATTTGTTTTATTACTCTTCAAAAAACCTGTCAAAATCAGGTTGATTTAAGTATTAAGTGCAATTGGGAACAGGGCATTTCAATGAAATTGAATATCTATTTCCGTTCAATATCAAATCATTTGAACAAGAAAAGCATAATAAGTGTAGACAATTTTTATTGAAATGTTAATGGTTTTTATTGATTTTTACTTTGCATTTAGAACATCCAAAGAGAATACTTTAAGCTTTTTCATTTAAATTGTTGCCATTTACTTTTTCTAAATAATATTCCTAATGATTTGAAATTTGTGCTTGATCCAAAGTTTAAGTAGATTTTCTCAAGCATTTTATACACAAACTATTTTTTTAAGCACTTTAAATTGATTTCCTTTTTAATTAGTTTTTACCACAGTTGCTACATGGTTTAAATTCTAGATTGATCGTTTCTTCTCTTTTATCTACAGGGGCCTCTCCAGAGCAATACTCAATATAGGAGAATAGATCTATTAATGAAGAACAATCTCTATTTAAACATTTATAGTTGATATCAAAATTAGTTATTGTTTAATTTAAGCATTTCGAACAAAAGTGATGATTGCAAGTGCTATTAACAAAAAGTGGAGATTATGTTGCTTAATTACAATTCATACAAGTTTAATGTGATTTAGTTGAATTATCTTAATTATTATCTTATTGATTTTCTTATTCAATTTAATTTTTTACTAATTCTTTTTAGTTGATCTTTTTAATCTGTAATGCTCTGTTATCAATCCATTCTTCACTCTCTTTATAAACCTCGATCACTTTGAGTTTAAATAAATGATTAAATTCATCGTAACCACAAAAATTATCGGCTTCGCAGTTTTAGTTTTAGTGTTGTTATTCATTGCATTATGAGGGATTTATTTGATTCACAGTTGATTGTTAATTCTCATTAAACTGTTTGATGTAATAATATTGGTTATTTTTCATGTAAATAAATATCATAGGTTTTTATGTATCCACTTTCAGAAAATAATCTCCAAAAACACAAAATGATAGCTGTAAGGCCTTGCTCAAAGTGATGAGTGTTTATAAGAGATTGTCTATTAATGTTCGATAGTGATAATTGCAAAACTCAAATAGTAAGGTATCAGTTCTTGTATAATTAGGATCATTTATTGATGCAGAATGATAGAATTCGGATAAATTTCTATCTTGTAAAATACAACTTTTTATTTTTTGAGCAATCTCTTAAGCATAGCGAGTATATGGTTTGTTTGGATTAACTAATGTTTTCAGCTGCTCAATATTGTTATTAGCCAGATGAAAATCAAGTATGGACATTAACAAAGTTAACGATTAACTAGAACCAATAAACTACATTGCTGAATAAGGTGCCCACTCTCTATATTTTGATTTTAGCAATTCTGGAATTTGAATTACATCTCCTTCTTTCGCTTGATCCATTTATTTTGATTTAAATATTAATAGTATTTACTATTAAATTATAATGTATAATTATAATTGATGTTTTAATGGAATTTTGGATTGCAATACTCCGTTTAAAAATATGTTCAGAAAATTATAAATTACAATGTAATGCTAAATCAAATTTCTTTTTTGTAAAGTGATTCATGAACATTTGAAATATTCAAGATGATTAGTTCATTAATGATCCAATATAAATAATAATCGATGGCCACCAAGGAACATTCTCTCTATAAGTTAGTCCCAAAGGAATAGGCAGAGGCATTTGCATGGTCATTTGAAGGACCAAATACAGAGGCTGTTCTTTATCCATTCAAATTTCCAGCAATCCAACCACACGAAGTGAGAATCCAATAGACCTACTTTGGTTTGTGTTACACTGATTGTAAAATTGAAATCAATATCAAAAGGCCATCTTGTTAATTAAGATTGGTTTCCAATCAATTATCCAAGTGTTCCAGGACATGAGATATTAGGCCATGTCGTCATGAAAGGGGACTAAGTTACACAATTCTAGATTGGTGACTTGGTTGGAGCAGGATTCATAAGAGACAGTTGTGGAAACTGCAAATAATGTATATTAGGAAATGATTAACTATGTGGACAAAAAGGGGATGAACATTTAATCCCTCTCCCCAAATTTGGCGGATTCGCAACTCATGTGTAATTCCCTGCTAAATGGGCTTTTCCCATTCCAAATACAATCCCTTAACAATTGGCTCCTCCCCTTTTATGTGCTGGTATTACAGTCTTTGCTCCTTTAAAAAGATATTTCAATGCCAAAAAGGAAGTCGCCATTATTGGCATTGGAGGATTGGGACATTTGGCCATCAAATTCTCAGCTGCTCTGGGAATGAGAACAACAGCAATATCTACTTCCCCAGATAAGGAATAGGAGGCTAGATCTTATGGAGCTGTTGATTTCATTGTTTCATCAAACCCAGAATCAATGGCCAAGGCTACAGGAAGATTCGATTTGATATTGGGTTGTGCTCATGCCAGCACTGTCGATGAATTCATTGATTAAACTAAGTTATTAAAAAATGGAGGAGACTTCGTCATGGTTGGAATCCCTGCACTCACTAAAGTTGAGTTGTAATTGCCCTTCTATTAATTGGTATGCAGATAAATTTCATTTATTGGATCTTTGGTTGGATCAAGACAAGTAAGATATTACAAGGTTATTTTTAGGAAAATTACGAAATGATCGAATTTGCAAACAAGCATAAGATATACCCAACTTGTGAAGAATTTGAATTTGAGAACTTCAAAAATGCCTATGATAAATTATTAAACGGAAGACCAAAATATAGATGTGTTGTTAAAGTTGGCAATGCACCCTAAACATTAAAACAATGAGGAAATGAATTAAAAATCAATTTAAATATAAACCATTCTTATTTTTAATGAAATGATGAATTTAGAATAATCTTAACTTTATTTCCTCTTAAAATTTTTACTTTGTTTTTTTGATCAATTTCAGACTTATTATCAATTCAATTGAAAATAGAAATTGATTTGAATTTCAGTTTTATAATGAACAAAGTTTGTATTACAAAATCCTATAATCAGTAATTTTTTTATTCTTCATATCATTTGAATGTAGATACATACATAAATGAAAATGATATTTATGTGTTTAATAATTGATAAAAATTATTTATATTAATATTCAAATGGGAGCAGTGACTATTGTTGTTTTTGGAATAGTTCTAGCACTTTTCTTCAAATTGGCCTCAGACCTAGATGTATTCAAGCCAGTAACAAATTACAATGAATATGGAAATTGTAAATACCTAAAGGAGGATATAAGAGGGCCTGAGGATATGACCTAATATAATTCCACAACAATTATAATAGGTTCTGGAAATTTCTAGAAGGTGTATGCTTAGGGAAAACCAGAATTAGAGTAACAGGGCATTTATGCAATTTTAAATTCCAACAAAAAGAACTATAGTGTCCTCAAACTGGAGTTGAAAAACTTTCCAAAAGATGTGGCTTTATACATCCATGGAATATATGTGAGAAAACAATAAGACGGAAATTACTTGTTCGTAATCAACCATGCCTACCACAATGGAGGTGAAAGAATTGAAGTTTTCAAAATAGACGAGCATTTAGGACTAACCTACACTCACTCCATTATTATGGAGGAGTAGTACACAGGGATATTGAATGATTTGGTAGTGATTGATGATAATCGATTTTTGATCACTACTTACATGCCATTGCCTGATCCAAAACAAGGAAGATAGGCAGCAAATGCAGTGCATATCTTGTAAACCTTGTTTTATTAGTTGACTAAACAAAAGACTACCTACGTAATGGATTGCAGATTCAAAAAAGAGAACACTCTGATTCATCCTGTATGCAAGCAATTGCCCAACACATCGGGAATTATGAGAAATGGAATAACTTGGAACAAAAGGGATTTGGTTTGGGTAGCTGATTCTGTGGAGAAGGGATTCACTGAATATCAGATAAAAGGCGATGAATTGATATTTAAGAGGTTTGTTTCGGTGCAGAATGGAATAGACAATATAGAATATTAGGAGGAGAGAAATTCATTGGTAATTGGGTTGATTCCAAAATTATATAATTATTTCTAATTGGATCATTTTGTCAAGAATAACCAACTGGATAGGTAAACTAACTTTGAGTATTGGGGTGCTGTGGGAGAGTACGATTTGAGCAAAGATCAATTGCGCATCTTGTCTCAGAACAGGTATTTGTTGAAAGGACTTGCTGGAGGGTTGATGAGTGGGGACAATCTGTTTCTGGGAAGTTGGTGTGATGTGTCTGTTATGGTTTGTTAGAAAATTTGAATGATTGAAAATAATAATGTATAAAGAAGAATTAAATTCATTTCTAATATCTGAATCAGATATATAAATCTTAATTAAAATTTAAAAAATATATAATGGATCGTCTAAACCCATCATCCAAAGATTGCATTGTTCCCCTTATCGAAGAAAATTCCCCTTGTATTTGTAATAAATAATATAATATTATTAGAAAGCAACAAACAAGAGATTGACTCCCAATTTTTGCTGCCCCAATTTACATAGATGTTCCAGAATCCCGACCTTCTACTTTAAACTGTCCAACTGGAATAATTGAAGCTGCAAGCCCAATTCTACTCTCAGATGAATAATCTACCACTCATTACTGATGAACCTAGAGTCGTTGATCTATTCACCCAACAACTTCTCTAGTAATAACTCATGATTAATGCAGCTCTTCTCAATCAATTCTAAGTATTATCTCATTCTAAAGTAGGGCGTTGAAAATGCTAACTAGAGTCAAACAAAGGATTTAGGTGATAATAAAATTAAAAGAAAACATATTAAAAAAACCCATAATCCTCAGTTTAATACAGGTACTTAATATCTTAAATGTGATTAGGACATTGGAGTGCACAAGAACATTAGGTTTATTTGAACTTCTTGTCTCAACACAGGGATGTGATGGAAAGTTCTGAATTAAAAAAAACCAACAAAATCTTCAAACTGATGTCTGATATCATTAAGAGTCGCTCGCCCTCTTAATGTAGATCTCACCATCAGAAATTCAACCCCTATTCCAAGTACTTGATCAATGTATTAAATTTGGTGTATATTTTAGAATAACATTGTTCGTAGAAAAATGAAGGAACAATAGAAGGATGCCCAATAATAACAGTAGTAAAATTCAGAAAACGAAAATAATCAGTAATAGTAATCTCAGGAGTCGAATTTAAAGATTGAGTTCCAACAACAATTGCAGGAATTCAAAGTAGAATCACAACAATAACTCCAAGATTCTAATGTCAGAGAAGATTAACAACAAGCTAGTGGCCAGGATTGATTGCTTTATCATATTATTTTTTAATTATTATATTCATTATATAAATAAATGTATACGTTAATAAATGAGCTTTGGAATGCCTAACAATCCAATCCCTTCCAACTTTCTATCCACATCCCTCAAACCATTATCATAAATCAGGGATTCAAAATCCAATGGTACTTTTCATAAAATAATAAAATCCTTAAACGAAAATCCATAAACTGCAACATACCCTCAATCATCAGCTATCTAAAATAAAATAATACCCCAATGAACATAATAACAATCTCATCACCTTATGTTGTTGAAGGATTTGGTCAAATTTAATTGAAAAATGAACCAATAGCAATTGAATAAATATAATAATTATTAATACATTATCAAACTTACCCTCACATCATTGAGAACCCCATTATTTTGTAGGAACATTTTCAATTAGGACAACATATTTCATTAAAATGGAATAAAAATTACACCTTTATTTAAGAATGCGATTCCCATTCCTATTAAGTAAATTAACAATGCCTCAAATTAACCCCGCATTACAGATCTCAAATCAACATGCTAAGTTAATAACTGGTCCAAAGGATCCAACAAATCTATTAAGTTAGAGGACAATTGAGTGAAATGAACATCGTCATGTGTCTTCAAGATAAACCCATTTTCCTCTGGTGCACTGAGATTAAGTTCATCAATGATCAATACGTGAGATAAGAGGACGACCAGTTTCGATTGTGGAATAGGATCAAAGAATTTCGATTAACTTTCAATCCAATCACCAAACATCATAGATGTCAAAGCAATCTAGAAGGCTAGGCCATAAATCAAAGTTAATAGAATGACAATTTAAATAAGTCAACCCTATATCTTAATTTAAATGGTTTGATATCTAATAGAGCACACAATGTCAGTGTTACTTCTAATGTTTCAAACTCAAAATAGCATATTTAACCACTTTTTACATAGATGAAATCAGCTCGAAGTAATATAACATCAAATATCAATATCAATGTCAAGTAACTCCTACACAATAACAACCATAATTAATCACAGGAACTCTCTACTTAACGACAGAGTAGAGGAGGGTCTGTGTTGAAGCAATTGACAAATAGGTCATTTTCCAATCGATCCCAATCCATGTATAAAGTGCATTTGAATGATGATAAAATTCAGCAATGCGGCAATCAAAAGAAGAATGGATCGATGACTCAGAGAACTGAAGCTTCGGAATAGGAATTGTTATTGTAACCAAAAATCACGAAGAGCAGTTCGAAAGTTGTGAATTGCTTGAGGTAGAGATTGCAAGAAATTAAATTAAAATAGTTATTATGATTTAAATTCAATATAAAAATATAATTTATCAAAAAAAAATAAAAATTTCTTCTTATATATATAATGTCAGATATTGATTAGTGGATTGAGACTCTTAAGAATGGGGAGAATCTGAAGGAAACGGATGTCAAAATACTATGCAACAAGGCCAAGGATATCCTGAACAATGAGGACAACGTCATAAGAGTTGAAGCTCCAGTGACTGTAAAAGAAATTCCTATTTAGATTTGTGGAGATATTCATGGACAATTTTATGACTTAATGGAGTTGTTTAAAGTCGGAGGAGATGTTCCAGAGACCAATTACTTATTCCTGGGGGATTTTGTGGATAGAGGATATAATAGTGTTGAGACATTTTTATTGCTCTTGGCCTTGAAAGTGAGATATCCAGATTAGATTACATTGTATGACAATCAATATCATATGATAGAATACGAGGAAATCACGAATCCAGACAAATCACTTAGGTGTATGGATTCTATGATGAATGCTTAAGAAAGTATAGCACTTTGAATGTGTGGAAGTATTGCACTGAAGTTTTTGATTATTTGGCTTTGGCAGCAGTAGTCAATGACAACATTTTCTGTGTTCATGGTGGTTTGAGTCCTTACATCAAAACAATTGATGAAATTCGAATCATCAATAGAAAGCAGGAAGTGCCTCATGAAGGAGTAATGTGTGATTTGATGTGGTCAGATCCTGATGGTTAATTGTTATATTAAATGTTGTAGAAATTGAAGGGTGGAGTCAGAGTGCCAGAGGAGCAGGATTTGTTTTTGGGGCAGATGTCGTAAAGGAATTCAATCGTAGGAATGGCATCTCTTTGATTTGTAGAGCACATCAACTAGCCATGGAAGGCTTCAAATTGATGTTTGACAATTCCCTAGTCACTGTTTGGTCAGCTCCCAATTATTGTTATAGGTACTTTTTCAAGTTATGCACAACTAGATGTGGCAACGTTGCTTCTATTCTTGAGTTGGATGAGAACCTTAAGAAATATTATAAGCTATTTGAGGCTGCTCCCACAGATAGAGCATAGAATTCAAAAAAAGTTATTGCAGACTATTTCTTATGATGATTTAATATTAATATAAATAACATTATGTAAGAAATAATAATTACAACGCTGTTGAAATTTAATGAGATTTTGGGAGCATTCTAATAGGTTTTCAAGATTCATAATTATAACTGCAATCAACAACGAGAGATTCTGGAAAAATGTCTAGGCACTGATTATAATAGTAGTTGCATCTATATCAGTGTTAACAGCAATAATCAATTCTTTCCCAATTACAAGGATTTGTAGGAGATTGAACTCAAGTTCTAGAAAGAAAAATAATAGCATGACGATAATCTCATAGGTCTCAAAAACATTTTTATCCTTAGAATTGATTTAAAACAACGTTCAATAAGAAACTAATGAAGTTAAAAAATAAATAGACCAACTTCTCTACAATTAAAGTGAAAAGCTCAATGATTTCAAATCCTACGTAGCAGACATCTACTTAACTAAAACTGATATTCGTCAATTCAAATCTAATTCTGAAGAGAGGATTATTAAACTACAAGATTAAATTCAGCAATTCCAAACGAAGTTCGCCCTTAAATTATATACAGAATAACATATTGTATTCAATCAATTTTTATGATTAGATTGACATCAAATAGGCCATCACTTAAATACAGTAAGCCAATAGCTTAATAAAATAAGATTCCTAAACTTTGCATAAACTGAATCGAGATAACAGATAAATGATTAAATAGCAAAATGAATAGTTTTCTCAAAAAATTGAAAATATCCAAAAAGAATAATATAAAATATATGAATTTGAAAAAGACGTTGAATAAATGAAGAACTAAATTTAAGAATAAAAATCAGGTATAATACCAATTAATTATTATTAGATAATGAAATAGTGCAAAATAAAGTAAAGTCGTTGTCTCAGTTATTTTAAGAATTGGAAGTGAATAATTCCAAGGTGGTTAAATTTGAAATTCATACGGCATTTAAAAAGGTGGAGGAAGAATTTTTCTATTTTAAAAACCGGCAACAAAGTTTTTAGGATTAATTATAATTGATTAAGGAACAATTTTCAAAATCAGAGATAGCGTTCACTCAATTTTAAAATGGTGTAAATGAATAGTTTGATTTAATATCTGCTGAATTAGTTAAAAAGAATTAAATCATCAAGTCGATGCTTAAAAATATCGCACTTCTTCAGTAATCGTAATTATTTAATCAAATTAAAAAGGGAAAAAATTTAAATTTAATCTGATTTACCAAACAAGGTGGCAATTTTATTATCAAAAGTAACATCTTTTGAAAAAACATCAAAAATAGCTTTTGATTAACTCAAAAAGATTATGGATGTGGTTTAAGAATTCTGCGAAACATCTTAAATTCCTTCAGAAAGTAAAGAAAAAGATCTCACAAATCTAATTCTCTTGTTAGATAGAAGGATGATGGAATATGAGAAATCGATCTAGGATCCTCAAGTTCATTCAGTGTAAAACACAACGGTAAGAATTAATACACCAAGAATTTCAACCTCAGTAGATTCTCCATTGAAAGTGGTTAATTAAAAACAGAAAAAGACCAAATTAAGTAAACTGTTAAATAAGACAGTATATTATGAAAGTAGAAGAGAAACAATAATTTGAATATATTACATCCATAGATCATCATGACTTGGTAACATATAAAGATATTCTGGTCTTCTAGAAAATAATATACGTTATATTTACCAAGGATAAAATTTATTCTTGTTGCTATTTGATCAAACTTTCACCAGATTTGATGGCTTGATATTTTTATTGTTTCTCTTGAATGAGGAGCTTCATCATTTATTATATTTTCTCCTGATTCTGAGCATTCAACTTCTTCTGTTCTTCATTACTTTGAGATGGAACCATTTAATCAACGATGCCTGATAAATGGTCCATTTTCTCTTTTGTTTTTTGAGTTAATTGTTTATTGGGAAAAAGTAAAAGGGAAGTTGATTTCAAGTTAGAAAGAATTGAAATACATTCTTAGACTGTTTCATTTGCATTTTACAATGAGAGTATTTGATTCTACGATTTGAATGTCTGAGAGAATTGACTTTTGTGATGTATAACATGAGTTGATTATTGATGAATACTGCTCTTTTTTGAATTTCCAGGTGATGATTTGAATGTGATAAATGTTTAAGACTAGCTTGCCTTTGGAGTTCTTGTAAAATTAGTTGCTAATTTGATTTCATGCTAAGATTAGAGACAAGACTTGTCAAATTTATCAAACCTGATTAGTTTCATATAATTAGTAAATACTTTAATTATAATTAGATTGGAAAATAAAATTTAAAAAGATTAATTTATACATAAGATCTGAAGAAAGTACTATAGAGTTAAATTGTATCAAATCTTTAGTTAAAGTTGAAATACACATCTAAAAGTTAATAAATTGAATTATTGAGGGGATTTAAAATCCATGTTATATGTAGTAATATATAAACAGAGATCAGAGAACTTTACACTTTAAACTGAATAATTTACAAATACCATATTAATATATATATAAGAATCTTTCAAGACTGATAAATTTTATTTCATTATTATTATTTTAATTTTTATAATGCTCTTTACTAATAATGAGCAATGTATTCCTTAGCTGGACAATATCGTTGTCTTTTTGGAGTGTATTCTGTATTCACCAGACTTTTATATTGAGTATCATATTTTGGACTTCTTCCATAATCATTGATTTTGTCACCGTCCAATTTAGGATTCTTTTGAATTCTGAATGGTTGATATGCCAATTGAGTTTATGATTATGAGACAAAGGGTTATCCAGTAGGTAAAGGAGTTCTTAAATAATTCATTTCATTACAATTCAGTAACCATCTTTAACGAATCACTAGGTTTTTAATAGGGTTTGTTTGCAAATGAGTCTTAATATAAAGATTGGGCTGTGAAAGGGATTTGATCACTCACACTTTAATGAACAGGTCTTTTAAAATGAGCTGTTTCAGGTGGTCCCCAAAATTTAAATTGAGTCTAAATCTCACTTTTAATAGGTTACTTTGTAACTACTGTTGCCCAAGAAATCGCCTCGATGCTCTTGAGATTATGGTCTAAGCATTTCTTATACAGGCACTTTAAATTGTTTGTATGATGTCTACATAGTAATTATTGGGGTTACTTAATGCAAACTTTGTTGATCAATTGGTTTTTGATTACAAAATTGAGTTGAGTAATAGGTCTAATTTAATGGTCTGAGAGCATTGTATCCTGTTTGTTTATGTAGGAAATCCTTGCCATAAACGGTATTTTGAGAAGATGAATAATTCAATTTACAAGTTTTAGAGAAATTACATTTGCATTAACCACATTGGCATTTATAACAAGCACAAAAACCTTGAAATTAATTCATTCCAATTACCTAATTAATGATGGAAATAATCTGGATTGTCATTGATCAGCTTAGGAATGTTGACACTTTAAACATCTGGCAAAATTAATTTCCAAATTGGATGATCCAAGGGAATTTCATCCACATAATTGTATTATTAATTGATTGGTTAAAAGTCTTCTATCAAATTTTCTTGGCTCTTAAATCGTAATAAACCTTCTGATTTTGGAGTTCTAAGTCTTGACGCAGCTTTCTCTCGAGTTTCAGGTTTTTCCTAAGCGGTTTAAGTTCCACTTTTTTATTTTGATTATTGTGTATCTGGTCGTGTCTGCATAAGAGACTTGCAAGTTTCAATTATTTATTCCTCCACATTATTGTCTGGTTATCTAATGATTCTCGAACCCAAACCAGTTTATTTTCTCAAAACTTGATATTTGACCAATCTTGGTTTATTTGTAAAGTTTTAACTATTGTTCGATTAGAATGTATATAATTTAGTATTTTCTAAATATGTTAATAAAACTACATCCTTGCGAGCTCATTAGATATTTCTTAATATATTTATTAAATTTATTTTCTTCTTTTTTTCAATATATTTTATGTCAAAACATGCTTATTAAATATCTTCTAAATTACTATATCAACACAAATGTATAAGTGGACATTGAAACAAGATTGTCTTTGATACAACTTTATTTGGAATTTTGAATTACGTTTTTAGTAGAGAAAAACAAAGAAATACCCATTTCATATGCAATAATCCAAATCTAAAATAACTAATATTCAAATTTATGTATTATTGGGTTTAGTCTAAAAATTATATATAAAAATGATTATTTAACATAAATTGCCTGGGTAATTGAATACAGAGAAAAATCAGATGTCCCCCAATCACCATTTTTCAGAATATTTCACAGAATTTCAAAATAAAAGGTACTGCAAAGCCAAAAAAATAAATCCTCCTCAGGAATTCAAAGATAACAATCCAATGTTCAAGCTGGAATCCACGAAATAAGTATTTGCATTAACATTCACTTAGATAGAATACTATGATAAAACTACCCATCACTTAGTAAGACCACAAACTGCTTGTCTTCCAGATAACAAAAGGATTAAATAATGCTTTTTTCATAATACTACTTACCAAAAATTGCATGATGAAAAACCAAATAGTATTGCTTTAATTTATCGTTAATTAGTTGATGAACCATACTAATTGAAGTTGGATTATCCTTAAACTATTATGGAAGGAACTAAATTGGATGCATCATCAGAGTATCAAAGATAATTTCGATCTTTGACTCCTGACAAAGACCTAATTTTTGGAGGAAAAAGCATCTTTAAGTAATTTTCCTTCTCTTACAACTCTAGCAATCCAATCAGTCCCAATGTAGCATTATTTAGACAGAGTGAATCGCATCGCTTTTTTAAATCTCTTAAAATTAAATAACATAGAATAGTCTAACCTTCTTTAGCAAAAAAACTAGCATTAGATACTTCCTTAACAATACCCAATATTCCAACTTTCTTGGGACAATATGAGACTGTTAGCAAACGTGACTTTTCAGAGAAAAAAATCAAAGAAATCCCAAAAAGATTTAAGTTTAATCAGCAAAATTGAATTTCAATTATATCTTAACTAAAATACAAATGCATTATTTTTTATTTTTTTGAGTTGAATTCAAATTCAAATTCTAATGAGAATATCAATTATATTAAAACGATAGAAATAGTTATTGTTCGTAGATATTAATTAAATTAGTTTTTCAAGTTAGTGATAAAATGAAATCAAAAGACATAGAGCAAAACAGCAAAGTCAGTAACATAAAACCAATTCCACTCAATTCAGCATAAGATTACAAGAAATAAGAACATGCAAAAACTTAAATTATCAGTAGTAAATCAGCAATTCCTGCATAGAATCAAACAAGCTTTTCTCAGTCCCAAATTACTACAAAGGTATTTAGATTCAGGATATTTAGTTTTATTTGCCACTACATATTAAAAAAGTAAGGGATTAACTGTTAGTAGACAAAGAAGTTAATGAGAAGGTCTACTAATCCGAAGATTCAACCGAGTGGTTCAAAGGTATATTAATTATGCAACTCAAATTTGGTTACTGTAAATATTACAAGAAAAAACAATATTATTATGAGGGATATTTTTGTTGTGGACTCAAACATGGAAATGGTTTGATTATCTATGAAGATGGTACCTATTATGTAATTATTATACTTAATTCTAGTAAGGAAACTTTTTTGCTGATAAAGTTCTTGGGGATAATCGTATGTTTAAAGCCTTTGAAGATGAATGCCATAAAAACGCAAAGTTATAAAAAACAACAAAATTGGAATTTCCTAACGGGGCTATTTATGAGGGTTAACTTTTAGAAGGGAAAAGACATGGCAAAGGTATATACACTTGGAAGGACGGTACTAAGTATGAAGGACAATTTGAAAATGATAAAATCAATGGATTTGGAATCATGGAATACACAGATAGTCGAAAATACAAAGGGGAATGGGTGAATGGAGAAATGGAAGGTTTTGGGCATTTCATATGGCCAAATTCAGAAGAGTATAAGGGATTTTATAAGTAAAGTAAGAAAAATGGATTTGGAGTTTTTAAATATAGTAGTGGAATTGTATATTATGGAGGATTTGTTAATGGATTGAATCATGGTACTGCTGTTCTAATGTAATAAAATCATCAACCTAAAATTTCAAAGTGGGAGGAAGGTTTATAAATAGAATGATTAATAATTTTAAATTTTTTTCACAAATTTTAAGATTTTTTCATATTCTATAAAATTTCAATTTTATCATCTAATAAATTTGTTGAAAACATAATTCTGATGTTGATAATTGGAATAGTGATCTAAATTTTTCACAAAATACTAAATAAATATTATAAATACGATATTTGAGAAAATAGAGCCATTTATAAATAATGAGTCAGGATAATTTACTTTATTAGCATGCTTAAATTACACATGATTAATTTATGAATCTTAGATGTGGATTGTATGAACCTTTAAATTAAAATTATATATTTGATGTAAAGATGTAAAATAATTTTTTCTTTATTGATGAGTTTTGTGTTAAATAATTATCATATCTTAATATTCGAAAAATCAGCACTTTTAACAACCTTTTCAGCTGATTCAGCAACCTCTTATTCTCTTATATACTCATTTTTCATGTCTTAATATATTTTAGTTTCTTCAGCATAGCTGTCATTTTCTATGTTTAATTGGGATTAGAATCGTTATCTGTCTGCATCTCTTTAAGCTGAGTATTCAGTTAATTCGTTGATTTTAGCTAATTGTTAGATTTGAGATAGATACTTATAGTTGCTTCTAAATCGACTGTGATTTTGCTGATTTATTTACCAAATTCAGAAAATTCATGATCTAATTATTCAACTCTTTCCTCAAATTCTTTTTAATTTTCAGCTTCTTATGCTGTGGCATCATTAATAGCATCTACAACTGCATTTCTAAATTCATTCAATTTATCTAAGATAGTTCCAACAATATCTTAATTTGAGAAATTTTATTCATTTGCTAATTAAATTAAAGCCTTTATTAATGGTCCATGTTTGCTGTGAGCTCTGATTCTTTATTCAATCATATTTAATTGAACATGAATTTTTCTAATATTTGATGTTGAAACCTATTCAAGGGATTAGTTTCTTAAACTGTAAAGTAATTACAAAGCTTGATCTGTTGATTCAACAGCTGAATTAAAATCTGCAAGTTAGGCTTCAAATTCTTCTTTTTCATTTTCTCTCTTTAATTCTACTTCAGACAAAGTCTTTCTAGATGAATGTATTTTAATATGTATACCTATTAGCTTCTTAATACTCTTGAATTTATTCAATTTTGTTTTTTAGGTTTTCTCTTCTTGGGTAAAGTAAGTTTTCAAGAGTGTCTTAAGTTCTTTGATAATCAACAACAGCCTAATTGATTTCTTATTCCAAGGTGGTCACTATTTTGTGATGTTCGTTAGTTCTTTATCCAAAATTAAATTCCAAAACATCTAATTCCTCTTGTAAATCAGTTACTAAGTCTTCTATGGCTTAGACTAATTCATCTACAGGTCCTTATGATTAAGAATGCAATGCCATCATTGATAACAAAGTTTATCCCCATTTAGATTTGTGCAAGTCTTCCACATGCTTGTGAATGGTTTTTTTATCAAAATGGGCTGCCATACTGATTGTTAGCAAAAATGCTATGATGATAACCTTCATTAATTTATATATAAATTAAAAACGAATTCTAAAGCATTTTATTATTATATTTTAAACTTACTTCAATTTACTAGAATGATTAAAATTATTTAAACCCTAATAAATTTGGCATGTGTTTGTTAACCTAACATCTTCATTAGAACACTAGACCACAGGTAGTCTTAAGTAAATTTTGATCTCTAATCTAAGTAAGACAGAAAATCTAGTTATTACATACTTATAGAATATTAGTAGATAAATTAGAATAATAACTTGATAAGTAAATTTCAAGGATCAAGTGATTAATTATAATTAAGATTAACATTATTTCTTGATGAATTAAATAAAACCGTTAATCAGTAATTAATCAAATCTACAAGGTGAATATCTTGTATTCATGATCAAACAAGAATGTTGTTTAGTAAAATTGGAAGAGTAGAAAATTGATTCAAAAGATATGGAAGAAATATTTTCTACTATTGCAAGATTCAACTTAACAATAACCTCTAAAATTAATCAATAGAGTGTAGTATAATAACCACATTTAAGTGTTAGATTTGCATTTATGTAAATTCTAAAATGATTTATATCATAATATTGCAGATTGAAGAAGAATCAATAATTATTGAAATGAGTTCTTCAGTTTTTCATAACAAATCAAATAAAATAATCAAACAAAAGCATAAAAAAGGATACTTATCTTAATTTATAAAGTAAAATAAAATCATAAGTTTGTTCAATCATAGAATGAAGATCTAAAAGATCTAAGTGACCTCATTTGTTTATTATGAATGAGTTGTCTTTCTGAGTTGTTGTTACTGAGGATTATTTTCTCCTATTATTCAAACTGTATTTTCCTAGGAGATATAAAGTAACTATTTTTATTTATTTTTTTCATTCTTTCTTTCAAGAGTTCGAATTTCTTTTCATCATCTTCCTTAATCTTCTAATTTTTTATGATTTTTCTATGTTAAAATATTTTGTGTATATCTTCCTTGCATCTTTGATTACTCGCATTCTTATTAAGAGGTTAAATGATTTTGTTATTATTACTGCTATAAATGCTTGGTTCATGCCTTATCATTGTGCTTTTGCTTCTCTAGATCTTGCTTTTTTCCTCTTCCAAAAAATTTAAACTTTAACTTATTAATTAGTAGATAAGTTTCCCTAAAGAATTTTGCTATTGAGGTATTAAATGATAAAGCTTTTTGCACAAAATAATATTAGCATAATCAATTTTCTTTTCAATAATAGTCTCCACCATCTAGGGTAAACTGCAGCTCATCAATAGTTGAGCCAAAAGCCAATCCTATATTTTTACTCCTTTAACTAACAAGATGAAAGCCTGAACACATTAGAAAACATCTGTCGCAGGTTTTGCAATCTAAGTTTAAATGAAGAAACTATTACAAGAAACTTGTTTTTATTTAGTTATCTAGCCAACTATCTCAAAGTTTCCTAAGACATTTGCAAGATAATTAAAATTATAAAAAAATAATCCAAATAGAAATTATGCATTATAAGTGATATTTGAATCCATAATTGTATTAAACACCATGGAACCATCATTCCGATTAAATTCATCAAAATAACTAATTATTTAAATTGTTTTTCTTTGAATATTTAAATTATATTGGCAATAATGACTCTTGCAATTCGTACACGATTATAAACACTAAGATTTATCAATTAAATACTAAATTCATATGAGTTAAGGTTAATAAGATGATGAAAAATAAGAAGACTTTAAAAATTAAGGAATTAATTAAAGATGATGATTAAATGTAAATTAAGTTATTGTCAATAAAATTAAATAAATCATTACAATTTATTGAAATAAATAATTAAATCAATTACGATGATTGTCATATTGTCTTTTTTATAATTAGTTTATTATTTTTATGCTGATTCTAGTAGATATTGTGAAAGACCTTCTTTCTCTTTAAAATTCTCCCAATTCATGACAAGATTTTGGAGTGTTTGGATGGTAATGACATCCCAAAATCCATCCGTGGCTAGAATTAAATATCTAGAGTTTTCGTTCAATTGCAACTTAGTGATTTCAGGGATAGCAGTTAATCCATGTTCTACGTATTTTGGATCACCAAAAGATCTACTTACTGCCAATTCTCCATTAATTCTGGCCTAATTTCTTTTTAATTGTGTTTATACTTAATGGTCAAAACAAATCCGTGGTTGTCAATAATTCTTTTTGACTCATCCACTCTATCAGGCTTATGTTCCTAATTTAATTTAGTGATTTAGAAATCTTTATCAATCAATACGCAGGCACTGTCACCAACATTGATTACAAATAACTCTTTACCTACATTGATAACACATAGAGCAGTCGAGCCTCCGTCTTTCATCAACAGATGTTACTATTTCAGAATGTCAACATTCATTTAATTAAAACCTAATTTACATAAGGGGGGTTATCAATACTCTCTAAAATCGCCTACTCGATATCAACATTGAAAAACTAATTATTTTTTAAACGATAATGTAATTGTTCTCGAAGTAACTTGGACACATATGACCCACCATGCCCATCAAAGACCCCAAAATAAAATTACTACTATTTTCCATCAAAGTCCGCAATGGCTTAAAACTAGTCAGTTATTCCAATTACAACATACCCTATCTTCCATAGTGATCCTTCCACATCTTTTAGCACTAACCTCACCATAAGTTATATTATCGATCTTAATTACATCGAAATAGTCATAATATTCCCTCAGATAGCCTATAAAAAGTATACTTGCCATCACTGTCTAAGTAAGGGGAAGTTTTCTCTGAAGAACTCGAGCTCGTTAATTCGATTTTTAACTTATAAGTCTTTTTCATGCAGTGCAACCAATTTATAAATAATAATATCAAATCAATTAATTTATCTATTCCTTAACTTATAAGTGGATTCAGTTAACTTGACTTTTTTTTTGATACTTGGTTCTGTTTCAGGATTTGGATTTTGACTTGCAAAATTGGAGGAAGGTTGATTATGGTCAATAAACTTAGAAATAGCTTCTTAATACTCTTCCAATGAGATTTTGCCATCTCTATTCTTATCAATTTCTTAGAGTAATTGATCCCATTGATTTTCATCTTGAACTTAGATTTTGCCATTGAAGATTTTTTTAATTTCATCAATTTCCAAAAAGCCATCTCCATTTTGATCCAGCAAATGGAATGCTTCTTTGAGTTGATCATGAGAAGCAAGTTTCTTCATGTCCACTGCAGCTGTCAAGAATTCTGTAAATTCAATAAACCCATTTTTATCAGTATCAACCCTATTGAATAAGTCCTCCACATCAATATCATCATTACAATACGCTCTCAATTCTTCCATACTTAGTTTCCCATCGCCATTCTTATCTAGTTTCTAAAAGGTTTGTCTCAACTGCTTATACTTCTCTTGTGTTAAATTCTATTATATCATAAGATGGAAAGTGGCTTAAACCATTTTGCTTTCACAACAAAATCTAGATAGTTTCTGGAGTCTAAATTGCATCTCCTGAGATGATATTTCCTTGGTTACTGATTGAGTCTATTTTTGAATCCATTCACTTTCTAAGGCCTATTAGGCACTGAATCTCTTAACAGGATCAGATTGTAACAAATTTTTTAATAAATTCTTGGCATCATTTGAGACTGACTTCCACACTTTCAAATTCAAATTAATTTTAGATTTAGTGATTTTCTTTTCAATTTCACCTGTATTGTTCCCTGGAAAGGGAGTTTCACCAGAGAGTAGAATGTATAGGATCACACCGCAAGACCATAAATCACATTTCTTATCATACCCTTTTTCTAAGAGAACCTCAGGTGCTGCGTAATCAATGGTTCCTATCTTCTATTTGATTGAAACAAGATCAGTCATGTCTTTGCTCAATCCCCAATCAATTATTTTTATGTGTTGATCCTTAGGATCAATGAGGATGTTTTCAGGTTTGATATCACGGTGCATAATATTTTTATCATGAGCATAGGCTATAGCACTCAAAATCTATTTGAAAATGTATCTCACTTCATCCTCTGTGAAGATTTGATTTTTCTTTATTCTTCTGTGGATTTCATCAAATAACTCAGTCCCTTCACACAATTGACTGACTATGTAATAATAGTTGTCATCTTGAGCTATCTCATAAATGGCCATGATATTGGGATGGTCCAATTTTTTCATGTTCTCAATCTCATTCTGATCTGTGAAATCTTTTTTAGCTATTATTTTCAAGGCTCTCAATTCATTTGCTTAGTTCTTTACTTTGTATACTTTTCCATAGCTCCCTTAACCTATTAGTTTTATCCTCTGATATCTCTACATGATATCATTCTTTATGTTAACAATCAAATTTCCTGAATTGACTAACATAAATTTATTAATGGCCCAATTGACTCGTATTAGTTCAAGTTTGAAAATGGGAATTGTAGGTATGGCCAACGTCGGTAAGGTAACATAATTCAATTCTATGAAGAGTTCTACATTCAACATGCTCAGCAAACAATCTGTGCCAGCTGAAAACTTCCCATTTTGTACCATTGATCCAAATTAAGCAGTAGTCAAGGTCCCTGATCCCAGATTTGATTATCTATGCTAGATTTTCAAACCCAAGTCATAGGTCTTCTCTACTCTAAGTATTATTGATATTGCAGGGTAATCAGGATTACAATCTTAGTTTAGTGAAAGGAGCAAGTGAAGGATATGGATTAGGAAATGAATTTCTGGCTCACATCCAAGCAGTTGATGGGTTGTATCAGGTTGTGAGAGCATTTGAGAAAGAGAAAATTGTACATACTGAAGGCACCATGGATCCCATTAGAGATTTATAAATTATTTCAGAAGAATTAATGGCTAAGGATTATCAATTTGTATCAAAGAGAGTCGATGAATTTGGCAAAAAGATTAAAAAGTATGAAGCTAATAAAAATGTTTCAGTCGAAGCTAGAGAAATGGTAGAATAATATAAAGTCTTGCAAAAATGTGATGAACTATTAAAAAAGAAATAATGGGTTAGATATCAAAAATGGACTGATTAAGAATAAATACAATTAAGGAAAATTTAATTGTTAACTGCAAAGCCATCTATTTACTTAATTAATTTATCCAAAGAAGATCATGATGCCTATGTAGCTAAGAAACAAAATAAGTATGCCAAACCTATTGAACAATGGGTATCCAAAAATAGTCCAGACAGTAAAATAGTCTATTACTCTGTTGAGAATTAGGACCAATAATAATTATTAGATCAAATTATCATTGCAGGATACGATTTATTAGGTTTGATTAGATTTTTCACTGTTGGTTCAGATGAAGTTAGAAGTTGGACTGTCAAGAAAAACATTAAAGCACCTCAAGCAGCTGCTGCCATTCATTCTGATTTTGAAAAAGTACTATTATATAATATTAAGGGATTTGTTAATGCTGAAGTCATGTCCTTTGACAAATTTAAAAAGCTTGGGGATAATGCCTTGGATGTCTATGATAAGAAGTTTTCAAAAGAAGGAAAAGATTATATTGTGAAAGACGGCGATATTATTCACTTTAAAACGAAGTCCTTTAAATGAGTCTAAGTGTCTGTTTATATTATAATTATTAATTTAGAATATTATAATAGTCTTATGATTTTATACTGTTGAACTATATAGATATCAAATAAAGTCTAACTTTTATTATTGCTACTATGTTTATTGTTATGGCTATGATTTTTAACCTACTGCCAAATTAAGTATATTGTCAAATTCATTTTCTGGTTTCTTTTATTAATTAGAAATATCTAAAATAATAAAACAGTGTTACTGCTAATGACTGGATATTATTACTAAGGGAATCCCTATTATTGATAGGGTTGATTCTATTAGTATGGGATAGGTTAAATTGGTTATTGTTAGAATGCTTAATACTTCATTTGTTGTTATCCAAGCTATTATTGTTGATACAATTATTGAAACTTTTAATAGAATAAATTATTACATTTTATTGTGGGGGATATTGTTGTTATTAAGGAGGATATTGTTATTAAGGTGGGTATTATTACTATTAAGGTGGGTATTATTACTATTAAGGAGGGTATTATTACTATTAAGGAGGATATTACTATTGTTATTAAGGAGGGAAGGCATTCAAAGCAGAATAATTGGATTATTATTGAACTTATGAAATAGGGGGTTATCCATAAAGTTAGGATTGAATTGGTGGTTATCCAAATTACTAAGCTGGAGGTATTTGTGAAATTGGTGGCATTTAGGATATTGGTGGTATCTATGAAATAGGGGGTATTTGTGATTATTATTATTGAGTGATTGTTTGTGGCACTTATTATTATTATTATTGTTATGGTGCAGGACCAGTCATATCGACTTCAAATAAATCAATTCTAAGGGACTATAAACATTCAAATTTTACATATTTTATTATTTTTCAGGTTAAACTGCTTGTGTTGGTTAAGGTCCTTTCTATTGTGCTGCTGGTTTTGGCTCATCGTACTCAAATAAATTTAACAGGTCTATCTATTGAGGTTTTGGTTATGGAGGTTGTTGGAACTGTTAGGATTGTTATTATGTGGGAGGAGGAATACTAAAGGGATTTTATTATTATTGGAAGGGAGCTTGTTATGCAATTTGTGGTTGTTGTTATGGTTGTGGAAGGACTTGTTATTATGGTTATTATGCTTGTTCTGGTCTGAAGGGATCGGGCTTTTTGTGCTTTTTCAACACTTCATATCTAGCAAAGGTCTAATAAATCATAAATTATGTGTACTTTAAGTAAATCATCATTCAATTCTAAACAAAAGTTCATCAAACCCTCATCGTTGTTTCCCATGTCAGTAATCAAACTAGGTATAAGTAAATTTGGGTACTTTCTTAGCTTTTCTTCGACTCCTCTCAGTGTGGTGATCATGTCTTTGAGGATTTCGTTCTTGCTTGCATCTTCTTGTGGATTTGCATTGTCAATGATTTCCTATGAGGAATAAATTCAGATACATTGGTCAAAGTGATGTTGGATTTGACAATCTCTAGGTCACGTCGGAGCTTATCATTTTTGGAGCTACCCTTGGTATATTAAATACGGAATTCTTACAGATCCTAAACTGTTTGTTCTAGCTGCTGAGGAGTATGCGGGTTGTGGCTTTCTGAGTACTGCATATTTGCTATCGTAATTATGGGGTATTTGATCTAAAAAGCAGATGCTAGAAGACAGTTACGTTTAGGAGTGATTTTTTGCAAGAATTGGAAGAAGGCAGGAAATAGATCCTGGTGTGATTGCATAAGTGACTTGAGTACTGCGATCACTTAGAGTAATCTTTGTTGCATCTATTGGGTGTAAATGAGTGAATTACTTGGGCATTCATTTGTGGGTTGAGGAGGGTATTGAGTCTTTGAAGAAAGTCATTGGTAGCAATCTGAGTGTAGAATGGTGTTTCGCAAGTGAAAGCAAGATATTCAATAAGCTCCATAGTGAGGGCTTGCACCTTGCCATTACGGAGCTGCATGAGTCTCTTGCCTATAGCCTAGACTGCAAATTTCGATCTATGGTTTGAATTACAATCTTACTAGTCCGCTCTTTGGTTGACAAGGTCAGCCACCTATTTCATTAGTTTCTAATCCGGCATTTAGAGTGTATCTGCAGTCGCCTCGTTGACTGCTCTCTCGACAGGATTCTCCATCTTTTTTTAATTTAAATTTTACAAAATAATAAAATGAGGGGGGTGTAGAAGGAAGAAGTGTCAAACAGAATAGTAAGAGAGATATTTTGTATATATATAAATTTTATATAAAAATGGCATAAATTTCATAAAAGCAAAGAGGTGTCTTTTCTGAAGTGTTAGACCCTACTTTACCTAGTGAATACAATGTCAAGAATTACAATCAGGGTCCATCACCTGATTTAATCATGACAACCATAAGTCGATAAACAATTCCTAAGGCAATCTCCTTGCAACGGTTACAAACATCAAGCTCCAGTAGACAGCAATTGCGATCTGATTTAGCATCTCGACAAGTACCAAGGAATCAGTTGAAGACAAGACAAAAAAACGAACAAGTTACAAGTGTGGAACCCAAAGTAAATTACTTAGTGGCATTTTTAGGTGATATTACCCTATGATCCTATTCCTGGTGAAGTCCCAAGGAAAGTGGCTATTGATAGAAAAAGAAAGGAGTTTCGATCTCTTGATTTTAATAGATTACTTCAAGAAGCTGGAATTGATTTTAAATAAAAGGATTAAAGTGTAGAGTGGTTGAAACTTGAATATTTTGATGATACTACATACGATGACAACAGTAATGAAGATTGGATAAGGAGAGAAGAGGATGAAGAAGGAATCAAACATCCCCTTTTAGGTTTAGGATTGAGAGGAGATGAATATTAATACATGGAAATATTGGAGTACAAGGATGATAAATTTATAGGCAAATGGTTGAAAGATGATGTTAAATTAGAATTGCATAGATTATACATTTGTTTTGATGCAGAAGATCCACGTAAGTATGTCAAAAGATTGAAGAATGCATTTTAATAGAGGATATTTGCTGATGCTCTAGTTAGATACAACTATTACATTGATAACATGTCCTTGTTTGATCTCAGTGAATTGGACAATGAATAAAAGAAACGAATTGAACAGAATGCAAAGACCAAGAAACTAGAAGCTATGGAAACTACTTAATTACTTCTTGAAGTTAATATGGATTTCCAGAGAACTATGAATAAAATCATATTCGATAAATACTTAGATGATGAGTAACAAGATGAGAACTATCCAAAATTGAGATTGCCTGCAAAAGAGAAAAAGAAAGATGTTCGTTATTATGGCTGGATGGAACTTGAAGCATCCAAAGGAGTCATGGAAAAATGGATGTTCAAATATGATGAACCATTCATCAGAAAACCTTTGACTTTTGATGAATTAAATAAGAATTTCGGATTTTCCACTCTATATGTCAGTTAAGAAGTCGTCAAGGCTTTATAAGATATCAGACATGAATGCAATTAAGTTTTAAAAGAGAGTTTATTTGATTTTTCTAAAAGAGAAGGTGCACTACATTTAGATGAATTCAAGCACATGCAAGAAAATGCAACTACATCATTGATGTATCAATTAAAAGGAACATGGGTGCCTACTATGATCAAAATTATCAAAGATAGGTTTGCTGAAATCGGAAAGGGATGGTTCAATATGAAAGAAACATCTAAAATCACATATGACTTTGGTAAATTGAAGCGTATGTTAACAGTTATTAGGTTGATGATGCAAGACACAATTACAACACTCATGAAATCTAATTTCGATAGGTATTAAAAGACAATCTAAAGCAATATACCTGTAAATGTAGATATTAAAAACACAGATTGGGTATTGAATAAATATGATGATGGATTTCTGGCAGATAATAGAATATAAGTTTTTAGTCATGATAGAAAACTACCCTTATTTTAGATAGAACTATTAGCAAAAGATGATTTCTTCTAGTACACCACTAATCCAACTTTATATGTCTTAATATCGTTGCAAGCCATGAAGAAGGCTGTTGATGAAATGGCGAAGATTCCAGATTTAGAGCCAAGAATCTTGTCTGATTTACATAAATCTCAGAAACTAGAAACTTTCATTAAGGCCCCAATGATGCCAATATAAGAACCTGTGGAACCAGATCCAAATGAAAGACCCAGGAAATTTGCAGATGAAAATAAATGGGTTTGGGATACTTATTATTGTGTGAAAGCATCAATTGAAGATGCATTAAAGCCATTAGAGTAATATAAGACTGTTTTTAATAAATACATTCCAGTCTTAAAATTGAGACCAGACGATGTGGCAAGAGACATTGAATTAGAAGATCCTCCAAGAGAATTTGAATCAATTCGTGATGAGATTATTAAAGCAACTACAAAGGAAAAATAATTAAATGAGGAAATTTTGGATTCAATTCATGTAGGAATGTTCGAAATTCATTTGAATGAAGCCAAAGGAATATTGATAGAACGATACTAGGCACTATAGAAAAATCTTATTGATCTTATTGCTAGAAGAGCTAGAAATACTAGTATTAGAATATTTTAAGAATTTGGGGATATCAAGAAGACAATTCTTGAAGAACCAGATACAATAGAAAAGTTGACCATATTAAAGGAATATATAGGTAATTTACCATAGGAGCTGGAGAAGATGAAAGTTAAAATGAATTAATTGTTTGATGTGTTCAAAATGTTGGAGGAATTCAATTACAGATTTCCTTTGGATGATTTCCAAAGAAGGTGGAAGATTTTTGGAAGTCCGAAGGAAATAAAGGAGATGGTTGAGGTGAGAAATGGATAATTGGAGAAATTGAAAGTTAAGTTCTCAGATGATGCAAAGGTTCAACAAGAAGATTTTAGAGAGTAGATCGAAAATTTGGAGAGAACTATCTAAGAGTTTCATAAACATCAGGATGTGAGTAAGAATAAGGATATGGCTGAAGTGGTTGAATATGTGATGAAATAAATAAGTGAATTTTAGGAATAAGCTAGTAAATTCAATATGCAAGAGGCATTATTTGATAAACCACAAACTGATTATTCTAAATTGAACTCAATGGCTAGGGAATTCAAACCCTATTATGATTTATGGTCAAGTACTTATAAATTTAAGAGCGGCATCAAATTATGGTTGAATGATGATTTCATGAATGTTGATGCTGATGAGTGTGAAAGGATTGTTGAAGAGGGTGTTAAAAATATCTAGACTGCTATGAGAACAATTCAAGTGACAGGTATCCAGAAGATTGCTGAGGCAGTAAAAGCAGAGATTGATGAATTTAGACCCAAAGTGCCATTGTTGTCAGCTCTTAGGAAGAAAGGTATGACTGTTAGACATTGGACATAAGTCTCTTAATTAAAGGGTCTAGCTCAAGTCATCAATCCAGATGAGTAGGACTTCAATTTTTAGAAGATTTTGAATGCTGGGTTCATGGATGTGATTGATAAGGTTGTTAATATTGGAGAAACTGCTAGCAAAGAATACCAAATAGAAATGATGCTTGACAATATGCTTAATGCATGGGAGAATATTAAATTTCAATGCGTTCAATACAAAAACACATTTATTCTTAAAGGATTCGATGAAATTCAAATTGTCTTGGATGAACACATTATTAATACTTCAGCTATGGTATTCTCTCCATTTAAGAAATTCTTCGAAGAAAGAATCAGTGAATGGGATAAGTCATTGAGAAAGATTCAAGATATACTAGAAGAATGGGCTAAATTTTAGTAATAATGGATGTATTTGCAACCCATATTTGATTCTCAAGACATTGCTAAGTAACTACCTGCAGAAACAAAGAAATTTAAAACAGTTGATTAAACCTGGAGAACTACAGTGACTCAAGCCAAGGCCAAAGAGAAAGTATTGGATGTTTGCATTGAGGATGGGTTGTGGGAAAGGTTGCATGAAGCCAATAAGACATTGGAAATGGTTCAAAAGGAATTGAACAATTATTTGGAAAAGAAAAGAGAGAAGTTTGCAAGATTTTACTTTTTGTCTAATGATGAATTATTGGAAATTCTATCCTAAACCAAAGAACCAACAGCAGTCTAACCTCATCTTAAGAAAGTCTTTGAGAATATCAACTCGATAGAATTTGATAAGGATAAGAAAATCCATGCCATGTTTTCAGCTGAAAAAGAGAAAGTACCTTTTGTCAAAATAGTGGATCCAAACAAAAAGAATGTTGAAGAATGGATGAATGAAGTTGAAAATATGATGAGATTATCAGTTAGATAGGCATTAATGGTTAGTATTGAAAATTACACACAAGTAAAGAGAGAAGAATGGGTTCTGAGACATCCAGGTTAATGTGTATTGAATGGATCATAAGTGCATTGGACAAAAGAAGTAGAAACAGCAATTGATTCACAGAATCTTAAAGGATATTTCAAGAGATTGGAAGATCAACTAGGGTCATTAGTTGATTTGGTTAGAACTAAATTATCAAAGTAAGCAATGGTTACAATAAATGCTTTGATTGTTATTGATGTGCATGCCAAAGATGTTGTATAGAAGATGGTGGATAGTGAGGTATATGACAAATTCGCCTTTGAATGGATATCGCAATTAAGATACTATTGGGAAAATCAATTAGTAGATTTTGATTGTTGGGTCAAATGTGTATAAACCAATTTCCCATATGGTTATGAATATCTGGGAAATACACTCAGATTAGTTATTACACCTTTGACTGATAAATGTTATATGACCTTAATGGGTGCTTTAAGATTGAATTTGGGAGGAGCTCCAGCAGGTCCAGCTGGTACTGGTAAAACTGAATCAACCAAGGATTTGGCAAAAGCTTTGGCAAAATAATGTGTGGTGTTTAATTGTTCAGACTCTATGGATTTTATTATGGTTGGCAAGTTCTTTAAGGGATTAGCATCTGCTGGTGCTTGGGCTTGTTTTGATGAATTCAATCGTATCAATATTGAAGTGTTATCAGTTATTGCATAATAATTGTTGGTGTTATTTGGAGAAAAAGCTAAAGGAACGCCCTAAGTAGAATTTGAAGGTTCATTCATTAAAATTTTACCTACTTTTTCAGTGTTTATTACAATGAATCCTGGTTATGCTGGAAGAACAGAATTACCTGATAATTTAAAGGCACTCTTTAGACCAGTGGCTATGATGGTTCCAGATTATGCTATGATTGGTGAAATTATGCTCTATTCATTTGGGTTTAAATTAGGTAGAGATCTATCTAAAAAGATGGTTACTACATTCAAATTGAGTTCAGAATAATTGTCATCTCAGGATCATTACGATTATGGTATGAGAGCAGTAAGATCTGTGATAAATGCAGCAGGTCTATTGAAAGTGTAATTCCCAGATATGAATGAAGAATAACTATTATTAAGAGCACTAAGAGATGTAAATGTTCCCAAATTTTTGAAAGACGATTTACCATTATTTGAAAACATCATATCAGATTTATTCCCTGGATTGGAGAGACCATAATATGATTATGGTAAGTTGATTCCAGAATTATCATTGTAATGCGAGAAATATGTGTTCAAGGAATAACCGTATCCTGTTCAACCTGTACAACCATTCATTGACAAAGTACTCTAACTCTATGATACGATATAAGTCAGACATGGATTGATGTTGGTGGGTCCAACAGGAGGTGGCAAAACAACTAATTACTAAATCCTCTCAAAATCAATGACAAAGTTAGGAGAAGCCAATGGTTTTTATAAAGTACACACCCACATATTGAATCCTAAATCAATTACTATGGGTTAGTTATATGGTCAATTCAACGAATAGACTCATGAATGGACTGATGGAGTCTTGGCCTATATGGTGAGAGAAGCTGTTAAAGACACAAGCTCAGACAGACATTGGATAATGTTTGACGGACCTGTTGATGCTTTGTGGATAGAATCCATGAATACTGTATTGGATGACAACAAGAAATTGTGTTTGAATAGTGGTTAAATCTTGACATTGACTCAATACATGACAATGATGTTTGAGGTCGAAGATTTGGCTGTCGCTTCACCAGCCACTGTCTCAAGATGTGGTATGGTTTACATGGAGCCTAGAGCTATGGGTATACAACCATTAATTGATTCCTATGTTTAACGGTTTCCTAGCAACATTAAAAATAAAAAGAAAGAAGTCTTGAACAACTTGACTAAGTGGTTCTAGCAATATGTGGACGAGGCACTTGAATTTACATACAAGCATTGTAAAGAGGTTATTCCTACAATGAGAAACAATTTGGTTTAATCACAACAGAGAATTATTGATAGTTTGATTTCCCCTTATGTTGAAACTGAAATTAAAAAAGTCTCAGTTGATGAACTTGATCAATTGAACCAGAACATTGAATACTACTTCCATTATTCATTGGTTTGGAGCATTATGGTAACAGGAGATTTCTAAAGTAGATAAAAATGTGATAAGTTCCATAGATAATAGATGTAAAAATACAGGGCCAACTTTGAATATCCAAAAGAGGGTTTGATCTATGATTACTAAGTAAATTTATAACCTTGGAGTGATGCATATTAATCATTCGAAATTGATTAGAAATTATAATTCCATGAAATTGTGATTCCTACCACTGATTCCACTCGTAATATGTATTTGATGAAATTGCTACTAACTAATAATTTCCATGTGTGTTGCCCAGGACCAACAGGTACAGGTAAATCATAGAATTCATATCAATTATTGATTATGGGCATGCCTGAAGATTTTCAATATGTTCCCTTAACTTTTAGTGCTTAGACATCAGCAAATCAAACACAAGATACAATTGACTCTTGGATTGACAAAAGAAGAAAAGGAGTTAGAGGGCCACCAGTCGGAAAGAGATAAGTTATTTTCGTGGATGATCTAAACATGCCCAAGAAAGAAGAGTACGGTGCTTAACCACCAATAGAATTGATCAGATAAATATTGGATCATTAAGGCTGGTATAATAGATAAGATCTGCAATTTGTCAAATTAGAAGGTTTGCTCATCCTGTCTGCAATGGGACCCCCTGGTGGTGGTAGAAGTAATATTACAGGTAGAGCTGTTAGACACTTTAATGTCTTAGCATACACAGAATTGGATGAGGATGTCATTAAATCAATATTTTCAAAAATTGTTTAATTTTTCTACAAGAAATTCAGTGAGTCAGTTCAAATGTTACAGATGCAACTTATTAATAGTGTGTTAAGCATTTATAATTCAGTCAGAAGAGACTTGTTGCCTACTCCATCAAAAAGTCATTACACCTTCAATCTCAGAGACATAAACAAAGTGTTTTAAGGAATTTGCAGTATCTTACCTAAGAACTGCTAAGAGCCTGCCCAATTAGTTAAACTTTGGTATCATGAGAATATGAGAGTATTCCATGATAGATTAATTAATGAATAGGATCGAGTCTATTTCAAATAACTACTCACTCAATTCTTCGTTGATTTTGGATTGAAACAGGAAGAAGTATTAGATTAGGAGAGGATCATCTTTTGTGATTTTCTAGGTAACAGAGACTTGGATGTAAGGCCATATGTTTAAGTATAAGGAGATCTTCAATATTTTGTGGGTTAGATGGAAGAATTATTGGATCAATACAACAAGGATGTTGGAAGTGGCAAGAAATAGATGAAATTAGTTATGTTCTTGGATGCTTGTGAACACATAACAAGAATTAGTAGAATTCTAAGACAACCTGGTGGAAATGCTTTATTGCTTGGTATTGGTGGTAGTGGTAGATAATCATTAACTAAGATGGGTACATATTTGTAGAATTACAAATTACAATAGATTGAGGTTCTTAAGAATTATAATATGAGAGCTTGGAGAGATGATGTTAAGAAGATAATTATGTTGGCCGGTGTTGAAAATAAATGTGTTTCATTTGTATTTGTGGATACTCAAATCATCAATGAATAGATGTTGGAAGATATCAATGGTATTTTGAATTCCGGAGATGTGACAAATCTCTATAACGACAAAGATAATGAGGACATTACATAGGCTTGCAAAGCAGAATGTATTAAAAAAGGACTTCCTCCTAATAGAATGAATATATTCTCTGTCTATTTGGCAAGAGTCAAAAAGAATATGCATATGGTTATAGCCATGTCACCAATAGGAGATGCATTTACTACAAGATTAAGAATGTTCCCATCTTTAGTGAACTGTTGCACTATTGATTGGTTTACTGAGTGGCCAGAGGAAGCACTTGAAGGTGTTGGTAGAGGATAACTTGTAGAAGTGGCTTAACAATTAGATTTAGATATAAAAAATACAAGATTAGTAGATATGTTTAAGTATATGCATAAATTTGTTGAAAAATTATCATTGCAATATAAGTCTGAACTTAGAAGGATTAATTATGTTACTCCTACATCTTATCTAGAATTATTGAGTTTATATATCAATATTGTACAAGATAAAAGAAATGACTTAAAGGCTTAGATTCTTAGACTGAAAAATGGTTTGGATAAATTATAAGATGCCAACAAGGCTGTTGCTGAAATGAAAATAGTCTTGGAGAAAATGCAGCCAGAATTAGAATAAGCATAGATTGAAACAACCAAAATGATGGAGCATCTGAAAGTGGAAAAAGAAGAAGCTGATTAAACGTAAAGAGTTGTTGCAGTGTAAGAAGCTGAAGCCACTCAATAAGCTAGAGAAGCCAATTAAGTTGCTCAAGAGGCAGCTGAAAGAGTCAGAGTTGCAAACGAAGAATTAGCCCAAACATTACTGAAAGTGAAAGAATTGTAGAAGGATCACTTAGTTGAATTGAAATCATTATCATCTCCCCCTGAGGCTGTCAAAGTGGTTTTAGCAGGTGTTGTGATACTCACAACAGATTATATTAAGAAATCTGGAGGTGAAATTATAACTCAGCCAGTTCCTAATTAAATTGGTAAGAAGGAAGAGAATTACTTTGAAACAGCCAAAAAATATTTACTTAATGATGTAAACTCATTGCTACAAATGTTGTTGGAGAAGTTTGATAAAGAAAATATTAATCCAGCTGCTATAATTAAGATGGAATAGAAGGTTACATGTCATCCTAAATTCAATTAGAATGATGCATTCCAAGGATCAAAAGCTACAGGTTATTTGTTTGGATGGTGTAAATGTATGTATGACTTCTACAAAGTGTATACTGAAACTAAACCCTTAAGAGAAAAGCTAGCACTTATGACCAAAATTGTGGAAGATAAAAACAGAGAATTAGCAATTAAGAAAAAGGAATTGGATGAGATTAATGCAAAGATAAGAGAATTGTAAAGAGTTTTCGATGATAAAAAGAAATAATAAGAAGATTTATAGAAGAAGATTAAAGAGTGTGAAGTCAAATTGGAAAGAGCTTAAAAGTTGACTGAAGGATTGAGTGATGAAAAGGAGAGATGGGCAAAAGATATTGAAAGTCTTACTAATAGTGGTGGTCTAATACCTGGTAATTCTATTATAGCTGCAGGAATGGTTGCTTACTCTGGACCTTTTGTATCGTAATATCGTATCAGAATGGAATAAGACTGGAGAGCTAAATTAAAGGAGTATAATATTCCCTTCTCTGATTTGATTACGATGAGGAAATTCTTGGGGGATGAAGTTAAGATTCAATCTTGGAATATTTGTGGATTACCAAAGGATGACACTTCTATTGAAAATGGTATCATCATAGATAAGAGTAGAAGATGGACTTTGATGATTGATCCACAATCATAAGCTAATAAATACATTAAGACTATGGGTAAAGATTTACCAGAAGGATTGGATGTCTTAAAATAATCAGATTAAAATTTAATGAGAACTTTGGAGTTGGCTATTCAATTTGGTAAATGGGTTTTGGTAGAAAATGTTGGATTATCCTTAGATCCCTCTTTGGAACCCATTTTATTATAATAGATCAGTAAGACCGGAACATCTGCTACCATATAGATTGGAGATAAGAATCTACAATATAATTTTAGTTTCAGATTCTTTATGACAACCACTCTACCAAATCCTCACTACTCTCCTGAAACTTCAGTTAAAGTAACCATTATTAACTTTGCAATTACTCCTCTGGGATTGGAAGAGCAGATGTTAGCTTAAATTGTAGCATTGGAGAATCCAAATTTAGAAAATAAAAAGACGGAAATAGTTAGAAAGAATGCATAAGATAAAAAAGAATTAGTTAACATAGAAGATAGTATTTTAAGAAGTTTGTCTGAAACCAAGGGAGATATTTCTGAAATATTGATGGATGAGACTCTGATCAATAAATTATAAAATTCAAAGAAATTTGCTGCTGAGATTAATCAAAGAGTGAAGGATTCCAAAATAACCGAAGCTCAAATAGATGAAGCAAGAGAATCATATAGATCAGTTGCATTCAGAGCTTCATTACTTTTCTTCTGTATTATAGATTTATCTACAATTGATCCTATGTATTAATACTCTTTATAATGGTTCATCAACCTGTTCACTTTAGGTGTTTAGAATGCACCAGCATCATAGGTTTTGGAAGAGAGATTGAGTCATCTCAATAACTTCTTTACTTACATGTTGTATGAAAATGTTTGTAGATCATTATTTGAAAAACACAAATTACTATTTTCATTTATGCTGACCTATAAAATATTGAGTGCTGCTCATAAAATGAATGAAGGGGAATGGAGATACTTATTATAAGGTGCTACAGGAGATGTTTAATTACCACCAAATCCAACTGAATGGATTAGTGAGAATACATGGCCAGAGACCTATAGAAACATCTATGGCATGGCAGAATTGACTAATTTTGATGGCATTCTATCTGATTTCATGAGTAATTCTGATAAATTTAAAACTATTTTTGATGCTCCCAATCCTTAAGATATTGAATTTCCAGAACCTTGGAATGAGAAATTAGATTCCTTTTCAAGAATATTGTTATTGAAATCAATAAGAAGTGATAAAGTTATTCCAGCAATACAAAAATGGATTGTAGAGAAGATGGATGAGAAATTTATCATCCCACCTACATTTGATTTGAGTAAATGCTACAAAGATTCTACTCCTAATACTCCACTTATATTTGTATTGTCTCCTGGTTCTGATCCTATTGCAGATCTAATGAAATTTGCCGAAGAAATGAATATGACTAAGAGAATTGATTCCATCTCTTTGGGTTAAGGATAAGGTCCAAAGGCTGAAAAATTAGTTAAAGATGCTTTAGGCAGAGGCGGATGGGCATTGTTAATGAATTGTCACTTAGCAACATCTTGGATGAATGATCTTGAAAAACTTAATGAAGAAATGTAAGATCAAGGCACAAAAGATTTTAGATTATGGTTAACATCCATGCCTTCAAAATCATTCCCAACTATTGTATTATAGAATGGTGTTAAAATGACACTTGAACCACCAAAAGGTCTTAGAAATAATATGCTCAGAACTTACACCTAATTAGATGATAAAACTTTAAGTGATTGTAAGAAACCTGAGGAATTCAAGAAATTATTATTTGGATTCTCTTTATTCCATGCAATCATTTAGGAAAGAAGAAAATTCGGAGCCATTGGGTGGAACATTCCTTATGAATTCACAAACGAAGATCTCACTGTGTGTAGAAGACAGCTAAAAAGCTTATTAGATGATTATGTACTCATACCATTCAAAGTTATCAATTACCTTGGAGCAGAAATTAATTATGGTGGTAGAGTTACTGATGATAAGGATGTGAGATTGATTAAAACCATTCTGAAATTGTACATTTCCCAAGAAGCATTAAAAGAAGGCTACTAATTTTTAGTTCCCACTTATTACCAACCCAATGTAGGTGAAAGATAGAACTACATAGAGTATATTGAAAAATTACCATTGAATCCTGAACCTGAAGCATTTGGATTGCATAGCAATGCTGAAATAACCAATGCTTAAAATGAAACTAGAATTCTCTTAGAAACACTATAATCTATTCAACCAAGAACACAACAAGGAGCAGGTAAATGCAGAGAAGATGTTATTGAAGAATTAGCCAATTTCGTTGAATCCAAAACTCCTGATTTATTTGATATTGATGAGATTTCAATCAGGTATCCTACTGATTACCAAGAATCCATGAATACTGTTTTAGTTCAAGAACTTATTCGTTACAATAGATTACTAGCTATTATGAAAACTACACTCTCTAATGTTAAAAAAGCACTTAAAGGACTCATTGTGATGTCTGAAGAAATGGAAAAATTATCAAACAGTCTTTATGATAATCAAGTGCCTCAGTTATGGGCAGAAAAAGGATTTCTAAGTTTGAAACCCTTGGCTTCTTGGACTTAGGATTTACTAGATAGAATAGCCTTTCTTAAACATTGGGTAGAAAAGGGAACACCTAAAGTATTCTGGATTTCTGGTTTCTTCTTCCCTTAGGCTTTCATTACTGGTATGGTACAAAACTATGCCAGAAAACATGTCATTGCTATTGATAAGTTGCAATATGAGTATATTGTGTTGGATACTCTTACTCACACAGGCGTAACTGAGAAACCAGAAGATGGAGTCTATATTTATGGAATCTTTCTTGAGGGAACTAAGTATATTATTCATTTAATTTCATTAGGTGGGATTATAAGAGACATTTGATATCACAACCAAAAGTTAAAGAATTATATTCTGATTTACCCCTAATGCACTTGCTACCATATGATCCATCACAAATTGAAGTATAACCAAAAGATCCAAAAGAAAAAAAGATATTCAAATACCAATGTCCATTGTATAAAGTAGTTTCAAGGGTAAGCATTCACAATAACTCTAGGCTGGTACACTCTCAACAACAGGACATTCTACAAATTTTGTCATGCCACTTGAATTGCCATCAAGAGATGATGAAGATGTTTGGATTAGAGCAGGTGCTGCAGCTTTCCTATCGCTAAGATATTGAAAATAATATATATTTTAATTTAATGCAAATGTTCAAAAAAATTTACGTTTAATTTTTATGACACAATAATCTAGGGATGAAAATTTAAACTAAGTATGTAGAATTCTAAAATTAATTAAGAAGCAATATAAATTGTAGTTTAAAGGTAGTAGGTAGTAATTCTTCTTATTTTATGAAAAAGTAGTATAGTTAAGGGATTATCAACAAATAGAAAATCTAGGAAATGAAGAAGAAAATATCATTTTGTTGGATTGGAGAACATAATTTTAAATAAATATAATTTAATTTATTAACTTTGTAATTAAGCATAACAATTTAATTATAATGGGAAGTTGAGAAAATCATTAATATAATTAATTATTATTATTAATATTAATTTATGTAAATAAGTTGGTTAACTTGAATAATTATTAGAATGAAGTTGTGCCTAAAAACTTCTACAATTTTTGATTGAATTTATAATAATGACAAATACATGTTTACAATATATATACACTCGATCAAACCATAGAATTCAGCTTGGCTTTCTTAATTCCACACCTCATATATTGATGATCCATGAGTTCGTAATAATGTGCAATACAATTTTACGACTTTAATTTCTTTTAAGGCAAAAGTGCTTAATTATTACGCAATGAAGGGTTGTAATTTAAATAAAAATTAAAATTAATGAGTGCGTCACCCTCCACATCCAAACGATCTTTTGTCACTTAAAATGTAACATCACATTTTACGCCCTAAAGAAATGAACACGAATTCATTACTTGTGGATAGAGAGGAGAGTATAAATAGAAATCTTACTTTTCTGTTGGTTTCGTTAAAGGCTTTGCAAACTCCATAACGTTTTTGTAGTAATCAACATTTGTGCACCCTGGTTATAAAGATATTCTTGAGATTTATTTATAAATTTTTGTACTCTGGAATTCCAATCTTCATGCAGGAATCAACAAAATATTGTATCGAATAACCTAAATCTTGAATTAATTTGATGTCATAGATCTAAGCTGTGATAAAAAACTGGTTTAAGCCCTTCAAATACTTATATTGAATCGATCCAAATGATCTGTAATTCTCTTGGGGAATCTAAAATAATGTTGATAGTTTTAAATCGATTACAAAGTCTTTATTTTCCTACAGTAAACCGGAGTTTAGTTGTTCATAGTACTATTTAATATATTCACTTAATAAGTTCATTTAAACATCGCCCATGCTTTATAATCTTTTAGTCACATATTCCCAAGGGGTTTCTGAAAAATCAAGTTAAGTGTAACATAATTTGATCATCCCAGCAGATTAATCCACTATTATTCTCGAAATTTTTTTATAAGAATTTTGGCAACTGATGCCAATTTTCAGCATATCATGCTATTTTATGTATTGAGCATCTGCAAATAGATGGAAATCCTTAAAAAATATTATAAACTTAAGATACTCCTTTCATTCTGAAGGTACTCATCGGATTTAGAAACCTTTTAGGAAATACTATTAAAGATACTTCCTTTCCTTTCAAAGAGTCAGTCTCTTCACCATTAATTGGAGTAGAAGCTTAAAATTGATCAAATTTCATGTTAATTTATTTTATTTAAAATTAATTGATCTCGAAATAAATTATAAATAGAGTTTCTTCTGTTAATCATACGAATTCATGCGATTTATAATCTTATTTTAATATTTCTGAATAAATTTAATTAAATTAATTAAGTTGAAAAAAGTAGTTAAATATAAAACTTAACTAAATTATATTAAACAGACTTCTCTGCCATTTACTTTTCTTTCAAAATATTGCCATACAAAGGAGATCAATAAAATTTTGAGTTAAATTTCATAACTTCTATTTGATTTTAGTATATTAAAATTTAGGTGGATATGTAAAATAATATCAAAAATACGCTTGAAGTCTTAGTAAGACAGAAAAAAGTTCGATTAATAAAAAAATTTCGATTTAATAATTATGATATTACCAATTAATGTTGAAATATTATCTTAAGTCATCATTATTTTTAGTGGTTTTTTTGAATTATATTATAATTTTTCTATCCAATCCCATTTCAAATATTTATCTACAATATTTTAAGAATAATTTTATATAAAAAGCTATTATTATAAGACTGAAGCAAATGATCATCCATACTAATGAAATTATCATCTAATTATAATTATAATTGTGAATAAGATCTATAAAAAAATGAGATACTAAATTTTTCTGTTAAAGGAGTAGCTTGAAGTATAATAAATTCACAATGAGTATTTATTAAGCAAGAATTAAAATTCGTTTTTATTGAAATTAATGTCAAAATATGCCATCTTTCAATATAAAAAATTATAATTTCATTTCCTCTTACATGGATTGAAAATTACGATTTTATACAATTGAGAAAACTTTTTCTCCTAAATGTAAAACTCAAGCTTATATATGCTTTAAAAGGTATTATAATTATATATAAAATAATTAGATAGAAAATAACTCTAATTTAAGAAATGTTAATTTATATATTTAATAAATTGTTTATAATTTACTTTTCATTCTGTGATTTATTATAAGTCTTAAAAGAATTTTGATTAAGTTACTTAATAAAACAAAGAATAAACTATTTTTTTATTCTTGTAGCGATGTGAATTAATGTCCAGAGATGGTTATTCACCATATGAAATAATATAAAATTAGATTGGATTTCAAAGTTAATTAAGCTTAAATCGATTTGATTCTAGACAAATTAATGGTTGATTTATAATACTATAGTTTTAATAGTTATAGCTGAATTATTATTCCATTATAGAATATATGGTATCAAAGTCTATCTCGAGTGAACTAGAATTTATTTGAAGGGTAAAATTATGTTAAACAATATTGTCAAATGATTGAAAAGCTATTCATATTAATGAGTATAGGTTAAAATAAACAAAGTTATGTGTGCATTCATATTTCTAAATATTTTGGTGAGCTTTAATTTAATATTTTATTTTATATGATTCTAAATCAAAAAGATGATAAGTAAATAATTATCGCAATAGCAGGTGTTCCAGGGTCTGGAAAAACATACTTCTGCAAAAATGTGATATGCTTACAATACCCAGATGCAAAAGTAATCCCTATGGATGGTTACCATATATATCGGAAAGATTTAAATGAGGAGGGAATGAGAAGGAGAGGAGCAGCTTTTACATTCGATTATTAAAGATTCAAAGCAGATTTAACAAATTTAAGAGAAACTGGCACAGGGTCATTTCCAGATTTCTAACATTCTATAAAAGACCCTGTTGAAAATGCAATTCACATTACTAAGGAAGACAAAATAATTGTAGTGGAAGGATTGTATTTATTTTTAAAAGAATGGGATTTAAAACATCTTTTCGATCAGAAATTCTTTATTAATAAGGAATTTAATGCATAATTGATTGGACAACGCCATTATGTTTGTGGTATAGAGGACACTTTAGAAAAAGGCATATAGAGAGCAATAGAAAATGACAAAGTCAATGCTGAGTATATATTATAGAATAGTGACTTATCTGATGTGACATTTATAAAATGATCAAAGAATATAAGGCACTATTGAATATTTTTACTCTTTTATACACAAAACCCTAAATCCTCTTTTCTTAGTTATATTTAAACCTTCTGTCTACAATCTAATCAAACATAATCTGGATTCAAATTTATTAATATTTTCTTTTCTCATTCTAATCTATTGGAAGGAATATCATTAGTTTCAATTAAAATTGTATAAAACATTATACGGTCATAAAATTGTCAGAGTAGAATCTTTTAGTAAAGTAGTTCTAACTCTTTGGAAAAGTAAATTTACATCATACTTTAAATTTTGCATTAAATAAAGAATAAGCTCTTGTATAGACTGAAATCTTTATCCAAGTTAAACCAATTGGCTTATGAATTTTAATAGATTCATTATATCTTTATGAAAAACATCAATTAAATCAAGAACGGAGTGTTTAAACATGCAAAATAGATTTTAAATTTATTGATATAATGTATTTTAATCATGAAGGCCTTTTAGTTCTGTAATAATCCATTAGGCATGAAACTTTACTTTTGTCATCTTACTAAGTTTACCTATTGCTATCTTACATTCTCAGAGCTTCGATTTCAGCAAATAATAATACCATTAATCCATATTATTCATCAATTTTTGGATTACTAAATTGTTGAATGAATATTTGACTAGTGTTTGATTACTCAGTTTTCAATTCTTCAGGACATGGACTTTATAACTCTCCAAGGTTGAATTTACTAGTTTTAGCACTAGATGAGCTTTCTCGATTAATTTATGGTGTACTTTTCTTTGATGAGTTTCTATATCTTGAAATCTCTAGGGAAAGCAATGCTATTTTGTTTTCATATTCTTCAAGTTTGCTGGAATTATTTAATAAGGTTTAGTAATCTCTTTATAATTAAATATATTTCTATTGAAGTTATTGAAACTTTGATTAGAACTCATCAGTAATATCTTCTGAAGTTGAAATTATACTTGATTTTTAATAAGTTATCTGTACTTATGATTCATATTTTAATCTCAATTCATTTAGCTAAAATTCTATACTTCTAATATAGATCTCTGTTTCTCTTAATTTTTCAGTGAGTATCACAATTTCTTATTCTTATTTTTATAATTTTTATGTCTTTTCATCTATGACTTTGCTCAAATTCAAATTTAATTATTGCAATTCCATTACTCTTGAATTATCTGTATTGTCTTTTACCTAAGATTACTAGGATTGTCTATCGCTTTCTAAAGATCTCAACAAATCTTAAATATGCTGTTCCTACTTAGCGATTTTCTATTATTAATTTTCTATAACAATCTGATTGTTTTCAATTTCTTATTTTAATGAACGTAATTCACTTGTTTAGTTCATAACTTTAACATTGAATTTGTCAACAAGCATGGCTTTTTAATTAAGTTAAGAGTCTTTATCTATTAATTACTTCTTTAAAGCTTCTAAATCTTTTAGTACTAAATTATATTCTGACTTTAAATTTGTCACTAATTACTATAATTCTTCTCCTCTAGCATCCGAATTTTAATTGGATTAATCATTCTTAAGAGCATTTAATTCATTCCAAACCTTATTGTAATCATCATCTAATTCATTAAATTCCTCTTCTTTAAGCAATAATTCGTTTTCCAATTTCTTAATATCATTACTTGATTCACTTAATTCTACCTATAATTATTTGATAAAAATCTCTTATTCTTCAAATTTTTTATAATACTCTTTATTTTTTGCATTGAGTTTTTGTAATTCATTCAATAGCTGTTCAATTCTAAATTCGTCTTCTTTAATCTATTTTTCACTTTAGTTCATTATAATTTCTTGTTACTCAAGTTTTGTAAATAGTTCCTTGAGCTAGTTCTCTGATGAATTGTTTTCTTGATATGAACTTCTTAATTCAATTTCAGTGTTGTCAATCTATAAATTTAAATTGGTTATTTATATTTGGCAGCCACTTACCTCAATTTTCAGATTTGCAATTTATTGCATTAGATCTGCATTCGTTTAATTTAACTTGTTTATATTTTATTCTAATGATAACTTCTATTATTTTAATTAATCTTTCTCAATTACTTCAAGCTTAAGGCCCTCTAATTAAGTGTATAAATCCTTAATAGTTTTTTAAAAAGAGTTCTACTTAAATAATAATTCTCTGTTTGATTCTTCTAAGGCCTCACTCTTTTTGGTATTACTCTCATAAATTTCTTGTTATTTCTTCACATATAGATTCAATTTTTCCAATTCTTGGTCCTTTTCATCAATTATCTGCTATAGTTCTTAATTTTCAGAGGACAGTTGTAGAATTTGATTACCTTGTTCTTCCAAACTTTGAATTTATTAATCATTTTAATCCTATAATGATTTGTTTTCCTCCTAAAGCTTTTCGATAATTTATTAGTAATGTTATTAAAGCTCTTATTTTGAAGTTATAAACTATTAATTTTAATTCGAAATTGTGGTTTCCAGTTCTGAAATTTAAAGAAGGTGGTTCTAAATTTCTAATTTAAATTGTTAAATTTGATTCTAGAAATTAATAATGATAGTGTTAGATGAATCATTCTTTCCTTAAAATTATTAATGCTAAAGTTTTAGTTGACTTATTTCATCAGCGTCAATTTCAGCTTAATGTTTGAAATTAGCTATTTGATTTTATAAATCAGATATTTGATCTTGAAGATCTATTTAAATCTATTAAAGTTCTTAAATTTCCTGATCCTTCTAAATCAATTGATCCTGGAATTTATTTAAAGATCGCTAATAATTTAATTTTTACTCTGCATTATTAAGATTTAAATCTTGTATTTCATTATCTTACATTTACAGTCTTTCGCTGTAAGATTATAATTAAGCATCCTATCTTATAATTTGGATTTCTAGATCATTATCTTCTGCCAATTAATTCTTAAGCAATCTTACTTGATCTTCCAATTCAAGAATTTTCTTATTTAGATCCTGATTTTAACTTGCCTATAGACTCAATTAATCATTCAGATTTTCATTTTGAGCATTCAGATTTAAATTGTCAGATGCTAGTTTATCTTTATCAACCATAATTTTGTTGTTTTCTTTTATAATTTCTTAAAGTTGAGATTCCATTTAAGCCTTAAAAAAATTGACTTATTCTACTTCATCTTCTAATTCTTCATTCTTTTATTCAGCTTAGGATAGTTTGAGTCTGAGTTCATTTAATTAGGTTTCTAATTATAATTATATTTGGGATTAATTTAAAGAGTTCTTATTCTACTCTTATTCTAATAATTATTTCAGTATATGTATTTCTTGATTGAGATCTACAATAGTTTTTTCCAAAATAGCAATGCTAGACTTATTATTGATTAAATCCTATTTGTGTTTATCCAAATCTTGATTGAGTTTAATCACAATCTCAGGATACTATTCTAATTAATCTCTCAACTCTTGATTAATGTTGCACTACAATGTAAACTATTCAGCCTTAGAGATCACATCCTAGAGGTCCTATCCTTGCAGTAATTCTTAAATTTCATCATATTAAATGGACCTGTTTTTGAGCTCATCTACCAAATCCTTCAACTATTCCAAGGTTATTTGGCCAGCTGTAATTTGGTTAACTAGGTCAGTTACATGAAGATGTTATTATTCTAGAGATTGGTATTCATTTTAAAGTTCAAGCTAGTCTCTATTGATGCTATCTAATTTAGACTGGAGTAATTTGATTTCTGTAGATTATTGATCAATGACAGCTTGTGAATTCAGGTTTTGAAGATTTGCTTGATCGATGTCTTAATTAAGTTGTTTAGTAAGAGACTATAATCGTTCTACTTCAACAGCCAATCCAAAGCAAATAACTTCGATTTATAACATTAAAAATAAATGGGATGCGTAACATCAAGTGGAAATAAAAAAGTACATAATTCTATTATGAACAGTTAGAAGACATAAAATAAGGGTTTGTGATTAGAATTCAGCATCCTGACAATAAAACTGAAAAACAATTTAAATATTTTGATGAAAAACAGAAGAGCGATTTGATAATGAATGTCATGAATGGAATCTGTTTCAGTGAAAAGGTCTCAGATAAATGTGATGGGAATTTCATCTCCCTTTATGATCAATCTGATGATAGATTTCATTACTATGTCCAAAAACTTGATGGTATTTGTGTGCATTCAATATTAGGGATTGAAATAGAGAATCCAAATGAACCTACCAAAGGCAAAATTTGGGTTCCTTATATCAATGAGAAACGACAAGATTGGGACACTCTAGTCGAGAATAATAGTAGAATTTCAATAACTGACCACTTATTATGGAAGTTAGAATACATTAAAAGGTGAATAATTTTATTTTATTATTTAAATTCTTCATATCAATGGTGATTTATCTTTGATGGGGCTTTCAGAAAGGTCTCTTAATTTATATAGTTCATTTTCCCCTCCAAAGTGTCATAAATGAATTCCTTATCTATTTTTTCAATTGTGTCTTGTTTTTATTAGTTTTTTCGAACACCTTGAGTAGGGAGATTCTTTTTCGATTGCATGTATTAACTTGATTCTTTGAAAGGACGAATGAAACTAAAATTGATGGATATATGTAATACCTTTATGTTAATTCCATTTCAGAATTTTCAATGATTGTCGAGAGACTTCGCTATTACTGAAATTGATTTCTGGGCTTAGTTTCATCTTTGCATTTCATCTTGATAAACCAATGATGATTCAAACATTAAGCAGAAGTGAATCTTTGGGTAGGTTCCCTGTTTAACATCTTTTTCATCATATCCATTCCAGATTAAGATAGATTCTTGCATAATCTCTTTTCAGCTTTAAAGTCTATTTCACATCTTTCGTTTGCCCTTAAAATTTCATCCTAATCCAATCCTTCAAAGGGCATTTTTCCGAAAACTAAAATGTAAAATACTATTCCCAGACTAAACACATCAATTTTCTAGTCATAATTCCTAGATCTAAATATTTCAGGAGCCACATAGCCTGGAGTTCCACACTTCTTATAACTGCCTTAATTTTAACCATTCAATTTAAAAGATTCTGAATAACAAAAATTCGATAATAAAACAAATGGCAACCTTTTGTTTTCTGGCACGAATAAGTTCTCCAATTTGATATCCCTATGAAACACTCCTCTTTGATGCATATGTGTTATAGCTCCTATCAATCCATACATCATGTCAGCCAACACCTTTTCCTCCACTTATCCACCTACCTCCTATGCTAATTGGGTTTCTCTCAAATGCTACCTCAGATCTCCACCCATATATGGATCGAACACTTAGTAGATATTCATTTCATCTTCATATATTTCAATCAGCCTCATCAATTAAGGATGGCTATAGCTTTACAGATTATTGGTACTTTAATCTTCTTAAATGCATTAACTCTTTGAACATCATACTCTTCTGTTAGGGTGTCATTTCTTTGTTTATAATTTTAACTAAATAATATTATGCATCTGACAATCTAACACAATTAAAGCACACTTATTAAAATATTGGATCATTATATCTTAATTATGCTATCACTCTATATTTCCTTGTAAATTTTTCCAGTATGCAAAATCTCTTCAACATCATAAACCACTTTTTAAACTAATCCAACACATCCGTAACAAAAAACGCCAAGTATTATCCCATTTATAATCTGAACCCATATTTATAGGAAGGATATTAAGCATCATAATGATTAAATTTCTTCAAAAAACAGCCCCGTAAATAACAGCAATCAGTCTGATCTCCAATAAAACGAAACATTCGATCAGGTTAGAGTTCGAATAAATAACTTTCCCAAGAGTCATTTTCATTTTTAAATAAAAGTTAACCTTATAATATAGTTAATTATGATTCCCTAGGACTAGTATCTGGTTGCCAGAACACTGATGTGCTAGGAAGAGTCTCTGCAAACACGCTCTAAAATGAGACTACTCTCATGTTATTTTATGTTCTATTATTGTTCCTTCTCATTATAATTAATTATTAACTTAAAATATCTATTAACATCCCTTAAGAATATATCATTACACAATTTCCATTCCACAACACTTAGCCATTACAAACAACTCACTATAGAACCCACCTTCCCAATCATTATATCTTTAGAACAAACGACAAACCGCCTTCCAAATCTCGAATTAGATTTCTAAACTTAGATTTAGAAAACGCTATTGTGAGAGCTTTCCTGGATTAAATTCACCCTTTCCCTAATTTTCAACAAATAAATTAAATTTTATAGGTTATCTATATATAATATATAAACTTTTCAATTTCAGGTTTAGCATAAAGCCAAAGAATGGTACTCTCCACAAGACACCTAAATTACATCCTAAAGATCCAACTTAATAGGCCTATTTATAGAAAAATTTAGTACTATTCAATGAATCTGTTTTTATCTCCCAAACCTAACTGGTCAAAAAAGTTGAAACCCCATCCCCAGACTTATTTACAAGAAGATATTGCTAAACAGTGCCTTTTACCAACACTTATCTACTTGATTTTAGACAACCCTTCAATTTGTTTTGGCGTTTGTAAGAATGCAGGAATGGTGGACATCAGATGTCCTAAATTTCCATTGCTTTTCTTCCCACAACTAAAAACATCGCCATTGTTATTAATGAATAAAGTGATATCTTCTCCACAAACAACATCAACGGCTTTCATGTCTAATTATAAATTCAAATAACAATCAGAATTAATTTTATTTCCCAGCTAGCCCTATTACCCATTCCCAGTTGTAAACACTATCCCATCCTGTCTTATAAATGCTGAATGATTCGTTCCTAGCGATATTTTACTTACTTTGATTCCAGTGCTTGTTGGAACATTATAGTTTTTTTTCTCTTCTAATCCAAGTCTATAATCTATATTCGATCCCCAACTATAAAAGAGGTTGTCCTTATTGATTGCTGCCGAGTGCGATCTACTGGCCTCTATATAAATAATCTTATCCAAAATTTTAACAGGTTCATCAGAATTAAAGTAGGATTCATTTCCTAATTGTCCTTCGTCTCCTATTCCCCAAGAAAATACTTATCCTAATGAATCTAAAATCAAAGTATGCTGACATCCACAAGCTACTTGAACGATACTATTAAATTAAGGTTGCTTTTGGGGAGTTAAATCATAATTCTTCCCCCAAATAAACAATTATTATTCTATATTAATTGCAGCAGAATGATAATACCCACATGATATGTATGAAAGATTTTAAATTTATATTTTATATGGTATTGGCTAACTGGCTAAAGAACCAGTTCCAAGTCGACCATCTTTACCAGATCCCCAAACAAATAATGCTGTTTTATCTCTTTCTGTAAATTTTGGTGTATTTGTAGATTATCTAATATTAGGATTAATAATGTTAGTAATATTCTATAATTATTATTATTGTTATTATTATTATTATTATTATTGTTATTATTATTATTATTATTACTATTATTTACTACTATTTAAAGAATAGCGAGAATCATTCAGATTTTTTGAGACATTGTTAAAAGCTTATTATAGCACTTAAGTTTTTTTGTTAAATTGTTCATTTAATTAGAATTTACACTGTTTCATCCAATTATATTCATTATTAACTATTTCAAAATACTTTTTCAAACTTTTATCATCAATTATCTTCTAATTTTGATATGATAATTCTCCTATATTCTAAACCACTGATGTTATTTCATTTAGCTTATTTTATAATGCATTCATTGCTTCTTGAAAGGCAGACTCTAAAATTGGCATTAATTATTAAGTTTAATATGATTGAAAGTCAGATTGTGGATTCAATATTGATTAAACATAGACATTATTGAAAATGGATTCTTCCTACAATTATTTATTAATCAACTCTTTAAATTACTACACAAATACTTTTTGTGTTTAATTACTCAAAGGGTTGTTTAGTCCCTTTGGTAAATTGCAGTCCTAACACATTTGCATAATTTAATTGTATAAAGATTGAATTAACTATTTATGCTATTGATTATAAACTTCTTTAAGGATATTTGTATCCTCAATAAACTTTTATTTATCATGAACTTATAAGGCTATGTATTAAATAAAAACATCTATTATTTAATCAAAGGTGTTATTGGATTACTATTATAGTAATTATATTTTTAGCTAGTCCCTTTCTACTTTTAAATCATTTAGTTCCTTCTATAAGGCCTCTATCAGTCCAGCCTTACTCAAAGATTCTTGCTTAAAAATCTTGTTTTCAACCTTCTTTGCCCTCTATGCAAACCTTAATGTGGACAGAGTTTAATAAAAGTTCATAGAAGCAGGAGACAAAGTACAAATGATAGTAGTGTATGAATTCCCACCCAAAGAATTTTATAAATATCGGGTGAGTTTTGAATCTCTATAAGGAATGTGTGATTTTTTGCCTTCAGCAAGCTTGTTGATAACATTGCTCAAAACAAACAAACTTTTATTTATATATGCTGTTTCATCTGAGGCATCCTCTTCGTTTAATCTTTCACTACCAGCTAAATCGACAAGACTTAAAGTTGAAGTGTGCGATTCGTGTTAAACTAATATTTGAAAAATGGTATGGGATCTCGAAGAATGCTCATGAATTTATCTTTCTCTATACATACGCTACTCTTCTCCATCACATAACAAAGACAAAGCATCATCGAAATTCTCCACCTGCTAAATTCTTAACTAATTAACAAAGGCTTGTCCATTAATGTCCTACATTTTTAGGTTTGTGGCACCTTACTATAATAGGTCATTAATCTATAAATTATATAATTTTGAACTTGTTCATTGTATATTTCAATATAACTAATAGCGATTGGCAATTAACATTCCTTAAATAAATCAAGTAGTGTGTATGGCAATAAACCAGGGTTTTCTTGATCTCCAAGCATGGTGTAAGTTTTACCAGAAGTGGTTTATCCATAGAGAAAGAGACTGGAATTGAATCCTTATAAAGTGTAGTTCAAAAGCTATTTGCAATGCTTATAAATATCTTCATTTTTATCTTCATTTGAAAAGATCTTGTCTATATTAAACAAGGAATTATACCAAAAGTGAATTGGTAATTATAGAACGCATCGGCATATCTTCGAGTTGTTTGAGGGTCTCTAGGTAGCGATATAATAGTGTTTGTTTCTTTTTAGATCTTCCAAGCTTCTTCATCTTCATTTTAAAGAGGAGGTCTCATTCTCACAAAAATTTTGATTGCTTCGTTCATATGAACTAAGTGTAGCCAAATTCAAATTTTTAATAATTATCTGTAAAAATTTATTATCAAGGTAAAAATGTGTTTTTGAAAAAGCATACAGTTCGGAGTAATTGACAAAAGGTTCTATTTTAAACAGTCAAAAATTATAGATAATTTCATTAATATTAAATTATTCTTTATTAGATGTAAAAATAGTAAAAAAGCAAAAATTACATCTATGTATGATGAGAGTTTATGAATTATTTACTTACGATTCCTTTATTCTATATATTCTTCAAAGATTAGATACAATTATAAGAGGTAACTATAAACTTTACAACTAAATAGGACAATATTTTAATTAAAATTGTTAATCTTTAAAATAATAATTTATATTGTTAAATGAATCATTATTAAAAATATTATCAAAAATGCTCATATATCTGATATAACAACATTGAAGTATAATAATTAATAGTTACTAAGTTACTCAATAGGAATTTACATATAAAAGTCCTTTTTTTAACTTAAAATATAAAAAAGATATATTAATAATCATCATGAAGCAATAAAAAAACAGATGATTTAAATTTTAATATCTCAAAGTTAAGTAAATTTATAGATATCAAAAGTTAGTTAAATTATAGTAAAATCATGATTTGTTTCTCTTTTCATCTTTTAAAACTTACACTCTCCAGCTTTCAGAAAACTCATTAAATTTCATCATGAATTCTTAATGAAATCCAATTCCATCTTGATCTGGAATTTTCAACTTATTCAGATTTTATTATTAAATTTACTGTTAGATTTTTTTTTATTATTATTATTATTACTATAACTATTATAATTATTGTAATTTTTGCTGTTATTAATTGCATTTAGATAAATCTATCTTCATTTTGATAGAACTTTTACTCTCTGTAGCATAATTACTATTTTGATTCCTGTTTTCAAACCTTCTAATACTTTCTATAATGCTTTCATCATCTAGTCTTCCATTATATTAAAAACTAGATTCATCTGAATCATTTACAACTGAATTGTCAGCATCATGAAAGCTTCTTTCAATCTTTGGGATCAGCCATCTAAGAATATATGTGAAGATATGTACTTTTTCTCTCTATTCGATTAATTTTATTGTTCAGACACAGAATCATCATTCAAAACTTCTTCATTATATATCTTTTCTATATCAATTCCAGTTCTGCGGATTGCCAATACTAATTTAATTAATTTTTATTCTTTTTCAGACATTTCTTAAATTTTTTGTTACATAAGGATTGTCATTTCTTTCAACTATGGAGTATTGGCAGAATCAAGGTCAATTTATTTTTTATCAGATTTAAAAGGAGAGGGTCTCTCTTTTTCTAAGGTTTATTTTAATTGAGAAACAGTTTCTAAGAGAATATCTCTCTCTTACTCGAGAGATCTAAAGTTATTTTACCAAATATCCCTTTCCCTTCTCATTTACTCAATTAACTCATTTAATCTTAGATCCTATTCATAAACCATTAGAATTGCAGAATTTTATAATAATTCAAATAGATTGTTTGATATTGACATAATGATATCTGACCATTATTATTCTATTTCTCTCACCTAGACTTACAACTAATTGAACACACTCTTAAATTAAATTGGAGTTCTAGCAAATTGTTTAATAAAAAGATCTTTAAATGGATCCCATAAACCTCTCTACTTTAAATACTACTATTTTTTTTATTATTCAAGTATGGAACCTTGAATCTGTTTGTCAAGATTTGATAATTAATCTATCAGTTCCTTCGATTGATTAGCCTATTAGGATTAAGCTCTTTTTTGCATCAATGTTTTTTCTCTTAACATATTCAATTGATTGATATCGATATCTGCTGATTTTTTGTAGGCTGATTTGTTCTGTCTGCCTCCTGGACTGGATGAATCACAAGTTAAGTTGGATTTGGAGCTACAAAAGATCAACATCAAATGCTTACACAAATAGATTAGTAGAATACGCCTATGAATCACCTATTATTTTCTTCAGTTTGAGGGCATTCTATGAACTATACATGGAATCATCTTCTAATTGATTGCTTGTAAAGCCTGAAATACGACTTTTTGAACTACTATTTGTGCGATTATTTAATTCAGACAGATTATTTTTATTGACCTTGCATCTCTTTTCTTCAATAGATTTAGATATTGTTGGCTACGGTTTGAAGCGTTGATGACAATATTTTTAAGGAATGTGAAATAATTAACTAGATTCTGGTATGCTAACAGTCTTAATCATATATGAATTTTCATACAGGTTGAGATTATTATTTTTTATAATCTTGAGTTGAAGTTTTGGAGGCTGTTTCTTTGACGCTATTTGGAGTTGTTCTCATGTATTCAAAGTCCGATAAATTTAATTAAATTAACAAATGTTTTATTCTGTTTTATTTTTCATAGCACTCAGAATTCTAATTTAATGTAAGTTTTAGACTATTCACAATTTAAATATGAAGAAATATTAAACCTAAACAACATATTTGTACTAATGAATCAATTTAGATAATGAGCCTAATCAAACCAACCAATAGTAAATACTATTGTTCAATTATCTCAACAAATTGACTTATGGATTTGAATAAGAAAGATGCAAAGCAAATTTAGTTAGATAAATCTCAGTCTATATTATTAAAAATAAAAATAGCATCAGTGAATAATATTTCAATAATTATGGCAAATCTTTGAATTAAGGCAATGTAAAATGATTTTATATTCATCTTAACTAAATCCAATATGCTTGTAATAGTTTGGCTCTAAGTGAATCATTATTAGATATTATTAGTCATTACTAATATCAATATAAAAATACAATATACAATATTAATAATCATTAAGTGACTGAAGTCTTTTTGAAATCCTTTATCTATCATAAAACAACTTTATTTCTATTATTTCCAATTCCAAACTGAAGACTTTGATTAAATTTTGGAGTTAAGTTTGGAGATTCTTAATTTTTCGGAATGAACATCTTCACACTCTTCAAAACAAATTCTTAATCTTTTGAGATATCGATTGATCGATATAATTGAATTTATTGTTTAGATTCAGTCATTGGTAAAGATTCAATACACAGTTTTCTCTTTGATTTCAAAATTGAGTTTGACTGACTTTGTATATGAAGCATATTTTATGATTGTTTGTTATTCTGTTTCTAACCGGCACAGCCCATTTGTTATATTTACAATAATAAAAATAATTATGATGTCTACAGATTAAATCTAAGTCCTCTTTCTATATTTAATAATCCATCACAAAATAATAATACTAATTAAAAATTTGCACAATTAATTTTCTTCTTGATTTATTATTAATTATTGATTACCAATTCATTTACTGAAGTATAAAATTATATTATTTGAATTTCATCTTCTTAATTATGTAATTGCAATTGAAATTACATAGTACCACACTTTCTATTTTTTTCATTATATAAAATCAATGTTTGAATGAATTATAAAATATTCAAAATAAACTTATTCAAATCTGTTCATTTTATCTAAAATTGTTTGAAATATACAAAAGATATCATATCATCTAAATCAAATTTATAATTAAATAAACCTATTAGAATTGTCTTAGTATGTTCAATAATAATATTTTAAACTTTATTATTTATAATATTATCAATCTACTTCAGATTATGATTTTCAGTTTGTAAATCTTTTTTATTTTAACTTTTACACCATCTTTACAAGTCTATAATCTGTCAAATATTTAGAGAAGCGTAGTCTTGTTCCAATTTTAATTTTATTTGCCCTTAAATTAATTAATTATAATTACTAGAAGATTGTTACTTCATAATTATTATGAGCCAAATAATTATCAAAAGCATACATCACATCAAAATTATCTATACCAAAAGATTTGTTTGCATAAACAGGTATCTATCGTTATTTTAAATTAAAACATACTTCTTAAGCACTGAATGGAGAGAAACTGGAAGCCACATTTGACAATTTTGATCCTCTTCTTGTAATGGATTTTCTGAAAAGATTCATGAAGTTTTGATTCTTATTATCTTCCTAATTAAAGTTATCTAATTAACGAGACTGTTGCTATATTTTTTAAGGGATTGAAAAACTAGACTTCTTTATATATTGTGATTGATTGAGATTGGGTTTATATTGGTGATTAGTTAGGGATCTTGAGGAATTTAATCTTTAACTAACAACTTCAGGATGAAGATATATACTATTCATGGAGCTTTATTATCTGTAAGATCCAGAACCTAAGCGTTAAAGTCTGCTTTGATTCTATTCATGCATTTGGGATTCAAAATTATTATTAAATGTTAACTTTGGATCATTGTATTTTCTGATGAATTTATCTTCCATCAAGTTTTCCTCATTCCCATCATTCTAGACTTGTTTGTATCTTGATTCTTGATCATTATGCGAATCTGAATCCTCATTCTCCATGATAATATTGAGCGACTTGTCAGTCATGTCTTTATTCGAGGCAACTCCTCCTTAAGATCCAAACCCAGCTGTATTGAAAGTCCTTTTCTGTTCAACTGTCCTAACTTTTGATACGAAATCAAAGTCTTAGCTGTTATCATGAATATATTAAAATTCATTATTCTAGTCCATATTTACTCTAATTTATATATATATTTGTATTACACATCATTATTATATATTGACTACTAATCAAAGCCTGATTGTTATTTTAAGAATGATGTAGATTTGATAAATGACTTTTCTTTGCTTACTTTACTAAATTAACTAACATATGAATCTCTGATATGATTGTCGTCAATTGGAATTTATGTTTGACTTTGTGAGACATTATAACAGTAATCTTCAACCAAATTTTAGAATGCGTTTTCAAAATCAAAGGCTTGTCTATAAAAATTGTAAGCCTTTACATCTCTATTCTTTCTTCTTTTATCTTAAATGTATTTTTATATATTTTACAATCTTTTCTCACTTATTTATGAGGAAACGCATATTTTTTAAAAATGAAACTTAAATCAGGTTTGTAGGTTAAATAGGGGCAACTGGTTATTACATGTTAGTGGGAATTACAACAAATACATTCCTATGGTAGTTTTTCATTAAAAAGTATCAAATCTCGTTGTTCATAAAAGAATTGCTAAGATTAATTTCTTCAAAGTTACTTTTTCATTGAAGTTCAACAGAGATAAAAAGGTTGATCTCTGGATTTTAATGAGTCTTGTAGTACCATCTGTAATTGCAGTGAAATCTCTTGGATTTTCAGTGTAAAAAGATAGTTCTCCAAAAACAGCAAATTATGTTAATGTAAATACTATAATGCCTGTTCTTGATTTCAAATGCACAGAACCTTCTAAAATAACATACAGAGAACAGTCATCTGTTGCTCCTTCCTAAAATATATTTTGATTAGGTTAACAGACTATCTCAATGCATTTATCAATAATTTACTTTAATGTTGCGTTATTTAAATATTTAAAATATTGACTCAATAACTTATATCTTTAAACTATATTATATTCTTTAAGCAATTTATTTGAGAGTTTGTCACTAACTTCCTTATTACAAAACTTTGGTTGATTTTCTAAATGACTTCTTATTTTTAGTTTCAAAACTGAATCCAATTTATTTTGAGTAAAAAAATGACTCAATTAAGAAGATCTATGTTCTGGTTTAAAAAGATCAATTAAAATAGATAGCTAGTATGCAAAGCAATAAAATGATAAAATAGAGATACAACAATATGCTATTATTTTATTATTGTCATTTGAATTAGTATAATCTGAATTGAAAGTAATCATGCTTACAATTAGTTGAAATGTTTTCAAATATCTTTAAGAGAAGCTTTCTTCAGCATCATTTTCATTTTCTAAATGGTAAATCCAAAAACAAGTAATAATGTGAATGTATATAAATTATTCTATTATTAACAATATTACTTTTTGATAAACCTTAAAAACATCAAATTCACTAACCATTAATGCCAATAATTACAATTAAATATTCTGATGCAGATCCATAAATCTTGGAAATATGCTTAAGATATTTATTAAGAGAATTATCCAATTATATTTCTCCGCATTCATTATTAATGTCATAGTTATTAAAAATATCTATGTGTTATTGAAATGCTTACAATATCAAAGATGAAATATTTTTTGAAATACTTCTTCAAAATTACACTGATGTTGCTTTCAATTTCTCCTTTAATAGCCACAGCGCTACATGCTTTTAAGCAGCAGTCTACTATTTTCAATATTAGAAATGCCACTTGATGAGATTTCTCGCTGATAGGTATTACAAGCAAATATACATAGAGCAAGAGATAATAAAATATGTTCCAAATTTTTAAAATTACTGAGTTTGGAAGTAGAACATCTTGAATTTTCATATATAATTATACATTATCTTTAGAAACCCAATTAATCCAAATCGAATAAGTGAGTGAACCTCATAATTCTGTAATTCGTTTTGATTGTTTTACTTAATACATCTATGAATTTTTGTTTCAATTTTATAGGCTTAGTTTATGCCAACACCTTTTTAAAATTACCATGCCTCGCACTTGAAAATAATTAGAAGCTACTTTCTTCAAAGTTACAAGACAATTTATCATTAGAAATCTTAAATACCTTGAAAAATAACACCTCTTGATTAGTATGCATAGGGGATAGAGAGAATTTCGATTTTTCAATAGTTTTTACAGTTGGATCTCTGACTGAATGATCATCTTCAGGCTAGTCTGGATGACCTATTGTGAAAGGCGAATACTAAAAGGGGCCTATTTAAGGAATTTATAATACCTTAAAATAGATCATAGTTATTAAAAATTGGTTCTGTTTTTGTAGAAATTACATGATCATTTCTCATTGGATAAGATAATTATTTAATAATTATTTTTATATGATTTTGTGATATTAAGTTGTTATAACTTGGAGATATAAATTATAATTGAGTTCTTTCTAAATTAAATTTCAAATTAATATTATATATCTAATTCAATCAAGTAAATTTGGGTGGTTACAAGGAGACAATGTTTTTAATCATGATTTATTGCAATTAGCAATAATTTATTAATTTGAAAATGCGGTAAAATAAAGATAAATTAATTAAGAATTGTTACATGATGAAGAAAATGATATTCAAATTTGAGTTAATTATATGTTCTTGTAAATCATTGCTCTTAGTCTTTAGTAAAAGAATTCATGGGTAAACATACTAGATTAGTTAAAAAATTAGAAAAAAAAGTAAAAATATCATATCCAATTGTAGTTATAATTTCTTATACTTAATTCGAAACATTAATCTTTTTGCAAGTGAAATCAATAATAATCTTTATCTTTAATTGATATCTCTCTAAATTTAACACTATTTTGATTAAACTAAGAAATAAAGAGTACTTAGAAGAATTAAATACATCTAAGATCTAAGATCATAAAATATTAAATTTTATCAATAAACATAAATTTGATAAATATAAAATGATGATATGATAAGGTTTAGTTATAATATGTTCTGTACATAAATAAATATCAACTAAAGATATTGTCTAAAAAGGACTTTTTTTCCTTTTAGGGTTATGGCTTTTAGGCATGTAATGGTTTTGCTGGAGGAGACTAATGATTAACAAATAAACTTACATTTCTTCTTGGATGCGATACTGGATGGCCATATGACAATGGAGGAGCATAAGAGATAGGAGCAATTCTAGAAGGAGCAAAATTAGGTTAGACATAAGGCGCATATTAAATTTGAGGTTGTTAGAACACAGGTTGAACAACAGATTAGACTGGAGCAACATATTAAGGAACTTATTGAACAACAGATTAAACAACTGGTTATGCTACCACTTATTGAACTGGTTGATGAACCACTTGTCTTTCAACTGGGTAATATTCTACTCTATCTTAAAATCTATCCACGGGGACGTATTCTAAATATACTAATTAATTAATTACCTGTAACTTTATCATAGAATACCTGAGGAATGTATTCTGTTTGATATTCAATGGCTTAATATTCTGTTACGTATTTTTCCCTTGGGACCTAGATTCTTTATCTGACTTCTTCATATTCAATAACTGATTTTTCATAAGGGATATATCTAAAAATATTATACTAAATTTTCTACTCTATTCTGCTTTCTCCCTTGATGACCTATTAGGTTGGTTAAACAGCAACTGGTTAAACAGCAACTGGTTAAACAGCAACTGGTTGAACAGCTACTGGTTATGGGATGTATTGAACTGGTGAACCAACATAAGATTGTTAAATTGGTAAATAGGAAGGACTTGCAAATCCTACTGGTGGTGCATAGGTTCTAGGAGGAGAGTAGGCTATTGGGTGTTATGGAGCAGCTGGTTAAGCTTATTGGGGAGGTCTGGTCGAGGCTGGGTGATTACTCATTTTGAATATTAAAATATTTAATAATTTAAAGTGATCGTTAGTTATTTTAATTGTTGATAAATTGATTACAAAACTTACTAATTAACTTATTGAAATTCTCTCACTAAAATGATAGAATAGTATTTATTAGATTCGATTATTTTTATTTAGTAATATTTGAAATTAATTCGTAAAGTTATGATTAATTTAATCATCTAATAATCAATAAATGTAAATTTTATTGTTATATTTACCCTTATTTATATTTTGTTAGAAGGTAAGAATATATATTAAAGCTGACTAAAGTGAATATTTGGTGTATAAAAACAACTAAGTTTAATTTGAATTCCAAAAAGAGAATTTATAATAGGAAGTGACTTGTAAACCTCCGAGATCTTTCGGTGTTTCTAGTACAGATAGTGCAATTGGATATTCAAATCAAATTTTAAGAATATAAAATGATGACATAGTTTCATTCAACGTTTAAGCAGAACAAAAAACAGAGAAGGATACAAGCATGTATTTTATAATATAATTAAGAGAACTCTATTAACAGAAGTAATTTCAGAAGATGGAATTTTGAGACCTAAGAGCGAAATCTCATTCCTATTGTAATAGCGATGTCCTTAAAAGGTTGATTTAACATCTGAAAATTATTGGACTTCTATAATTGTGAATCTTAATATCACTTAAGTGAGCTAAACGAATATTGATAAAGTACAATTTGCTATGATATTTACATGTGATAGATCATTCAGAGATAAAACATTTGATTGGAGTCTACCAATTTTACTAATCATTACAACCTTATTGATTGCATTTTTAGCAAAACACACAAGAATAATTTCATTTAGATGGAGGGCAAATGGACATGACTTTTAAGGATTTGAAATCGGTTTTATGATAATTGGGATCTATATATTATCATACGCATCTGGTGCAACAGTTTATATAGCTACAGGTTTTTCAGATTTGATTCGATATTCTTTGATAGTAATTGCTTGCACTATTGGGACTCTTGCAGTTTTCTTTGTCTCAACAGAGGTATTAAAATGAAATAAGGTTAGTTGGCCTGCCTATTGAAAGCAAACTCTTCTATTAGAAAATACAATTTAATAATTGCTTCCGTCGTTTCTTTATTGATTGGACTGCCTTATTATTTTTGGATGCCATGGTACTTGAACGACATAATTTCCCTAGCCTTTATTTTCCTAATTGTAAAATTCTTCAGACTCAAGAACTTAAAGACAGCAGCTGCTTTGATGTTTTCTAACATGATATTGGATTCAACATTTGCCATTTATATTCATTATACAAAAGATGAGTCTTACAATACTTCTGTGTTATAATACTTGAACTGTCCTTTAGAATTGCAATTACCTTTGATGAAATTGCAATACGACAAGAACTGCGCTTGGATTTCCCTCTTTAGTCAGGCTATTCCAGGGCTATTTCTAAGTCTGGCCTACAGAATAGACAGGAGTAAAAGAACATTTACATATGGTTTGGCAGGGGTGTTGTCATTGATAATCTCTGAGGGTTTTTGGGTAGTGGCCACAGTGTCAGTGAAACATTCAATTCCCTAGTCCTTATTTACACATCCTATTTTATTGGGTGCTTTAACACTAAATTCAATAAGGAGAGCAGAATTCAGTTCTTATTTGTTTGGAGACTATTTGTTCGACCAAAGCTATTATAGATTAAGGGGAATTAGTTTAGAGGATTGCAGAGAACCTTAGTTTCTTTTAAACATGGAAAGTCTTCCTGACATTAAATAACATCCAACAGATTTATGAAGTATAAAAGTTCTTAATGTGTAATTTTATAATAAAATATTTTATTTTAATATTTTATGGAATTAAATAAATCGAATATAATGGTTGCAACTGATGGATCCCAAGCATCCAAATAAGCTTTCTTTGTACCTTAATTTATTATATTAATTAGTAAGCAGTTGAGTTCTTCGAGTACAAGAACATTTTCAATCAAATTATCGTAGCTCATGTATCTGATGAATCTAAAACCTATCTGCCTTTTGAATTCCAAAGCACAACAATTTATGAGGACTATAAAATTGAACTATTGTCAAGAGTAATCGATTTACCTATTATTTATTTTTTAGTATCCAGAGGCGAATTACTAATTGGTTTTTTAGGAGAAAGCTTAAGGTTAGGAGAATATTAGAAATTAAATCTTGACAATAGCAGGAGATTTGAATGTCAGTTATTTGATAGTGGGATTTAATGGGCGAAAGGGAGTCAAATAGGATGTTACTATTTTGGGACAGACAGTGAGGAACTCAGTTTATAACAGTAAAGTGCCTTTGATAGCCGTTAAGAAACTGTATAAGAGAGATGAAACCAATGGATTCAAGTTCGTAGTTTGTATTGATGGATCTAAGAAATCGTATAAGTCATTGGAAAGTGCAGTTGCGTTGTCTTTTGATGAGCGTGATAGTTTGTTGATATGTTTTGCTCCCACACCTGATAGGGAGGCATTTGGAACTACCATTAAGACTAAGGTGGAAGAGTTTATGGCTAAATATTAAAGAAAGTGGCAATATAAATAATTGGATCCATCCTATAGGGCTATAGAGAATGTGATTGAAATGATAAACAATTCAGATGATCTTGACTTTGTAGTGTTTGGATCGAATGGGTATAGAGCACAATTGGAAAGTAAGACATTTTTTGGTTCAACAGCTGATGAATTATTGAAGAAGGCAAAGGCAAACATTATAATGGTACCTTGAATATAAAATATATATTATAAAGTTAAATATATATATATAATTAAATAACTTCTAATGAAAGAGACAAGTTAGTTGAAACCGGTGACATAGAAAAAAAGTAAGAGCAACTTTCTATTGGAAATGAATGAGAAGGATAAAGAAATCAATAATCAGATCATTAAGAACATGAATAAGCGAGTTAATTATCTAAAGAACCCTCGATTCAAAATTAACAAAGCGCCGGTTCTGTTTTCATACATCAATACAAAGCAAGTAAGATTGGTTTGAATTAACTTAGGATATCGTGGTGGAGAAGGATTAAATAACATCCTTTAGAGTATTTCCGAAATAATTGATATTTCGAGAGTACATGTTGAATGGCATGTATGAAATAGATTTGTATGTTACCAATGCCACTGGGACTTTGTAGAGAATCAAAGTGTTACCACCTGAAAAGTGAGTGATTTAACATTATTTTAGAAAGGAGTTTCAGATAGCAGCAATCAAATATCCAACAAAAGAGGATGGATTCATAGCTCCAGGGATGAGTGCAGTATTAAAGGTCCGATTTAATCCATCCTCATTGGCAGAGTTTGATGACACAATTGCCGTAATAACAGAAGATCATATTTTAAAAGTTCCATTATTGGCAAGAAAAGAACCTCCACAATTGGATTTGCCATCATAATTAGATTGTCAGAGTTGTTGGATAGGTGATTAAGTAGAAACAAGATTTGTAGTTAAAAACTCTGGAGGGGAGGCAGGTTATCGTTTTTTTATAAACAATCAACAAGATTAGCAAGAAGAGGAGAATTACATATAGATTGGTAACTTCTATTTATCGCCTGCTGAATTCTTCTTGCATAAAGGAGAAACACAAGTCATCTAAGCCATATTTAAACCAGATGTTGAAGGCGAAGTCATTGAAAACATCATTTTGGGTTGTGACAATTTGACTCAGGCAACATTAAAATTGATTGGCAGAGGCAACATGGTCGAATTAGGGATTCTAGGGATTGATAACATTAATCTCGAAAATTAAGAGCAATTATAAAAAATATTCTTTAATGATCCCATCCCAAAAGTAGAGACCAGTAGACAATTAAAGATAAGAAATAAAACATCAGTTAAAGTTAAGTATCACTGGTATCTACAAAATGATGATAAGGAATTGAAATTAGAAGATGAATTGAACTATTATTCCATTCAACCTTAAGAAGGATATTTTTAACCTAATGAAGTGATAGATTTTAAGATATTTTTACAGAGTGAGGAGTATTACCCTCTATTTTAAACGGCCTATTTAATTATTGATGATATTCCATTTGAAAGTATTAGGAATCCTCCTCCAAATTTGAGACAGCAATTTGAAACTAATTCATAATCTGTGGCTATTGGATCTAATAGCATAAAGCCATCAATCACATACTTTGAATTTGAATTGATTAGCAAATCTGCACTCGGCGAAGTGAGTGTCACACCTCAATTCTACAAATTTCCTGTTCCTATTTGTGTGAATACTTTGGCCTAGTATAAATTTAAATTGTCAACGACATCAAAAACTTAAATGAAATATTCAATTAATCCACTTCAATTAGATTATTTCTATATTCAAGAAAAGCAAGGTGTCATTACTAATGAGGCTGAGATTGTTTTGGGAGTTCAAAGTTCTGAAGTTGGTCAAATGAAATTGGAATACAGAATAGACTTTGATTATGCTAATTCTATTTTGATTACAGTCTTTGCTGAAGTCATAGCTCCTATTATATCAGTAAAATAAAGTTGGTTGAATTATGGATTGATTTAAACTTATTCGTTAGAGTCATAAGAAATAACTATTAATAATTTGTCACCAGTTCCTGCAATGATTAAAGCATAGTCAGGATCAGATTAAAGATTATTATTTAATAAAGATTAATTTGAGATCAAACCAAACAGTTCAATCTAATTTAAAGTTGAGTTTCAATCTCGAGAGGCTGAAACCTATAATGATTTCTTATATTTTTCTGTTGAAAATGGAGATTGTGTTGTTTTAGATGTATTTGCAGAAGTCTAAAATCCAAGTGTTTCCTTAAATAGATTATCTCTCAATATTGATACTTTGTATTGTGGAAATACCTACACCTTTGATTAGAGAGCATAATAATACATCATGCTGTAGAATTTAGGTAATATCAGTACTCCTTTTGAATGGGTGGTTGATAATGAGAAACAGGAGAAATACTTAGTTCAATTTGAACCTAAAAAGGGAGTTCTCAAGCCAAAAACAAATCAAATAATTAAATTCTCCATAAAACCTAAAGAGGGTGGTAAATTGAATGAACTCTTTGTTTGTGAAGTGCAAGGTTTGCAGTATCCATTGGGATTTGAGATGAATACCATGATTTATGGATTATCTGTTGAATATGAATTAGTGGATGATAGTGCCCACATCTCTTCGAAGACATCAGTCAGTTCAAAATCAAAAAGTCTCAAGGATTCTAGGAAATCACTATTGAAAGCTGACACTGAAATTAAAAATTAATAAATGGATAAATTAGAATTTTACAACTGTACTATCAATTAACCAAAATAAGCAAAATTCTTAATTAAGAATACATCTGGTATTCACACCTAATTCAATTTATACATGAGAAAATATCAGCCACATGCATTGGAAGAGTAATCAACTCTCTTTGATGATTTTGATGCTAAATCATAAGCAGCAAGGACAATCAAATTCGCTGAATCTTCAATTTCTAAATCTGTATCAAAAAAAGGAAAGATTACCTAAGGAGGTAGACCTGTAGTGCTATTAACAAATAAGATTGAGAAAACCCATAATTTTACATCCGAAGCAGGACTGAGATTGAATAAACAAAAGAAGATGGAACATGATCAAAGAGTGTACCTGTCTAATAATCTGGGTATTGCAGTTGTATTTGAGCCACCATCTGGTACTTTGAATGCATATGGATCAGTAGTTGTTTAAGTGACAGTGTTCAATGATATTTGCGGATTGTTTGAAGACTTAATGTGTTGCGACATTAGAGGACTTCCTACAAAGGAATTTCCAATCGCAATAGATATTAAAGGATCTCCAATTGTCATTAGTCCCAGTCAGTTAGGATTTAATTATAAGACAGATTTCCCTACTTTCGATTTGGGTACTTACATGCGAAACTTCGGGACAATCAGTAGAGATTTTAGAGTGATGAATACAGGTCCATAGGATGTTGAATTGGAATGGAAGATCTATAATTTAGGAAATAGTACAGTATCGGATTACTTTGACATTAAAATAACAGAACCCCAATTAGGATCAGATTCATTATGTGATGTTTAATTCATAGCAAATGAGCCTCCAGAATCAAAGGATGGTCCGTTCTAAGTGGTACCAAATAAGGAGAGAATCAAGTAGAGGAAGGAGAAGCATTTCACTTTGCATTTCACTACTCAAGACACTGGAAATTATAGTGCTTGTTTGGTAGCTAGGCCAAGACTGATAAATTAGGATAAGACCATAGGAGAAGTTGCTTTCTATGTGAAAAGTGAGACTATTACTCCTTATTTGACATTCGATAAGCTTGAGAAATTGGAAGGAGGGTTTTAGGTTAAATTTCAGAAATGGTCTAGTGGTTACAATCAAAAGTAAGAGAAGAAGCTGGTTTTAGTCAATAGGTAGAAATCAAGTTTTGTATGTACATTTGAAATTGAGGGACCCTTCAAATTAATGTAGACATCCACGAATTCACCATAGAAATATGAACTTGGCATGAAAACTGAAATTGCAAAAACCTTCAATTTAGTAACTGATTCCCATGTGGAATTGCTTGTGAAGTTTGAAGGTTATCAGCCTAATGACCCAGTTAATTGGCCTCTTACTTATAAAGTGTATCATCATGGATCAATTAACATCTTTTATGCCAATGGAGACAAACAGTCCATTCAACTGGAAGGGATTCTATTGAGACCCTTTGTTCACTTAAACACTTCTGGGATTGATCAAGTAGAAGGCCCTGAAGTATTGGATTTTGGAGAAGTTCAGGAAGATAAAACTATTGCTATTTATTTGTCCAATTTATCTTTAGTACCTGCCTAATGGAAATTATAGCATTAAAAAAATCCATTAAGGAAAAATATAGTTGAAAGAACAATGACTTTGGAGGACAAGGAAGAAATGAAGAAAACCGATGACCCATCTGTGTTTGAATTTTAAATTACTGAAGGCAAGTTGGATGGACCATCCACCATGGTTCACACTTTGCCTCATGCTACATGCTTACCTTATCAAATAACCATTGATGACATAAGAGAATTAGGCGTATAGCCATTCAAGATTCTCATTAGATTCAAAGTAATTGATATCTTATATTTTCAAGCCTACTGCTGAATTGTTGTATAAGTCCAAGTATAGAATTAAAGTTTAGGATGGCCCTAGTGTGGATTTCATTCTCAGAGGCACTGGCAAAGATTTGATCAAAAGAAAAGTATGAACAATTATATAATTTAATGGTTTAATTTATTAATAATAATTAATAATAATAATGGATTTGAATTCAAATGCAGATTTTCCCTCTAACATTTCAACAGATGGGTTGATTCAATTGAAAAGGGAATAAGTGAGGAATTCACAGAGGAAAGAAGACATCCAAAATAAATTGCTGCAAAAAAGGCAGCAATACATCTATCAATATGAATAGTTGTATTTGAAACAACAGGAACTCAGAAAAGAGGTGTGTTTATATTGTAATCTTAGGAACTTGCCCTCATATTCAATAAATCGATCGAGTAAGTGAATGATCACTTTTATTTGAATGAAGTGACAGATGCTTTGGAAATAATGGTGAGTTTGGAATCTAAACTTGATTAAATCACAGACATACCAGAACAATTGTGTGTTAGTTCATTTACGAATGTCTTGAATTAACTGGTGGCTCAATTGTCAGCCAACAATCAATTAGAATTCTTCCTACTTACCATATCCTTCGATTCGATTAACATGTCACTCTTCCCTTAAGAACAGTCAGTGATGAGCGAGTACTACTCCAAAACCCTTGAATTGCTCAAAAAAGAGAAGCACAGACATGCATAACACTTCCTTATCAAACTATACCAAAATAACCCATAATGGTTTGAAGCAGTACTCTTTTAAGAATTCTGTTCACTCACTAAGAAACTATTTGAGTTATTGCTCAAACACATTGATAATCAAATAGTTTGGGTAATTCTGTCCTAGTTGAAGATTGTGCCTTATGATAACTTGATATTTTCAACCATCCTCAAAAACATCACCAATAAAAATGCCTTCCTCCTCTTGCGAAAAACACTCTGCTAAGAGGAATACCAACTCAAATACATCCAATCTAATATCTTCTATCTATTTACCCAAGTATTACAACAAGCAGAGGACAAATAGTACTTCTTAAATGAAGTCATAGACTGCATACTTAGCATTTGTTGTGTAAGACTTTTAAGATATCCTTTTAGCTCAAGTTTGAATTATTCGAGAAGGTAATTACTTCAGGTCTGGCTCTTGTGATATCAGCTTAATCGATAAAGGATTTCACTGTTGAGGTACATAATTTTAGCTATTCAAGGGAATATAAAATTTACAAAGGATCGTCTATTGGATGTGTAGCAGCAAAAGTGAATTGTTGAATTAAAACATTCGAGAAGGCATATGGTTTTAGAGCATTTTCTTAATCCTATTACAATAGCAATTGAACCATGTAGTCTAAATTAATACATTGGATATATTGAAATAATAGTTTAAATCTGATTTAGGTTGTCATTTCAAAGAGTTTTTCAGAACTGCATATCAAGTGCCAGATAACATATAGATATTGATCGAAAGATACTTATGAATAATTAATATATTTCTACACATATCAAAAATTTATTATTTAATCCTTCATATGTTATTTTTCTTAGGTGATCTTTTTTAAAGCTTCCTAGAAGTCGGCATCATTAATGAACTCTTATTGTTTTTCAATAGCTATGTATGCGCTTTCATTTGTAATATTTTCCATGTCTGCTCCAGAAAATCCATTCGCATTCTTGGCTACTAAATCGATCATTCCAGATGAAATTTAGTGCTTTTTCTATATAAAACAATTTGAAGAATAAATACATTGTGTAAATGAACCTCCATGATACCTTTTCTATCATTTTCTGATGGCAAACTTATCTCTATTTTGATATCGAATCGACCACTTCTCAGAAGAGCTTCATCTAAAATTTAAATTCGATTGGTTGCTGCAATAACCACAATATTCTCATTCTCTTTAAACCCATCCAACTCTGTAAGTAATTAATTTAAAGTACTTACCCTTTCATTATCACCACCAGTTTCTGTTCCAAAATTCTAGTTTTTCCTCTTATATGCAATGCTATCAATTTCATCAATAAAAATGATTGCAGGAGACAATTGTCGTGCCTTTTTGAACAATTCTCTTACTCTCTTAGGACCAGTTCCTACATAGACCTCTATGAATTCTGTTGCTGAACAGTATAAGAAATGGACATTGCTTTCAGTTGCAGTGGCCTTAGCCAGCATGGTTTTTCCTGTGCCTGGAGGTCCATAGATCATGACTCCTCTTCTTAGTCTAGCGCCCACATTTCTGTATTTCAATGGATCTTACAAATATTCAATGATTTATTGAAGTTATTTCTTTGCGTGATCTAATCCATAAATATTTGAAAATTTAACCCCAGTTGATTATGCAAGCAAAGATTTATAAGACAGTCTATTAGAATTAATTAAATGAGATGCAATAATACCAAATGTATATGATAAGGCTGCTATGCTCATTATTACATACATCATTTGTTTCTCGTTGTAATAGATTTAAGTGGAATTTTTAAATCTTGGAACACCATACTCCCTTGGATTTATAAGAGTGATAGTTACATCAATGCCTTCAATAATTCCTTTCCCTTTATCATGGGTTCAGCCTATGTCGACAACCATTAGGCTTGATTGACACATCTGAATAAAATATGAGAGCCATCATAAATTACTTCTTCAACCAATTTCTTTTGCAACACTAACATAAAATTGCTGATCTTCACTAGTGGCAAATTAGGTTTTGCTCTGGCTTTGTACAAACAAAAAACAGCAATCAACAAAGCAGCAGAAGCTGAAACATTCAATTTATCATTAAATTTTCTCATTACTATTTGCATGAATTTTCTAAAATCAACCATGTTTAATTAATATATTAAAAGAAATAAAATATTTGCTTTCTCATCTATGGACTTCTGACAAACTCATAAATGTTAAGACTCACATTTATAATTATATTAACATTAAATACTATTCATGATTTATGATTCCCAGGATTAGGACACTTTGGAGATAGATAATTCAGAACTCAAGATCAATAATAAATATTTATTTTTAAGATTTTTTCTTAAAGATTCTACAATATTTTATGGTTGAATATTGTTGTTATGTTAAAATACAATATTTAGATCAGAGTTTGTCCAAATATTCATTAAGGTCTGGCAATTAGACTTTGATACCCTTTCTCTTTCTGATGGATAAGACTAAATCATTAACCTAAATGATTAATATAAAATAATACTTTGCTTCCAGCTTCAAGTGGGTTACCATTGACGATGGCCCAGTGATCAAAGACACATTGAGGGAAGGCTTGTCCTTAGGTCATACCTCTTAAATGGGCAGTGAAACCGAATGATTCAGCGACTGGTAAATGAGCTCTAACCTATGAAAATAGAATAAATATGATACCACTGAGAGTGGAGTTCCTGCAACTTATTCNCTTAGAGGCAGCTTATAAAGACCTTGTTAACCAAGCTATATAAGAACAATATAAGAATAAGAAAGTGATCTAATTATAAAAGTAGAGTGAAACATAATGATGATATTTATTAATCTATTAATGTATAACATACTATATAATTTGTCATTGATCTACAGTTCCAAAATATCTATCTCCAAAGTCTCCAACTCCTGGGAAGCGATGATCTTGAATAGTATTAAGTGCGTAATCAACCCCAGCAGTAATGACTTTGACTTTAGGGAATTAATGTAGGACCTTTGAAAGTCCTTTTTCGCAAGAAACAATGTTCACAGCAGCAATGTTTTCCTAATTGACTCCATTAGATTGAAGTGCTTTTATAGCTGTGCTGATTCTTCCGCCTGTTGTAATCATGGCATCAGTAAGGATGACCTAATTTAGTTCATTCATACTTATTTTTGGTCGATATCCTCTGGAAATTTGCAATACATTAACTAGGGATCTTTAGTTTATGGATGTTCTTAAACTAAAATAAATCCAACTGAAGCTCCTGGAAGCACCTTAAGAGCTTCGCCTAAGAAGGCGTTTCCTGATCTTACCATCACTACAACACAAAATTATTTGTTCTCAAATTAGATCTCTTAGGCTGGTGTTTAAGTTTGTGAGCCTTCTGGAGGAGCCAACTTTTTACTATGTTCAGAGATGGCCTTTTCCATAAGCAATCTAATCAATCTGTCGGAATACAACCTGAAGTCCTAATTAGGTTTGAGATCATATATACTTTGGTTTGAGTAGTTTGATTACGAATCACACTCAACAAATGTTCGACTTAGAATTTATCCAACACATAAAGACTAGGAAATCTAAGACGAAATTATTATAATTCTGAATGTGAAATAAAAGAGAAATACGGTGCAGCGCATTGAAATCTTTTCTATTATTGAGCAATTAGAGTGAATCCCAAGAGTCCTAGGAATCCAGTTTCGAATATCTTAAGAAGTCTTGAATTCATATTTTAATAATTTAATTTAATAATTCCAATTGTGAATCATTAAAATTAATGAGAAAAATACTTTAATATTTTTTATATAGGAATACTAAATAATCCAATTCAAATTTGAATCTTGTCATAACTAATTAAGAATAATAATAATAATTTAAAATTGAATGTTTGTATTTATTTAACATACAATATTTAGATCAGAGTTTGTCCAAATATTCATTAAGGTCTGGTAATTGAACTTTGATACCCTTTCTCTTTCTGATGGATAAGACTAAATCATTAACCTAAATGATTAATATAAAATAATACTTTGCTTCCAGCTTCAAGTGGGTTACCATTGACGATGGCCCAGTGATCAAAGACACATTGAGGGAAGGCTTGTCCTTAGGTCATACCTCTTAAATGGGCAGTGAAACCGAATGATTCAGCGACTGGTAAATGAGCTCTAACCTATGAAAATAGAATAATTATGATACCACTGAGAGTGGAGTTCCTGCAACTTATTCCTCTTCAATGACTGTTCCTCTTCTGGTGTTGAGACAGTTATATACACCACCAGTAGCATCATTTGGTGCAGTGATTTCAGCCAAGAAGACTGGTTCTTATAATCTTGGTTGGGCTGTCAATTCGCATGCATAATACAATCTTCTGGCAGTTGGGATGATTTAACCACCTCCTCTGTGGATGGCATCAGCATGTAAGACACAATCCAAAATGTTGACTCTGATACCTCTTTGATTTTCTTCGCAAAGTGGTCCTTCCTTGGTTGACCATTACCAAGCGGATTCCATAGATTCTCTCAATTCATTCATGTATTAAACTCCTGATGTCTTGTCCATCAAGATGTTGGCACCTGAGTTATCTGGTCCAAAGGTCCAAATTCTGAGTGCATCTTCCTTATCCCATTCATATTCTTCATTAAGTGCTTTAGCTCTGAGTTTTGGTTCGTCTTTTGGTGTGACTTATCCTTTTTCAATAGCATCTGGTAAATTTTCATGTAATGGTGTGGCTTAAGCATAAATTCTGTTGTGCTTATTTGGTGATTTAGACATGCAAACAATGTTTGAGGTAGCAGATACGGTTTCCTTGTATGAGACGATTGGGTCAGATTTGATGAGTTCAATACCTGCAAAGTCTTTTTCTAAATCATTCAAACAGATTTCAACGTGTAATTCACCACATCCGGCAATAACGTTTTATCCTGATTCTTCAGTTGTGCACAAGACTAATGGATCTGATTTTGACAATTTCTTTAATCCATCGACTAATTTTGGTAAATCTCCTGGGTTCTTTGGTTAGACAGCAACTCTGACGACTGGAGATACTGAATATTTCATTGATCTGATTAAATGGCAATCTGGGTGGTCTGAGATGGTACCAGTCTTCATTAAATATTGATCAACACCGACCAATCCGACTGTGTTACCACATGGAACATCTGGGATGTATTCGACTCTGCTGGCCATCATGAGAACTGTTCTTTAGATAGCTTTTTCAAATAAGTCTTNTTAATATTTTTTATATAGGAATACTAAATAATCCAATTCAAATTTGAATCTTGTCATAACTAATTAAGAATAATAATAATAATTTAAAATTGAATGTTTGTATTTATTTAACATACAATATTTAGATCAGAGTTTGTCCAAATATTCATTAAGGTCTGGTAATTGAACTTTGATACCCTTTCTCTTTCTGATGGATAAGACTAAATCATTAACCTAAATGATTAATATAAAATAATACTTTGCTTCCAGCTTCAAGTGGGTTACCATTGACGATGGCCCAGTGATCAAAGACACATTGAGGGAAGGCTTGTCCTTAGGTCATACCTCTTAAATGGGCAGTGAAACCGAATGATTCAGCGACTGGTAAATGAGCTCTAACCTATGAAAATAGAATAATTATGATACCACTGAGAGTGGAGTTCCTGCAACTTATTCTTCTTCAATGACTGTTCCTCTTCTGGTGTTGAGACAGTTATATACACCACCAGTAGCATCATTTGGTGCAGTGATTTCAGCCAAGAAGACTGGTTCTTATAATCTTGGTTGGGCTGTCAATTCGCATGCATAATACAATCTTCTGGCAGTTGGGATGATTTAACCACCTCCTCTGTGGATGGCATCAGCATGTAAGACACAATCCAAAATGTTGACTCTGATACCTCTTTGATTTTCTTCGCAAAGTGGTCCTTCCTTGGTTGACCATTACCAAGCGGATTCCATTGATTCTCTCAATTCATTCATGTATTAAACTCCTGATGTCTTGTCCATCAAGATATTGGCACCTGAGTTATCTGGTCCAAAGGTCCAAATTCTGAGTGCATCTTCCTTATCCCATTCATATTCTTCATTAAGGGCTTTAGCTCTGAGTTTTGGTTCGTCTTTTGGTGTGACTTATCCTTTTTCAATAGCATCTGGTAAATTTTCATGTAATGGTGTGGCTTAAGCATAAATTCTGTTGTGCTTATTTGGTGATTTAGACATGCAAACAATGTTTGATGTAGCAGATACGGTTTCCTTGTATGAGACGATTGGGTCAGATTTGATGAGTTCAATACCTGCAAAGTCTTTTTCTAAATCATTCAAACAGATTTCAACGTGTAATTCACCACATCCGGCAATAACGTTTTATCCTGATTCTTCAGTTGTGCATAAGACTAATGGATCTGATTTTGACAATTTCTTTAATCCATCGACTAATTTTGGTAAATCTCCTGGGTTCTTTGGTTAGACAGCAACTCTGACGACTGGAGATACTGAATATTTCATTGATCTGATTAAATGGCAATCTGGGTGGTCTGAGATGGTACCAGTCTTCATTAAATATTGATCAACACCGACCAATCCGACTGTGTTACCACATGGGACATCTGGGATGTATTCGACTCTGCTGGCCATCATGAGAACTGTTCTTTAGATAGCTTTTTCAAATAAGTCTTCCTTCTTTCCAACCTTGTAGTTAGCTCCCATAATTCTGACCTTTTATCCAGTAGCAATGGTACCAGAGAAAACTCTACCGAAAGCAAAGAATCTTCCTCTATCAGTTGTTGGAACCATCTTGGAGACGTACATAATTAATGGTCCCTTTGGGTTGCATTCTCTCATTGATTAAGCAATAGCATCATCTTATGGTCCTTCATATAAATATGAGGTTCTGTATTTTTAAGCCTTTCTTGGTGATGGTAAATGGCACACAATCATTTCAAGTAATGTATCAGCAGCATTGATCCATTTGGACATAACAGCCTTGAGTAAATGCTTTCCTTCTAATTTGGCTTCTTCTTATGTGAGTTTCAATCCCAAAGTTTCAAACATTTTATTAGCCATATCCATATTTCCTTCCATAACAGCATTAGCCAATTTGCAAATTGGGTCCATGATGAAAGCAACGAAGGCTCTCTTCATTGGTTTTCCTGAACCACTGACACTGTCCTTTCTCCAGCATTTTCCTTCAGCATCAAAGTAATTGTCTCCCCACAATCTTTCTTATAATTTGAGTGGTTCAACCTTGAATTTGTTGGCATAGATTCTGGCAAATCTGGTGCATGAGAATGCCCAGCATTCCTTTCCTGAACCGAATGAGACTGATCCGAGTTCTGGATGAACAAGGAGATCACCCATGTCTTCTTATTAATAGGTGTTGATGATAACATTGACCATATCAACGACTCTGACGAAGTTTTGATACATTGTTTCACCATCATGCTTCAATTCCAAGATAGCTCTATCAATTTTGTTAACCATGACAACTGGCTTGATTTTCTCTTGCATAGCTTGTCTCAACACTGTTTCGGTTTAGACACAAACACCTTCAACACAATCAACGACGACTAAAGCACCGTCTGTAACTCTTAAGGCAGCTGTGACTTCAGAACTGAAATCAACGTGTCCTGGGGAATCGATCAAGTTGATCAAAAACTTTTCCAAGGTCTTATTGTCATAAATGTCATATTCATAATAAAGAGAAACACCAGTTGATTTGATTGTAATACCTCTTTCCTTTTCGTCTTCTCTGGTATCTGTTGCTCTTGCATCACCAGCAACTTTGGAGGCGATAATACCAGCTTTGCATAACAATGAGTCTGTGAGGGTTGATTTACCATGATCAACGTGTGCAATGACAGACATGTTTCTGATGTTGTCTTATTTGTCCATGATCTCTCTGATCTGATCCACTGAAAAATTTACCATGTGTTTTTAACTTTTTAAAAAAAAGATTTAAAATTTCCCATAATTAAATCGTGGTTTTATATTAAATGCGCATAAAATAAAAAAGTCAATAATTATTAATTTCTCTCACTACTACGAACACATTTTATTTAAAGAATAATGTATTATTTATCAACTTAGAAGCAAAATCATTTGGATTATAATCATAATGATATTCAGATGTTCCAGAACCAAAAACACTCTCATTACTAAAAGTATTAGATTCTAATGGAAAAATCTATTTAGATCAAAGTGGAAGCTCTTCTTAAATTTTCACTTAGAATAAATAATAATTATAATCAATATTTTTCAAATTTTTTCTGAGAGTTTCATTTTAGGAAGGGAATTAATTTTTATTATGAATAATATAAATACTTTTTATTAACAATAGTAAAGCATAATTTAAGAAGAAAATGTAAATTTGAAATAATTATATTTTAATTTATGAGAGTATTTTTAATTAGAAGGACTAATGAGTAGAATATAAACAAAATAAATTTATTTGGATGTTATTTTGCTTAAATATACTTATAAATTTATCTTAATTTATTGAACCTCTATTTAGAAAAGGATTTCTTAATTATTTTACTTTTATAAGTCATTTGCTTCATTTTTTGCTTAATCTTCATTAAATAATTAAAATCAAGTAATAAATATAATAATTTAAAGAAATAAATGCTTAATTTAATACTAAAGATATTAATAGCAAAATCTTCTTACTTTAGTTTAAATAAATCAATACTAAAAAGGGAAAATGTTTAAATCATTATATTATTTATAATTGATTTCATTCTTGTTTTTATTCTACTTATTCGGCTTTTTCTGGCACTTCATCTTTTTTAGTTAAATGAGTCATATATTTATGCCATCTGATCAGATTTTATAGAGCAGGGTCAATATCTTTGATTTTAGCAAATTCATCATAATCTCTTTTTCCGACAGCATAACCATTTCCTTCCAAGAACATCTTTTCTTGTAATTCATCATTCAATTTCAAATGTGAGTCATCATGCTCATGAATTTCAACTTCCACGTTTGATTTAGGGGGTTTTAAGGATTCAAAGAATTTACACAATTAAGGAATAGTCAATTTACCCTAGGATGATATAAAATAATAAATTTACAATTCTAGTATTTTTTTCACAATCTCTGACATCAATGACTCCAGCTCTTACTTCTTCTTCACCAATAACTCCAACAAAGTTATAGTATTAGATTTGAGCATTACGAACCTTCTTAGCAAGAGTTTAATCAGACTCATCAGTATTAACAGTGTAACCTTCAAGTCTCAATCTGGCAGCAATCTTTTCAGCTACGTCCTTGTAATAAGCAGAAACTGGACAAAGGACTAACTATTTAGGTGATAACCAAAATGGCCACTTTCCTCCACATTATTCAGTCAAGACAGCGATCATTCTTTCCAATGATCCCAAAATAGCTCTATGGACAATGACTGGTCTTGCAAATCCTGCCTTTAAATGATGATATCCCAATTCGTATTTCTTCTCTAGATAATATAATAAATGAAGTAATACCATGTAAGACTTTGTGTAATTCATGTTGTGATAATCCTTGACTTGAACCAGATTCAATAATATCTTCAGGTAATTTTTATTTTTTGTGTTATTCTTATTATTATTATTATTATGGTTCTTTTTATTATTTTTATTTTTTTTATTTCTTGAAATTCTACTCTTATGGAGCTTTTTCTTCAACGGGAACTTCAGCAGGTTATTATTGTTAAGGAGGAGTAGGAATATTATCAGTGTCTGAATGATGAGAAGCTTTTCTAACAACATCAATGATTTCTTAGGCTACCTAAACTTGTTCATTATGAAGTTATTCCTTATCCTATTAGACTTCTTAAACATCTTCGCTGGCTCTGTATTACAAGTTAAATCTTTCAGGCAAATTGAAATCCAATTAAATGGTACCACATTAATGTTCTCTCTTGTAGGCATCATATAATTTGACATCAATTTTTGGTCCATAGAAAGCACCATCTCCAGGATTGACTTCGAAAGGTTTACCGAATTTCTTTAATCCTTATTCCAATTGATATTCAGCATTGTCCCAAACTTCTTTGGTTCCCAAGAATTTTTCTGGACGAGTACTCAAATACAATTTGAATTCAAAGCCAAAGAGTGAATAGATGTAACTTAAAAAGTCAAGACAACTCTTGATTTCTTCTTAGATTTGATCCATTCTACAGAAAATGTGTGCATCATCCTATTAGAAACGACGAACTCTAGTCAATCCACTCAGAGCACCATGTACTTCATTTCTGTGTAAAACACCAAAATCAGCAAATCTAACTGGTAAATCTCTGTAACTGTGTTGAATCATATCGAACATTAAACAATGTCCAGGACAATTCATGGGTTTTAATCCATATTCTCCTTCTTCACCCATATTGATGAAGAACAAGTTTTCCTTATACTTATCATAATGTCCACTTATCTTCCATAGTTAAGCATTGAAAATGTTTGGTGAAATAACTTCTTAATAACCTCTGATGTAGTATTATCTTCTTAAAAAGTTCATAAGTGTGTTGTAGATATGAGCACCACTTGGATAGAAGAAAGCTGATCCAGGAGACAATTGATGGAACAAATACAAATTCTGTTTCTTACCAACATTTCTGTGATCCCTTAAAGCCAATTCCTTTTATATTTTGACATATTCATCCAACAATTTCTTACTGGGGAATGAAACACCATACACTCTTTACAAATCATCGTTGGTGTTCTTACCCAACCAATAAGCAGCTGAGTTCTTGGTCACTTAAAATGCCTTAACATAACTAGTATTAGGCAAGTGGGGTCCAGTACATAAGTCAATCAAATTACCACATTTGTAAGCAGTAGTCATAGCTCCCTCTGGAATCTTATTGGTTATCAACTGTCTCTTGAATGGATTGGTACCAAACAATTCCAAGCTAGAATATGATAATCATCATTGATACCATTCATCTTTGGTTAAGACTGCTCTTTAAAATTCTTATTTGGATGCTGCTAAATCTGAGGCAGCCTTCTCAATTTTCACGTAATCATTCTGAGTGACCTTGTAATCTCCGATGTAGCAATCATAAAAGAATCCACCATCAATTGCTGGACCAATACACAGATGACATCCATATACTTCTTCTAAGGCTGATCCCAAAATGTGGGCAGATGAATGCCAAAATACTTCCTTTCCATTATTATCCTCGAAACTCAACAATTCCAATTGGCAATCTCCTTCCAATGGTCTAGTCAAATCCCAAATCACGTAATCTGGCTTCAAATTCAATGTAGATGCTTATTGTTATTAATCCTCATGATCTACATCCACAAAATCTATAGATGTTTATAATATATTTATACTTTTCTCAAATAAGTTGTCATACACAACTTTAGCAGCCACCATGTTTTCAGCCAACTTCTTACTAATTCCTACAGCGATCATCAATGGAGTGGTAACCCACTTTTTACCTTAAATCTTAAACTATACAACAAACCTTCTATTTTCTTTCCATCCTTGAGAGTTATAGTGATTGGGGTCTTCTCTTTAGCTTCAAGTTCTGCCTTTTGACGTTGATATATTTCATTAAACAATTTCAATCTCTTTTCTTAGTAAACAGGTTTTCCAATTTTAAAGGCTCCTCCAATCTTGTTTCCAGCTTAAACAATTTAACCTTCAGTAGCTTCTTTCAATCTCTATCCTTATTGCATAATTAATTTAATTTATTTAAAATTTTGCTCAAATCATTGTATTCATACACTTGTAAAATTCTTTTTAATAGGTATTAAAATTAGAACTAATAATTAAATTCCAACATAAATAAATGATAATTTATTAAACTTCTGAATGCTATTGCATTAATCTGCAATTCTACACCTTAAAGACTCTAAACCTTTACAGTGTTAAATACTCTTTGACTGATTCCAAATGTTCAAAATTATTCATTTGAAATTAAACCATATGATCAACACTATTTAAATGCTTAAATCATTAATATTAAATCATAAATAATTATAAATGAAGCTATCTAATTTAAATTTGAAATGATTGATACTAGAGTGAATATCAGTTATTTACCAAATATATTTTGATCAATCATTTTTGATTATGATATAAGGATATATTTTAATTTACAACAATTATTAGCAGAATTGGAAGTGTTTCAATTTGAAAATACTTAAATTTGTTTACAGATTTCAGTATTTATTTATGTTAAATAAAAATTATGTTTAGTCAGAATTATCAAATTGAATTTTGCCATTTTTTAATCATTGATCACACGTGTTGGAGAGTTTTCTCAAAATTTAGTTTAATTTGGCTTTAGAACTTAAATTTTCTCTTTTCAATATGTAAAAATTGCAACCAGTACTGAATTTATAATCGGCTTCTATTTTTTTTAAACAACTTTAATAATTATGCTGAAGTACCAATAAAGAATAAATTATTTAATATTGAAAAACTTTAAAGGAATTGATGTCTTTTAGAAAAACAACTTTCTCTTAATATTCTACTAATGTATTGAAGCTCGACAATGAGCAAGATTATTCATCTGCCAAAACTGTTAAGAAATCAAATTACACAATAACAACAGACTCTAACTCCCTTTAGGGCAATCTAGATAGTCTTGACAACTTGCTAGATTAGCAATCTTCTAAGAAATCACGCTTCTTTTTTAGCTAAAAGATAGATAGTGAAGAAAGCACCCGATATATAAAGACTGATAGTGATTTGTAATAGAAGGAAGTAAAAGAAGTCCGACCTTTTCGGTTTAGGAGAAAAGAGACGCAACCAAAAATCGATTTAAATGATAAGAGTGATGTGGACGACTTTTTCACTGGAGTGGAAATACCAAGAATAAGTCAATAAGCCTAAAAATAAAATGCATATCAATTAGTGACCTTCACTGATTATGTGGAAAACCTTTATGGAAAAGATTGGTTTTAATAAAGAGAGAGGAAATTTAAGAGATAAATCACAGTTTAAGACTTCTTTGATACACCATATTGACTTTAATTTATTAATTAAAAAAATGTAATTTATTCCATTCTCACCCTTGATTGATATTGGATTTTGGTCCTAATTATCAAAAAATAAGATTGAGATTTACAAATTGGATGATGGTGAAAGATCTTTGCTAGTCAAAACAAAAATAAATCCATACCCTGAAAAAACTTCATAATTATATTTGGATATCTATTCATTCCAGGACGATCTTACCATCAATAAATCTGGTCCTCTAGAAGTGTATTCAAGGATATAATTCTAAAATTACAATACAATAGAGGCCTATTAAGAATTTGATCATTTGAATTATGTGCAATAAACCTTTAAAAAGATGATTGAGTCATTTTCCAAGGAAGAGAAGCCGAATCTATTTCCAGCAAGAATGAGCATCTTTGCTGATTTAAAGAAATATTTGTTCTACTTTAAATTGGTTATTCCCCAATTTTAGGTTGAAAACATATAGAATATCGTTTAGAAAAATCTTACTGATTATTTAGGTGATCAAATGCCCTAATTTTAATAGCAATTATCCCTCATAATCCAACAATAACAAAAAGAGATATCCAATACTTCATTTGTCATTCTAAGGAAGGACAATTTGTAATATGTACAATTCGAAGACTATTAAAAAAATAAATCAGAGGTGGTATTCTTGTATTTCGATTCTTTCAATTAAGCACAATTAAATGGTCAATTTAATAACTTTATAGCTTTCTTATTAACAAATAACTCTTTTAAAGATCAACTCAATAATGTTAAAATAATAGTAATAAAGGATGCTTTGACAATCAATAAGAACCAATTTTAATTAAAGAATTCCATCTATGTTGAATTAAACTTATCTGAATCTAAAATAACTGAGGTAAATGGATAGTACAAAGCTTTCAATATTGAAGGTTATCTTTAAGAAAAGAGAATAGATTTGAAATCATTTATGGATGAATAATCGTATTTAAATATTTCTAATTATAATTTAGACTAGCCAAAGAGGCTGTTGATTTGAATATCAAATTAATGAAGTGGAGATTGTTACCTGAATTGGACTTAGATAAAGTTTAGACACAAAAAGTGTTGTTAATAGGAGCAGGAACTTTGGGTTGTCAACTTGCAAGAAATCTCATCGGTTGGGGAATAAGAAAAATAACATTTGTGGATTATGGAAGGATCTCTTATAGTAATCCAGTTAGACAAAGTTTATTCGATTTTGAGGATTCAACTAAGGGAGGAAGACCAAAGGCTGAGGTTGCTGCAGAAAAATTAAAGAAGATCTTTCCTGATATAGAGAGTGAAGGATATCAACTTTAAATTCCTATGCCTGGTCATTTTGTCACAGAATTATAAGTTTAATAAACGTTGGAATCTTTTTACAAGTTAAGTGAGTTGGTAAGCACTCATGATGCTGTATTTCTATTAACAGATTCAAGAGAATCAAGATGGTTGCCCACTGTATTGAGTAATGCATATGGAAAGATGTGTTTTTCTGTGGCTTTAGGATTCGATTCATTCTTGATTATCAGACATGGTATTTCATTGAAAAAATACAATCCTGAAATCCATGGGGAAAGATTAGCTTGCTACTTTTGTAATGATATCTCGTCGCCTGGAAATTCAATGAAAGATAGAACCTTAGATCAATAATGCACAGTTACTCGTCCAGGTTTATCCTTCTTGGCTTCAGCTTATTCATCAGAATTATTTGTCAGTTTAATGCATAGTCCATTATTGGATGGAACTCCAGCATCTGATAATCCGGAACAATTACATTAAACTGATTTGGGAGTGTTGCCACATTTCTTGAGAGGTTAGTTATCAGATTTTGAAGTTAGAATATTTTATGGAAGAGCATTTAAGCAGTATTGTTCATCTTATATTTTAGTTGCGTGGCATGTTCTTAACAGATTTTAGATGCTTTGGAGAAGAATCCTTAAGCATTTTTATTGGAGGCTTTGAATAGACCTGATGTTCTATAGGACATTTCAGGTATAACTGAGGAGTTGACTTAGAACAAATAAGAGATTCATGAAATCTAAGATATTGACGGAGATGACGAATGCTCTGTGTTATAGATAGTTTCATGAAATTTAAGATATAAATATATACATTTATGAGACAATTTTAAATAAAACTCTTTGATAATGTTTTTGTTTTAATTCAAAAGATGTAATTATATAAATTCAGGTTCTGTTTAATTTAAACAATAAAATAAATGAGTCAAGGAATGAATAATAATTCTCTATTTCCGCTAGTAAGCAGTGCTTAAGATTTGGAATTCTACCAAATGCTTATCAAGTATGACATCAATCCTATTTATAACATGCTATATTTTACTGATATCCCTATATATTTTTGATGTGCTTATCATTATTTTAGCTTACAACAACATCAATTGGTTAAAGGATTTTAAAATCCCGAATAATTATAGCTCTTTTCAACGCCACTCCTGCCCAACCTGCCTCAAAGTTTGAACTTAAACAATTCATCGAAGGATGTCTTCCCGACTCCTAATTTGCTGAGTAAGCTATTATTTATATCCCTGCCACTTTCATTTATATAACCTATATACTGATTGCTTTGCCATTTATTATGTAGATATGACCTCTCTTGCCAAAACTATGGAACTGATGCAATGCTTTCCCAATCCAGCTCATTTCTCCTAATAACCCAATTTCTTAAATCCTTATCCTCTATAATAGACAAATTTCAACTAAAAATACAAAAATAGCGCTGATAATCCAATTACAGTTGACGATGATGAACCTGTACAACAACACAAAAAATGCAATAATCCACTCTGCAAGAATGTGGGAGACAAAAAAGTCAAGTCCAAAAAGAATGACATCCTATATTTTTGTGACAAATGTTCCAAATTATATAATAAAGGAAATTATTGCGACTTTTGTGAATAAGTACCAATTATTCAACTATCAAACAGGTTTATGGATCCTACGATGATGAGGCAGTCTGGGTGTAATGTGATTCCTGTCAAAAATGGGTAACGATTATGTTATTTAATTACATTAGAATCACATTGTATGTGAATAAAAAAACAGAAATTAAAATATTCAAATAGAATTTGAAACCAGTCAATATCACTGTTTGACATGTTCCAAAAATGTTAAGAAACCAAAAGTTCCTAAAAAAGTTGAAGAACCTCCGGTCATCAAATAACGACCAATAATAGAATAAGAAGATTGCAGAAATAGAGAAAAGAACATTACATTTGTAGCAACCAAAGATAATAAAATTTAATACAGTATTTTAAAGGAATTTATATTCTAGCTTTTCGATTCAATTTAATGGAAGATGAAATCAAACAAGATTTGGATTCATTAAGAAATTCAACTAAAAAAAAATAAAAACCTTAATAATCCTCTCCTCCGAAAATCTAACAAGTCGTTCCCACTTAACAAACTACTCAGCCTTAAAAGCAATAAATTTAATAGGAAGTATATATATATGTCATCCTACTTTAAGACTTAGGATTCCTCATTCGCTAATAGAAATTTACGAAGAAGAATTAATTAAAAAATCAACTATAGAGATTTGATTGGGGAGTATTGAATATATAATATTCCAGGCATTATTAAAATCAATCTAATTTAAATATAAAATATTATATGCTTAAATTACAGGAGAAGCGAAAACTTATGGAAATATTAAATAACCCAATTTCTTAAATTCATAGGCCGTCAAAAAGCAAAACACAATCTAGTCCCTAACCTATTGAACAGCTAATCTTCAATCGAAGCCTATTACGAGTCTATGGATATTAAAAATGCTAAACTCAATCGAGGAATAGGAAAAGATTTAATCTGAAATAATTAGAAATAACGCAAGTGAATGAGAACAACCAATAAGTAGAAGAAATCTTGAAAAGAGATTACTCAACCAAATCCAATAACGAAAAATAATCCTCATTTAAAAAGGAACAGTTAGAAAAAAGATGCAATACTACTGCAAATAACAGATTCAAGTAATTGAATGTCATCATAAAAGGAAGGAGAGACACCAACATTTCAAGAGTTGTCGAGGAATAGAATGATAGTCAAAAATAAAGATATTAGATGTTACATCTTAATTTCATTAAGACTTAAAAATAATATTAGAATATATATGGAATACCTCTCTCCGAATTTCTATTAGAGCATAAGTTTTTGACTCTAATTCATTAATAGATATTGATCATTTTATTGATGATCTTCTAAATAGATTGCACTAATATTTATGAAGTAATAACTTATAAATAATATAAACTCTTTAAATAAGTTATTATTTGGAAGGATCTATCCATTATTGAATTAGTTGAGAAAATTTCATCTATTTTTGAGAATGCTTCTGGAGGTGACTTGCTTAATATTATTCATTTAATACCTTAAATATAACCCTATAAATATCATGGTAAATCAAAATAAACAAGAGATATGCATTTATTAAATAAAACTGTTTAGGATTTAGAATTTAAATTAATAGAGCATGTTTTACAATAAGGAAATTTAAATATTCAAATTGATATAACTAAATTTAAAAAACTATTTTATAATTAAATTATTAATATTAATACATTCATTGACTTATTATCCGGATTATTTTGATTAATATATACATTTAAATTACTAACTTCAATAGATATTAATTATAATTATAATCTTATTAATGTAAAGAATTTGCAATTAAATTTAGAACCTAAAAGGTTTTAAAAATATATTAATCTTGTCAAAAATTTTGAGAAAATTCAAGAAACATTTTTAAGAAAATATTTCGCTATTAAGTTAAATTGTGAATTACTTTATTATATGTTGTTATTGTTAATATTTCTCATGTAAATTACTTTGCGTTTTTCTTTTTAACTACGGAATTTAGGATGCCAAAGAAAATACAGAATAAGTTATACTTTATCCAGGATTAAATAAGAATCAATTAATTAATTGAATCAAAGGAAAAAAGCAGAGTTTTTATTTTATTAATTTTTATCACCAACCCTAATTTAGACAATAGAAACATCACCTTATTAGAACATTAGGTGAATTGTAAGTTTATGATTTGTCTCTTTTTTAATATTAATTAAGAAAATAAATTTAAAGAATATAAAAATAAATAAAGCTGATGACAGATGACTTAAAAGAGACTTTTGATGGGTATTTAAATTTTGATTTTTCGAATTTTCATAATATGATGGCTGAGGCCTTTGTTAATGAGAATGATGACCCGGCAGAAGAAATTCAAGCCGATTGCGTAAAGTAAAAGATTAAAGGAATTCCTGGTCCATATTTTAGAACACCTCAGATTGAATTTGAGAGTACGAGATGTTAATGACAAAATTAGATTAGGGCGATTAGGCAGAACATATTTATTACGATCAAGATTCAGAAAACATCTCCAATTATTCGAAATTTAATTTGCTGGCAAATTTAGATTTTGAATTAGAAGAAGAGGAAGAAATATAGATGAGGAAGAGTTCAAAATGTACAAAGAAAATATCTCTATTTTCGCCATCAATACACTTTGAGGATGATTAAAAAATTACAATGATAAACGTATAAAATATAGACATTTTAAAAGAGGATTATGATTTAGATGATTTTTATAAGTTCTTAACAACTTTAGATTTCTTAAACGTGTAAAATAATTAAAGAAACGATGAATAGGATTAATAATAATAATCAATATAAGTATTAATGTAAATACGATAATAATTTGAGAGTTTGATTGAAATGTTTATTAAAAAGACTCTAAAGTATCAGTCTATAAGCTTTAATTCAAAATTAAACTAATATCAATCAATTTTGGAATAGTTCATTTCATAAATAAATTGTATTATTGATTCAAGAGACAGAATCAATAACACAAATTAGATGATTACAGTAGAATTTTTTAAAGGACTTCAATTGATGGAATTATTTAAAGAATTGCTCATGTAAAAGTTCTTTGTTGAATAGTAAAAAAAGATGGCTTAGGCAAAAAAAGTACTCAAATCTCATTGGATGACAAAGTACTTTTTGCTGAAATCAAAAGGATGTTATGTAACAATGTTCAAGAGAGACAAGGAATAGAGATAATCGATTACTATGGTTCCTCAGCACATCGATTGGGGTAAGTTAGAATTACAAGAAACCACTTATCTATGTAGGAATAAAGTACCAAATAGACCAATTTTCATCGGATTAAATGAATATTTTAAATAGGCATCGGAAAATAAGTAGACTGAAACTTGCCTACGAGATTAGAAGGTGTGTATGTTTTAAGGAGTAAAAAAACGAAGCCAATAAACTCATCAAAAATACCATGAATTTAGATCAGAAGATGATTATTTTTACTAACAAAAGTTATGAATAGACATATATAAATATATATATATGATATTTTAAGGAATTCAACAACATGACTTTCTATCATTTTTTTCCTAATCTTAAGTTTCGGTGTTATCTATTTTTATGTTTTTTGCTTATGAATATACTAAATGTAATACGTATATTTTGGTTATTCACAACAGAATTAACCATTTAGGATGTTTCAGTACCTGGAAGAGTGGCTGCTATTTATTTAAACAGTAACTCGACATTGCTACCAGATTTTGCACTAACTTCAATAAAATGAGCATCTTATTCCTTAGCTAAAGCAGCACCTTGCTCAGTGGATACAACTCTTACCATTATTATGCAAATCATTACCTATTTTCAAGATCAATTTTGTTGGCCACTAAAAAGATTATTACATCATTGCCTCTTTCTAGACGCACATCTTCAATCCATTTTGCAACACTATCAAATGATTATTTCACTTTGTATTATCAGACATTACCCTCAACATCATAACAAACTACAGCAACCGCACTATCTCTAATATAGCTTGGAATTAGGGATCTGAATCTCTCTTAACCTGCAGTATCCCACAATTAAAGTCGAATGGTTCTATCCTCATAGTAGAGGGTCTTGGAAATAAAATCAATGCCGACTGTAGGCTTGAATATTCAAACTGTAATACATGATCTTTGCCATCAAATGTGTCAAACATAAAACGATTTATTATCGAAGTTTTCCCGACAGACTAATCTCCGAGGAATACTAATTTATATTTAGATAATGGAGCCACCATTGATCCTTTAGTATCAGTCATTCTAATATAATAATTATTTAAATTAAGTAATAACTCAAAAATTTATACAACTATATTAAACTTATTATAAATCTATTTGTGTAATCTTCCCATTTATTTAGTGATAAGCAGAGAAGACATCCGCCGCGATTTTGATATCAAGCAAATTTATTAGAATATATAGATAATTACACAAATGGTAATAAAATAATATGTTCATTTCTTTTTCCAATCATGGTCCTCTTTAAAGAATATTCCCAATATGAAGGCAACACAACAAAATCCAAAGACAATCCAAAAGACTCCACCATAACCTATCTTTGGTTCTCCAAATTTGTACAATAAATATCCCAACATATTGGATAGACCAATAACAAAGAATAATCCACCATAAATGATAGGTCCCACCTTTAAAATAATTTAAATATCATACCTTGTGACCAAATATCTTAGCACTTACAGCAGGATAACAAGAGAATAATCCTCCTTCACAACACATTGTGATGCATAAAATAATGAAATAGCCAGCATAACTATTATTGATATATCCAATGGTGGCAGTACAAATTAAGTTGATCACTGCTATGATCAAATAAACCTTTTTGAAACCAATTTTATCAAACAATACTGCCCATCCGAATCTTGAACCTCCATTGCAGACTGATTAAACAGAACCAAGTACTGTTAAAGATGCATCATCAATCCCAAGCTAATTAAATAGAACTGATTAATACAGTTTATCCAAATACTTTATAACAATTAGCCATTAACATTCCAAAAATGATTGAACACAAAACCATCACGATCAAAAACCAAAATGGCCTTGATTTCATACCTTATCCTAGAGTTTCACATTCAGCATGCATAACTGTTGGGTGATAATCAACGGATTTTTCATGGTTGATACCACTTGGTTTCTTATTTCCATCACCTAAAACTTGTTAATATTCCAAATTCAAATCTCTGGGATATTTTACCAATAGAGTTGCAATGATGGTTAACAGGAAATATGATCTAATATGTATGAATAATTTATTTACAAAGCCAACATCTAGAACATGAAAGGAACATTTTAAAAAACATCCCTTGAAAAATATTTTTTTACTTTCCCATCTTCATCAAAAGGAATATCAGGTTCCTCGTTATTGGGATTGCAAATAGCCTTGCAGATAAAATTGAATGTGAATGCTCCAAATCCATAGCCAGCAATAATTAGACCTGAAACCATTCCTCTATTGAAGGGGAAGTATTTCCATCCACAAACTAATTTATATTATATAATAATTTACTGATTGGCAACATGTAAACCAATCCAGAGGGTATTCCTATCATAAAGCAATAAATCAAGATGAATCCATAAATGTTATTGATGAAGGACAGTATTAAAAATGCAAGGGAAATCAAGAATCCAGCTCCTGCAATCATAGTTTTAAATCCTATTCTTTGCGCCAACTTAACTCCAAAGGAGAGCACAGAATTTGTGGCTATTCCTAAAATTGGAAACACAATCTAGAGTGTCGATTATGTGACATCTGGATCCTTATCCTTCATGTAGGCACCAACGTAAGGACCTAGACATTCGAAAAAATGAATTACTTATGCCTCCCCATAGATAAAATGTACCAAGGACAAAGTGGAGTGCAATCCCACCAAGTAAGCAAACAACACCTTGGATTTTAATACTTCGAAGCTCTTTAGGTGAATACTCTTTGAAGTGATGTTCGTCTCCGTGTTCATCTGCTTAACTTTCATGATGATTCTTGTCCAATTCATGATCGCTTTACGCTACTGATTAAGGAACAGGCTTCATTTATGAAGATATATTTATTATTTAATGTTCAAATCATTCATTAAGTATAAATATCTCTCAATTTCTCTCATTTAATTTTTGTACATATCTTTATTTCCTTTCCAAATTATTTTGTTCTTTTTCATATTCAACTCTTTCTTCAGTCTCCTCTTTAATTAAATACCACGACAACCTAAATAAATTTAGACGTATGAATTTTAATGTGGAATTTTCATGTCCAATCTTTCTCATTTCACTTTCAAAAAATTTCTGTTAAAATTTCAATTGATAATCCCTATTATTTCTTATATTATTTATAAATATATTAAAATATACAATAAAAGTAAATTGTAAGAACATGTCGATATGGTACATACATCCAGCTCTTAGAATATTAACAAAAATTTTAAAGATTGATAATATACAAATCATTCTATTCTATTTCTTATAAAGTAAAGGGATAATATTAATTATCAATTGGAGAGTCTGCAAAATCAAAATTCCCATAACATTTAAGTATCCTTATTCTTACCTAATAAAATATCCTCAAAGGAATGGTAATAACAAATAAAATACTTAACGTATGAAGATAATATAAATATTAAAAATATTAATAAAGAATAATTTAATAAATATTATTAGAGATACGAAATTAAATCTTTGTTTAAGAGAAATTAAAAATGGATGATTCCAATTAGAAATATTTAATAA